CAAAGCAAATAGAACTAGGTTTTTAATAAGGCATTAACATAAGCTATACTATTATATATATTAACATAGTACAGTATTTCAGTGGTAACGAAAAACACAAATTAACTATGTTCAAAGTTCAAGCTGAGAACTTTGTGCCGCTTAGACCACATCCATGTTTGGACTTTTGTAATATTTGTTCGTTAAGCGTGGGTTTTTGTACATTATTGGAACATTTTATTCTATCCAGAATTAATAATAATGTAAGTAAGGTGTCATATTGAAAAAACAATTATAAGTAATTAATCTAGAATTAGTCCCAAAAAAAAAACAATGCAAGAAAATGATTTTGTCAATGTTGCTTTATAACACTTTTGTATGTGTATAGTTATAGATTAGAGGTTATAGTCTTAGATTGTGTAGTTCTACAATTCACTACACAATCTAAGTATTTTTGAATATTATAGACAGTGAATTTTAAGAATGTCTTCTAATAACTGTCTTAAGGATTGACTAAAATTAAAAATTAAATATATTATTACAAAAAGGTACCCGGGTACCCTTGTAATAAAAGTACACTGCACAATGTAAAGAAACATTGTTTTTTAGATGGTTGGTCACGTTTTTCTTTGCCGATAATGTGAATAAACGAAATAATTTATTATTTTTCGTTGTCTTAACCCAAAAAAACGGTTAGTGAATAGCACTTTGGATGACCTTTTACATCGATAGGTATCCTAACGCTTTAAAGGACGACGATGAAATATGTATATAATTTTATACACTCAGTGTTTGGTTGCCGGCTGCCGTTGAGGGCGATATTTTGGTGTTGCTGAACTTCAGAGACAGTACCTATACCTCACCGTAGTCTTCTTACACCACACCGTCACGTTACAGCGTTAAAGTGTTGACATTTAAAAACTAGCACAATTAATCATGCACCGGAAGAGGGGATAACTGAAGATGGCGCAAAGGCATGAATAAAACATTTCTGATGCTTGTTGCTTGATAAAAACACTAACACGCATCCATTTTTTATACTCTCCATAAAGGCTATTCTAAAGAAACTTTTTTTTTTTGTATTTAAATAGTAAGTTTACCTAATATAAAATATATTTAACGTGATCTGTGTAACGAATTTCCGTACAATGTTGAGCAAATTATAAGCAAAAACTCGTGTACATATTTTTTTCTAAAGCGCAATACATTTTTTCAAAAATTATTATTATTACCTATAGTTATTTTTTAATCTACAAATTATTTTATTTGAACGTCTTTGATGCAATCAGATAATATCTTACTGACTCGTTGTATTGAATAGTGGGTATTTATTGTTATTAATACTGTAAGTAGATTTGTGAACATGCACATTTTGTGTGGACCACTACAAGCAGTGTACTGTGTACACACATTATTCTAATCAAAGAAAATTGTTTTTATAATTATCAGAGAGTCCATCGAATGTCAAATAGGACAAAAATAAATTAAGGTTTTTTAATTCCGTTTTGTTGTGGAATAATATGAGCGTTAAAATAACGACGACGACCGGAACGAACAAAATAAGTTATTGGCCCCAGGACGGCCATAACTTTTTTTTTTTAGAGCCTACCCGATTTTCCTGCTTATGAATAGTAACCGGCCCCTCGTCCGAAAATATATCATATGCACTGCACCAGAATATCAAATAACACCTCCCCTACACTACTCTACCCGAATAATTTTTTAATGAATCCAAAAACTTCCGTTTCAGTCACGACTGTTTAATTATATTTTAGAATTTAGACTTATAGGTTTTATTATCTTTCGTGCTCGATTTCGCATTGTCAAATGTTTTCAAAATACATGACTTCCGATAATATTTTAAAAAAAACCACTAAACTAAATTAGCGTTATTTATTCAAAGGCCAAAGTTGTTGGTATCGATATCTTATTCATAAAAATTATGCGGCTATAAAATATTAAAATTGTATAATTGCGAAGAATAGCGCACTATTTTTGTGTGGTGTTTCCGAAATTAATTAATTCTTAGAAATAAAATAAGTGGTTTCAGTTAAAATATGTGCCTATATTATAAGTGGGTGCTTACACGTTAAAATAATTACCAAGAGACAGTTTTGATGACAAATTTTGATGTAATTAACTACCGAAATTGCTATCATGTTGTGTGCGAACCGCGCGTTTGTAATAAAAATACAATCAGATCAGATGGCAAATAACTAGTAAACGTGAGACTTTGGCCCTTAATTGCAAAAAGATAAGTTAAAAGAAATGTGTTTCTAGCTATTCTCTTTTACCGGGACCTTAATACCTTAAGATCATAAACCATCGATGACCGCTATAAACTCAGCAGCAGTCAATTTGGCTGGCATTATCGTTTATGGCGTCGGTAGGATGTTAAGATATATTATAAGGGTCGTATAATGTAGCTCCGGTCTATGTTAAATCTTTGTGATTAACTTTAAATCAAAGTCACTCAACAGTTGGAAAATCTTTGAATAATTAATTAAAAATATATAATTTTATTAATTAGCAATTACAAAATCTAAATGCTTGTAAAGTATCCACAGATACAATTATGCTGGGTTGTACAATAATGTCAAGCATTAATGACAGCGATTATATTTATTAATACTTCTTTGAGGTTTACTTTTTTAATTATTGTTTTATGTTGTAAATATTCTGGTTGAAAACTTTAAATGTATATGTATAAATTCTTTAATGTGTTGTAAATAATATAATATTATGTACATGTACGGCATTATACAGCAAAAAACTTTTTTTTTTTAATATATTCGCTTTGCATTTCTAAAAAAAACTTTTTTGTCCTTTATTACATTTTTTTTTCTGGTGTTTCATTTATGCACAACTTCCACCTATTCTTGGCAACCAAATCAAACACCTATCCTATTAGTCCTGCGAAGTTTTCTAAGGACTTGTGGGGAGCTGTGACGTGTAATATTTTTACCATTAATAACTTTACTTCTTTACTTTAAATTATTAAAAATGTTTTTACCCGGGTCAACAACCAAATTAATGTTCTTATTTTCTAAAAAAAAATTAAATTAGGGTGTTAAAACATATCTTTAAGAACGTCAATAAGCATAGAGTAAAGATCTATTTGAGCTGAAGACGTCAAATTGCATTTAATTCTATATTATGGTATTTTATTACTATAAATTACCGATTTAATTTATATGAAAAATTTAAATTTAAATACACCACTCAATAGTGGTACAATTACTTGTCTTCTGATAAGATCTGGTCAATCATCCAACACATTCCACTTACATATCTCGTAATTTTCATATAAAATCTATCTGATAAGGCACGCACCGCTTAAAACGTTCTACCTACTTTGTAATGTATAATACAAGTAGTATATATAAGTAATAATTTAAACGTTTCAAATTATAACAATCAATAGTTTACAAATAACAATTTTTTAAGACATCTTTCGACTCATTAAGAAAACATTTATTATACACTTTTTTTTATCAAATAATGAAATAAATTTTAAAAATATTATAATAATTTTTTTTTTTATAAATTTGATAATAAAGTTTTCGATTTTTATTCTATAAAACGTTATAAAAACTCACATATACTTCTTAGATTTGAATTATCAATTCATTTTATTCCAATAAAAAATTAACTAAAGCATAAAAATTTTTTCTGTACTTTTGCCCTCGCGGGCGTAAACTAATTTAAATAAATAAATAAATAAAAAAGTAATTTGTAAAAACCAATTTTCAATAATACAAATTTGTCAAGATTCTTATTTCTTCGATTGTTACATGTAATGTATAAAATATTATTAAAAAATGGTAATTCTGTTTACAATTTAATACCCCAGACCATCCTCGATTTTAATAGCCATGGAAGATAATTAAATTTGTATAACTTATTCAATTTTACATTTTAAAAATCATAAATAATTTTTTTTTAATGTACACAAAATTAAAATGCTTTTATCAAAATAAATACATACTTAATATGTTGACGAAATTAATGCTAGTACTGAAATGTGTAAATCAAACAAAACAGTGTGTCACTTTTAATGTATATTTTTTTTAATTTATAAAGAAAATGTACGATTTTAATTTCATTGTCTCAGATGGTACATTATTTTTACTCGTTATTTGTAGTGAGTGCACTTAGTAAAATTAAATTACTTTAAAAATGCAAGGTATTCTAGATGATGCTATATATAACTATCACCCCAGTTATAGATTCGAATTATTATTGCATAATTATTGGCCTTAATGTGTGAAATGATAAATAAGCGGCTTTCCAAAAAGTATACCATAACAATTTAGTAAAAGATTTAGAGCTTTAAAGGTGTAAATTATATCCAGGATACGGATTTTCTGCTAGAACAATATAACCGAAATGCTATTGATAGGGACAACATTGTAAACATTTTTTTTAAGAATTAATTTTTTAATTTACAATACTTTTCGCTGTAATAATATTATTTAAATTTTGGCGTTTTTAAACAGTATGCAATTGTATAACGTTGTTCACACAACACAAAACCCTATTCATTGTAGGTAGAAGTTTTCGCTTCGAGAATTCGGCCAGAGTAGAGCGGTGGAAACATTTTAATAACCATATTCTGTGCCGGCACCGGGTGTAATATATTTTCATTAGTTTGGGATTTGCCAGCGGTTTTGCTCGTGCAGCCGTTCTTAGGAACGCCGAAACCTATGTTGTAAATAATGAACTTATCTGCATAATCTAGAAGCGCAGTATAAGACATGGTCAAATATTGGCGGCCACAATAAAGGCATTCTTTATAAAGTTATATTTGAAATTTCTCTAAAAAAACGAATTTTGAAAATACAAAATGCAAGTACTAGGAGTGCTTCTTTGACGTTATGTGATATTGATTGCATAGTACTACTACTATCTAATGTATGTCAACAAAATATAGAGGAAGTGTGTTTTATATTTTTGTTTCAGGGTGTATGAATAATGAAACTCATAAAAACTAATTCATAAAACTTTTATACATTTTTCAGGGTTCATTCAAACTCAACTGAACGGCGTCATAACTGAAATGTCTATGAGCCAAAGTAATCCCGGTCTGCCGGCCGTTGAACAACAAAACAAAAAGTTCACCACCATCATTATTTATCCAACGGGTGCGTTTTAATTTTTATCGTATATTACCTCTAGGAAAAATGTATTAAAAAAATAATTTTTAATTTTACTCCTCTAGTGACTCCTGAAAAAATTATCATACCCATGGTTTCGTGTATACTGGGCTTTCCGCTGGTGGTTTTAATGGTGATATGCTGCTTGAGGCGAAGAGCCAAGTTGGCCAGAGACCGAGATCGTCGAAGAAATCTGGGGTAAAAATGTTTGATATTGTTTAATTTTTTTTTAAACTTAAAATACGGACTACATACAAACATGGCATTGTTGGCGGTTTTCCAGAACGATCTGGTTTTCATACATAATTGTTGAAGGGGAATTATTTTCTAAAAAAAAAAAAACACTGGAGTAAACAAAAATCTCTAAATACTAAAAAAAATAAAAATTAGCATGCACAAATAACAGCTATTAACGACGATCATTATATTATGTAATCCAAACAGACTAATCTCCGGTTGTGTCAGAAATAAAGCAAAAGAGCCCACACGCGTTTTGTAACAATATATGCATTGAAATGATGCGAAACCGGCTGAATTTCTTTTTCTTTTTTTTTCTTCTGGTCCGGTATTAATCATTCGGCGGCCGCAAGTATCTTCGTACAGATGTCCAAAATAAACGCTGCGAAAAATGATTGAAGTTTTGCAAAATTTCCAAGAAATACACGTGTGCTCCCAGATAAATAAATCAACGGCTTGGCAATCGGCACAAGGGACTCGACAAACTTACCAGCACGCGAAAACGTTATATTTATTCAAGTTTTCGAGATAGAGCCGCGGTATATTATTATAAGAAGTCTTGTTGTTCTTAAATCATTTATCACCTTTTTTCTCCCGGCCGGGTCTATGTACACATGCAGCACGAAGCAAAATTAAATTTTGATAAAAATGAAAACATAGACAAATGAGAAAAACGGGTGCTGCCACCGAAATAATGAATGACTCGTTCACAAAAAAAAAAAATATTGTCCTGTTCGAAAGAATATTAAAAACAGCAATAAGACGTCGAGTTTTAAAAATGACAGTCATCCATTCCAACGCCTTTGGCTGCGCAGGCCATCGAATAATACATTCCAATATGTACTTGGAGTTTAATATCTCTCCGTATAACTGGCGGAAATGAGGCTGGTGGATTTGGAATATTTTGATTTAAAATTATAGCCGAACATGATAAATGTTTTTTATCACAATTTCCATAACCGATTTCCAACGAATGTACTAAACTGTACATTACTATATACTATACTATACTGTACGAATGCTTATACGAAACGGTTAAATACTACAAGTTTTCATTTGCACGTGTTCCGAAAAGTATATAGTAGTTTATTCTCAAACAACAATATTGCGGTCACTGTCCCTAAAATCCAATTAAAACAAAACGATAAAACATGACCGCAATGGACTATAAGTAATTTGGCTAGGTGAAAAACTCAATCAAATCCGGTATAATAACCACAGCGCTTGGAGATGATTACATTCTGAAATGTAATTCCGTCTTTACTTCATGTTACTGAATTTTTTTTTTCCTCCTAGTTGTGTTGTCTACTATTAAGAACAATATATTATACAGTTTTTGTTCGAGTGTGCATCCCTTTATACTCGATGCTATACAATATGAACAAAACCCTACTCTGCAATTGAAAAAAAGCCTAGTGTTAGAATTAATAATAAATTTTAATCGGAATTTAAATGAAATTATTCTGAAGACTTTTACTAAACTCGCAAGACTCATATAACATAATAATATTGAAGTAAACGAGTCCGATATTAGTACTCGATTGATTAACAAAAATAATTAATCTAACTATCTAGACTTTTTATTAAGTCTTTCAACTGTTTCACACTTATCGCTATGCAGCCTACTTTATTATCAATGTATATTATGGCATATTTAATTCATAATTCAAATTTAAATATATCTTCTTTGAAAAACTGTCTATAAATAAATAACAACCTCCAAGCTGTAAGTCTTATATTGATGACTAACTAAATACATATTAAAAAACATCTTTAAATATATCTTCAAATATATATAAATTTAGGTAAGGCTTTTATAAATAAACACATACTAATTATTCACTGAATTTGCTTTTTGCTGTAATGTAATAATAATTGATGATTAATTATTGCAAATAAATATTTTCTACATTTGTTTTTGTTGACAGATCATTAAATTTATTTTAAATATAACTAAACTGAGAATAACATGCTAAATATTTAAACATTTTAAAGCCTCAGTTTGCTTACTGTTATGTATTATCAATTTCATACATGTTTTGTTTCAACTCAAATATTCACTGACTTTTTCAAGTCTTTCCAATTGTTAGGTGATCTAGATTAATTTATTAAAATTAAATTCACGTGTGTTTAGTACATTTACTTAATAATAAATACTATTATGTTCTTTGCAATACTTTTCCTCGTAATAAACTACAGTTTTAACAAAATACATTTTTGTTTTTGTTTCAGATTTGCCAGAGCTTGCACAAGCGATCAAGGTGTTATTTCCCTGGCTCGTTTTAGTCCAATGCATAAAATAGGTAAATTAATTGATTTTTTATATATTATAAATAAAACATTACCAAAATTTCTAAAAGACGTACAAGATATTCCAATTTTTTCTTAATCAAACAAAGTTTATTTAAGTCTAAACAAATAAATCTATGACTATGATAATCCTCCTACTTGAAAATATCTCGATAACTACACTATGTGTCTTACCCTTTAGGCTTTAATAATGATTTTTTGGATTCTGTTCATATTCTAATAATTATAAAAATCGGGTAAATATTGTAGAGTATTTTTGTTTTTTGAAGTAAACATTATACCTTTGATAAAGTGATTAACTTCAGTAAAAAAAAGTATTTAATATTTTTAATTAAACAAATTTTATAATGACCAAACTTTTTAAAAACTTTTAGTAACGTCATTAGTATAATCATTAAAATCGTTTGTCTGTTTTCATAGTATTATAAAGTATGTCACCTCAAAGAAAACTAGAAACCAGAGGAATAAAATTGATCGTGAAATGTTATCTCGAGTTTGTCAATACTTTATCTTTCCAAACGTATATTTTGTATTATATTATTTGCACCAGTGCACCGTGGACTAGTAAAATACTTTAAGTGTCAAACGGTGGTCAACATGGAGCCTGAACTGCTATTTAAAATGACACATCTAAAACTAAATCATATATAACGTTCTCTGACGATTGACCAACAAAAAGTTTTAAAAGCTTGCCATTTAGTTTTCTCACAGCCAAAGTGAACAATATTCCTGGAATGAACCCTAATCAAAACTATCTAAATAGACTTACCAAGCTTTATATTATTATTTGAGTTATGCTAAATTTTCAAATTAGACTTTTTAAAACCAAGCAATTTGTTTGGAAGTATTAATGCAGTCTGTATACAATATTAATTGTATTAAATCCCAAAATAACACTGCAGTCTACAGTCTACATCCAATTTATTAAAGCACGTCTGATGTTGTTGTGTTGAACACAATTTTAACGACACACTTGAGAATCAATATATGTGTGTGCAATAAAAATTATTTGGCGGACTCTTGAAATGCGTTTACCGACTTCTGCCTTTTTGGAGCGAATAAGAACACTAAACGTGCCAAATTGTTTAATCTCCGCAAACGCGATGCTGTATTTTTTCCTAACCGAACGAACATTGAAAAAACGGAGGTAACACCGTTATTAGTAACGGACAATAAAACTTTAATTAAAAAGTAAAAAGAATTCTTACAAAAAAAAATAATAATAATAACCGTTGGGTTATAAAATAATAATAATAACAAACCCGACGACGTGACGAAGTAAATAAATGTATTTTTAATATCTTGAAACCAAAGTAACTTTTTGTAGGTTTATTAAAAATTATCCTAAATATTATGATTTATCTTTTAAAAGCTTTTATATTAACTAAATTTGCTAAATATAATCTTTTAGCTTCAATCCGGAGCCGAAAAGGTATTAGTTTAACATACATTATGAAATTGTATTTTATGATCCAGTGATGACATTTGAACTTCTAGGCAACTAGGCTTGCTTTATGTAGCAAGTATATAAATAAAAAATCTACTAAAAATAAACAGATATAACCTAAAAAGATATCAAAATCCCTTTGCCCCAGGTGAGGCGGAGAGAAGCGTCGAGAATTTTTTGTGACAAGGGAATTCCAATGAAACTTAAAGGTAAGTTCTACAAGTGTGGTGAGACCGACTATTTGTATGGTTCGAAGTGTTGGACGGTAGAGAAAAAAATTGAACAGACAATGAGTGTAGTGAAGATGAGATTGTTTAAGTGGACGAGAGGAGTGGCGAGAAAAGATAGGCTAAGGAATGAATACACAAGAGGTAGCATAAGCGTGGCTTTGAAATTATAGAGAGCAGATTGAGATGGTTCGGGCATGTTATGAGAATAGAGGAATCGCAAGCAGTAAAAATGACAGTTGGGGGGGAAGAGGAAAACCGTAAAAGAGGCGGTTGGATGTGATTGAGAATGATATCAGGACTGCTGGTCTATGCGAGGATGATGTGGGAGATTAAGTGGAAGTTTAGGACAAGGTTGGTGGCCGACAGATGACAAATGCTTCTCCAATGACACACACTATGATTGACGTTGCGTTTTAAGTAGAAATGAATCCGCGTTTATGGGATTTTTATCTGTAGTCAGAATATTTCTAATAGGTCAGTGATCCCTTATACGAAAAAAAGAGAGTAAATCAATTCAGCAGATAAACCCAAAGTGAACGTTGACAATCTTCATTATTATCAAGTGCGAAAGCGACAATCATTAATTTAATGTCGTCCAAAAGGTTTAACACGTCCGTGTTGGGTGACAAATGACAAATTCAGACTGAACGTTGGATAATGCCGTGTAATAATTATGGTGTTATTTTAACTGGAAAAAATGTATTTAACTAAGAAATGTTTGCTATGTGTTTCATAAGCTTTGCCTTGGATTCGTCTCGGACTGTACTTATGCGTTTAAACTGATTATTACTTGCCGGAGTGATCAGCGTTGTATTATCATCTTTACTCGGTTCGGAACATAATCAAGACGTGCTTGTTTTTTATTATTTTTTGGCGCAAAAAACGTTCAAACCAGATGCGAGAGAATCTGTTCGTTAAAACTTCATTCTTCCGTCGATAACGTCGTTTTACAATAAGTTGAAATTTTACACAAGTTATTCGTTACCCATGGGCGGGGTCGTCCGTTAAGCCTTAACGACTAGCGTGCATTTTTAGCTGAAGTTTAACCGGAATCCTGTTGAAAATATTATTAGGGCTGTTACTCGACAGCTTGAGTATACTCACAGGTACAGGTCAATTATGCAATGCGGACTTGTATAATATAATAATTAAGCACGCGCAAACGAATGAATTAATAGCAATCTAATTTTTTATCTTTTTTTTTTTTTTAAATTAACTTGATACGTGCCATAAGGCGTTTCATTTTTGCGCTGACAGGCGTTTTTCCCTCGTTTTGACTTTTAATGTTTTTGCGTGACAACTGGTAGCTTTAAAATATAACACCATCGATTTGTTGATGACGCTTTGTTCCAGTTTTCCATATGACCACCGCAGTCCAAGGGTGTGTCAATTTGAGTTTTCTATGAACCGCAACAGGGTTCAACCACTTGGATGGTTTTAATTTAATTTATGTCAATTTTGTGTGTAAAATGTTGATTTAAATATACTTGAAGTCACTAGAAAGTTTTCTAAAGTAACCGCACTAACCGTGTTGTACTTAATAGCACGTGTATAAGATTAAATCCACAAATTTCATCAATAGGTATCAACAATTTATAATAAGACAAAAAAAAATCAATATGAGCGATGATTTATGTAAATATCAACTTGATAAAATTTCCAAGTCGTTGTTTAATGAAAACCCTTGCATTTATTATGTAATTTAGCAAATTACCTTATTATGTTGTCGTTTTTTTCTGAATTTAAGTTTTCGTATACAAAGTTATTTTTGCAAACTGCGTACTTCTTACTGCCAGGGTTGAATAGTGTTTGGTAAACAAAATAAACAGCGTGTCTTGTTAAATAAATAAAATATTATACCTATGTTTTGAACATCTGCTATCCAAAAATACCTGTTGTTAAGTATGGAGTACCTAAACTGAAAAAAAGTTAATCTAATACACAAATGGCAGTAGAGTAGCATAAAAAATATTTATAAATAGGGTTAAGTGGGTAAATATAAACGAATGAGGCAAATGTAAATTACTTTTTTAAAAAAAAAAACCATTAATGTTTGTATTTTATTTAATTATATGTAATATAATATAACTAAATAAATCCTGTAATTTAAAGTATTAAAATCGTTTACAATTACCCCAGCTGACCTTAAGCATAAGGTGAGTGAAAGAAAACTTTGATTTAAACTCAAACCGTTTTCAATATACATACATATATATATATGTAAGCTGTCCCGACCCGGCGTTACCCGTGTATTAGAATAGACACACAATCAGCTGATCGGATCACTGTATCCCTGTGGTATGAAAAACCATAGAGATGTATTGATAACTATTGCTACTATTGATAATTATAATTAATCACTTTAATTAATTAAAAATTAAAAACATGTTCTATCGGATCAAATTGTGAATCTAAACCTTTCTCGAATCAACTTAATCGCGCACGCAAAATTTCATAAATACCTGTCCAGCCGTTTATGTATATTTACACACGGACAGAAGAAATTTATACATACATATATATATTATTGAACGACTAATTAAACATAAATAATTTACTTAATTAATATAATAGGGCAATTATTTTGGCAGAAAATGTTTCATTTGCATGTTACATATTTTGTTGAAATACATCTATATATAATATATATATAGAGATGTATACACACGTGTGTGTGTGTGTGTGTGTGTAAAGGGACATTTCCTTTCAATGTTCTTGTCAACAGCAGTCGGAATTTCATACTTCCATTGTATGCAATTGTCATTATAATAAATAACTGTTTTAGACATCTTGATTCTTTTGTTGTAATTTCATAATATTTATAATTAAATAATGACTTATGACTGAAAAATGAATATTGGTTAACTAGGTACTGTGTTGTATGGGTATACATATTTGTTACACTAATAATTAGGGATCTAACTGAAATAAGGTTATCCGGATACTAATATCCGAATTTGAGTTTGATTTAAACGGTTTATCCGCATTTCTAGATTTAATTTGTTTTATCAAGTTGTTATAGAACTATTAAGTTAGAATAGTAAAAGCTAATTAAAATACAACCTGCTACATAACGTGTATACATCTACATTTTACAACTATGTCGTTTATTTAAATCAAAATCAAAATAATCCGTCAAATTTGAATTCGATAAATCCTTATATTCTTATCACTATACTTATCTTGACAGAGAAAACATTTATTTCTGTATTTGCTAAAAACTCGAAAGCTGCTGAGTTGATTTTTCCACAGTTAACTTCCTCTAGTACACCTATCAAAGAATATAGGTCATGTGTCATTCTGCTATAATATTAAAAAAAGTTTTTTCATTACAAGTGTAATTCAATGTTTTTAGAAGTTTGTAAACCATAAACCGTAGACCAAATGTGTCATTAATGAGACCAAAAGTAAAAAATCAATCCTTTCCTTTTCAAAAACACGATAAAAATTGACATATTACTGAACTTGAAAAATACAGTAGGTACTTCCTAATTTTTCAAGAAATATTGAAAGTGGTATACACACAAATATAAAGTTGATACCCCATAAAATACAATTAGCCCTTTCCTGAACATTTTTTCTTGCTTTCTTTTTGGAAGTTGGTTGATCAAAAATATTAAGCCAGACTTATTTTTATATTATGTAAAGCCTAAAACTTAAATATCTCTATACTGATCTGTATTGCTAGTTAATACTTATTTATCAAGATCATTTACAGATTCGCATCAAAGCTTTTTTTTTGTGCCAACCTTTGCTGGATTTTTCTTTATATTTTTACTCGATAAAATAGTGAATAAAATAACAACAATAAATACAAATTGAACAAATTATCGGTAATACATGAAAGCTAGTTTTCTCAACTCAAGTCGGGGGCAATGCAAAAGATACCTCATTACCCTCGCGATTACGTTTAAGGTGCGAAGACGCTACAATAATAAAACTCGGTTGTATTTGTCAACAGGCGTTTACTTAGCGGCCGGGGCGAGCGCCAACAGCGTATCCTCGATGGGCAGCAGCGGTAGCGCAACGGGCCGTGGCCATCCGTTGCGTAGCGAGAGCCGGTCGTACGCGTCGTGTGACCTTGATCCCGTAATGGAGGAACGTAGCGAGATGGAGACCAGCTGTAGCGGAGCGGTGGAGGCACTCGTCTGTCCGGACAGTTAGCAGCATGTGCTAGCCATAGCTCGGATATCGGTGGCCGTGCAAACGGATAAGCCGCCGCCGCGGCCAGCCAGGTCGCCACTGTGGAACACGCTTACTAACAACCCGCTAGACGACGTACCGCCACTGGGCAGCTGACGGCCGGACGGCGGGCCCGAGCTACCCAAGGCCATAGCCATCATCGAACCTTGACGCCGCCGACGCCGAACCAAACCGTAGCTCGTACGATTGCCCGCCATGCATTGTTTATAATTTAAAATTTAAAAAGCTCGTTTTATAATAATTGAAGTGGCGAAAACCAGAAATGTTGGATTGATACACTTTTTTTGTAAAAAAAAGAAGAAGAATCATAAACACCATTTGTGTGTAAAAAGTAAAAACATCTTTTAATTTATAGTTAATTATGTTTTACCAATGTTCGTTCGTTTTTCCATAGCTGTTATACCCAATAAGCTCGACTTCACAAGAATTTATATTTTGCTCGCCGCAATATACTTTTACGATTTTTTTAATTCACCACTTCAGTTATAAATCGTTTTGTATATATGTAAATATGTGTGTGTGTGTGTGTGTGTAATTCGACCCGAACTGGACTAACTGATTTTTTTGTTTAAAATCCAACTCTTGGTCACACCGAAACTAGTTTGGCTGGTATTCGCGTCGGCCGATGCCAATTTAAACGCCAATTGTTATATTTTTTTTATCGTTTCTTAGGTGGTTTTTTTTAGAGACAGCCAAACAACGCCCATAACAAAGCACGGCGTGGCCCGACGCGCGCACATACATATATTTAAATTTCAACGTCTGTCGTCCAATAGGCGGAAATTTTATTGCGAACAAACTTTCGAATTCCAAACGTATTGTATCGTGACCTCACCCCCTGACCTCGCCCGATAACGTTACTTTAAACAAAATAAAATAAAAAAACGTTTTACGACCGTTTATCGACCGAATGTCAAATTAGACTGTCCGCGACGTTGGCGAATAAAATAAATCACGAAAAACGTTTACACAACGCAACAAATCAGACGGAAAGAACAAAAAAAAAACAATATTTTATTCACCAGACGGCCGATACAGTCGAGGGTTGTGCCCGTCCCTGTCACAAAACCAATTGTATTCGATCGCCAATATGATAAGTTTTGCTCAGATTTCACAATATTTACCTCACAGCCGATATCGAGTCCTTTGCCTTTGGTTACCACCTCATTGCCCGTGTACTTATCTATCCGTCTTACGATTCTTCTTTAACGAAATGCTTTTTATATTGGTTCGGCCCTTATTCCGTAATAATTCTGCTCGACAATAATACATTACACAACACGTGTTCGCAACAAGTAAACTATTTCCGGCACGAAAACAAGCATATTTGCAAGCCCAACTGCCAGGGAATTAATAAAAGCGCAACGGGTTCGCTAAAGTTCGACACGAAAACAATATAGAGGGGGAAAAAATGACGGGTATACCGAAAACTTTTAATGGCCCGGCCGTCGGGGGATGCTTAAAACGAGTACAACAGCTCTCCGTTAAAAGGAGTATATATGCGCAAACTTAATCCGGGTCGTTCGCCGAAATACGTGTGCCGGGTGAATAAATTTAGGGCAATTGCCTACAGGTATACCATGCGTCACACAAAAAATATAAGCTATTTCAATAATAAACACACACACACACACTCTTTGTTATCTCAGTACTTGTGTAAGTATATCAAGACTCGTGTATAATGTATAGTGTACTAGATAATGATCTATAAACTACATTAGAGTTGCTGACGATTTATATATGTTGTTAATTGGTGTGTTGTTCAACTCTAAACGTTTATACATACAAAAGTCGTCGTCCCTTAAAAAATATTATTATTGTTGTTTGATAAATAGACAATCGTTGTACATAATCAGTATGTTATTATTGTTATAGAATTTTAATATTAACAAATAACAACAATAACCATAACGTGTGACTTGCATAAATAAATTACAAATTTTAAACTAGGAAATTAAATCATGCATTTATATAGACTGCGCGAGACATCCTATATGCAAGGGGTGGTTATTGCCAAACTCTGTGTGATGCGATCGAATATGAAATAGAGTCCGGGAGCAAAGGGAAATTAATTGGAGTAAGAAAGTTTATGACAGCTAATAAGACCAGGCTGTCTATTGTGCCATAGGGTAATTTTTTAAATAAAAGGAGATTTGGTTCCAAGCGCTAGTCAGCTAGCGAACCCAGACCCAAGTGGCTTAGCACATTAGAGTCATCATACGGGGGATAATCAATTTTGAATAGCTGAAGCCGCAAAGGCCAGGAAATCCGTTAAACACGTTCTACCCGATATCATACCCGGGGTATAATAATATACCGTATCGACCAACGCGCAATGACAACAGTGAAAAAACAGTTAAAACAATAATATAGATCTGCATATTTTACTACATATATTCTGTCCAAAACTACATGTATATTGCCCACGTTCTAGTTACAATTATTATATTTCCTATTAAACCGAGACAATGCCGCGGATTATCACATGCATGTGTGCCAACCACCCACAAATCCTTTGAGGTATCTCCGTAATGGGCACTGGGACCAACAGCTATCTTAATGGTATATAACTTATAATAATAAATACAATGTTTTTAAATATATTTTCCGTTAAAATATGTATGGCGATTCGCTTAAACAATAAGAAAACTGTAATATATAACGACAACCATACCGGTGTATAATTTTTCGAATTACTACCTATAATAATACAAATCGGTTTAGATGGTTGTACGTTGTTATAGTTTTGTTGAGGCAACGGATTACCCGTTGGTTTTATGAAAAATGGTTTTTTGTTTTACCAACAAAATGTTATAATATAATATTTTAGAAGCCAGGACGTTATGTCTAATTGCAATCATTTTTTTATAGTTTTTTTTTGTAAGTACACAATTTATAGCGTAGCGCGTTGGTTTTTTAATTATAAAAGGTTTGACGTTGATAAATTTTATGTTGTATAATATTGTAAGTTCCGTGTAATTCACTCTTGTAAAATAAACATAAATTAAAATCATAAATCTTGTTTTTTTTTTATAACCGCCATTTCCATAGCCTAATTAATATATCCAAGTATTTAAAATCAAGTATCTCTTTCTATGTATCTATCTATGTATATGAAAAAATCTTGTCTATATACATATATTATGCTATGTTATTTTAATTATTATTATATTTTTATATCTTCATTATACATTGTACAGGACTACCGATTAGCTGAAAATTTAAAACTAGGCAATTAGTCAGATAAACACTTCGATGTAGCACAATTGCCTACGCAAAGTGCCGCTCATCGTCTTTGTATTTAAACTGGCTTGTTATTTTGCACAAAATGGTATTTACATATTTTTATTTTATTTTAAGCATAAGTTTATGATTTATAATGTACAATATACTCTTAAACCTTGCACACTTAAAGTCCTATAAAAAAATGGACTGTTCCTCCCACACTCCCCACCGCTGTACCGACGGGCCGTGGGGTCAACATCGTTAAAAAACTAGAAAGTAATAAACACAGTTTGAGATTCCTATGGAATATAAATTGAAAAGACAAGGTTAAATCTGAAAAAAATGTAGTGGTTTAATTAAGCTATTTTTTAGGTTAGGTTCAAATTTCTACTTTCCTTATCACGCATCATCAAAGACTATGCACAGATTCCCTAATATTTTATCATACCTGTTATTATACAATTAGTATTATTCCATAATTTATAAAACTATTTCTCCCATGTGATTCGCAAAAATTCTGTTGACCCTCGGAACTCTCTCGTTAGTATCGTCCATTTATTTATAGGTCTAAATGGACACACTACATAATATTATGTACACCTATTTATGTTATGCCCAAAAATCCTTAAATACTTAATTTCGGGGAAATCTCAGCTGAGTTTTTGAGATTAAAAGAACAAATATACATGTACATGATTTTGCTTTAATTATATACAAGAGTTCATAAAAAAGCAAATATTTCAATGTGCAGCTAATACTGAATTTAATTAGTAATTTGAGATGTTTCGCTAATATTGTCTAATATTCGCAAACATTGGCATTGAAAAACTATATTCATGTAGATACAAAACTGCGAAATAACATTCTTACGGTAGTTGTTTTATAGTTTTTTGCAATTTCAGTTGATCGCCAGTGTTCTAGTTAATGATCCAAAGTAAGTACCAGAACCAGGAATTCAGGTTTTCCCAAAGGCACATTGACTGTTTAATCACTTTCGAGTTTCACAAGCGTTGTTTCTTACAATTGGCAAGACTCACGTGGCGCTTTAAGGCACACTCACGAATAAAATTACAGGTTATTTATTTGTTTTATGGAAATTCACAGGCCTCCATTGTGTATTGTGTACTTCTATAATAATATTTTTCCATTTATCAAGACATCTATGAAGTCAAAGTATTGGGAATCACTTGCCACGGTTTCCCTTAAATGTTATTTTAGATACGGACAAGGGTAACGAACATTAACGTATGGTAACCTTATGTATGCACTAGATTCTGTTTTGGAATTTGGGCTCTGCCTTTAAAAAACACCTTAGAAATCATCTAATCTACAGTAAGACTTCCAATTATTATATTGAGTGATGCGAAACGCAGCTGTTTTATTATAATGTTAAATAAGTTTATTTAAACTATAAAAGTTTATTATCTCTTTGAAAGACATTATTTTTTCGTAAGTTCGATCTAAGTTTGTAAAGCTCATGCATATCAAACTTGCTTAAAGGCTCTTGTGTGAAACTCTTCTAGCGAGAGTTTTACCGCTAAAAACTGAAGTCTTGTTGCTTTTGATCATTATAATATATGTATGAACATTATTCACAATGTATAGGATTTTGTGTTTGAAAAAAGTATTAGTAAGTAACATGCATAGCTGTAACAAGTTGAATAAAGTTTTAGACTAACGTTCGTCTAGATCTGAAGTACAGTTATATCGATTGTTATTATTGTCATTATTACACCTCGTTAATTTATCATAACGGTAATTATTTCTCGACCAGAAACGATGGCGATATCGGACTTAGTACTAGAAGAAGTGCAAAGGGATCCAAGAGACCAATATAGTCAGATTCGAAAGAGAAAATGGCAGCTACTGAGTGAGTGAAGTAATAGACAGCAAGCAAATTACCAATGAATTTTAAATTAAAGGAAAAGAAATAATACACATAGAAGGGTAGTTAAATCAAAGGGATCCTATCCGGTTTAAAGGGCCAAATAAAGCGTACCGATCCTGTCACATGACTCTAGGAGTAAGGCCACACTAAAAATAATTTAACCTGATCGGACCTTAAGTACAAACGTTCATAATTATCTTAAACCACGCAATGTTTACAAATTAAAAATGCAAGGATTGCTAATAACTATTTCCTAAGCTAATAAATATTATAAACAACTTGAGTAATGGAAAATAAATATCTAATTTGCATTCAATGCAATTTAGTGAAGTATAATTAATAGTGTTATATTTGTACTCTAAGATAAATATATACAAACATATAGGTAGGGTAAGTGAACTTGACGATTAATACTTACAAGTTAGGTTAGGTAAATAATTATGCGTTCGTATGCAGGAACAGCATTACATTTAGGTATATAGTGGTTGCAACGGGAAAACGAAATACAACTGAACTAAAAACTTAGTATAATACCGTTGATACAATACGAGGACTATAAAACATAACGAGGAAAGAAAAAAATAACACTCGTTTGTCTTTGTAAGTTTCACGGATGAAATATAGCCCTAAAAACAAATGCAGACTTCTCTGTATTTAACCTCTGGGTCGTCACACGGGAATGTTTGGACTTAGGGCGCCAAAAACTATTCGGCCCACTCGACGGCCATTGTACTCATCGGAAAATCTGTAGTTTACAAGGAAATTCAAGTGTTGTTTCCATTGTTGTTCGCTCCCCCTGTCGGTTTTGTTGTGGTGTACCTTTGTTGTCGGCCGAACCACACTGTTATTGTGTTTAAATGCATTATTTCAACATAACTTCTTCGGCGATAAAAATAAAGGTACAACAACAATAATAATAAAATAATATTTAACATAATAATATTTATATAATATTATGCAAGACAACATAATAGCTAGAATAAATGACACATTGCACGTGGTTCAACATTATAATCACTCGTCTGTAGTTCATTTCACTAATAAATAAAAATAAATATAATTAAAAAAACATAAATTAATTTAAAAAAAAACAGAATTATCACAAAACGGTTAAAAAAAGTAGCTTATATTGTTATGTACACTGAATGAATAACTTATATATATACAAAGTACAATAATTATTTATAATTGCCGACAATGTTGGTAAAAATGGACAATGTATTTGTGCGTTGTACTAATAAACGTACAACTACTTAACACTAAAATAATAATAATAATAATTGGTCTTCGACGCTGTTAAAAGCGAAAAAACAAATAACACAAAACAAAAACGTATAAAAGTCATACAGAAAAAGAAAAGAGATTAAGAGTTCAACGGATTTTGGAACCAAGTGTCCAGATCGTTAGTGGTTTCGGCACGGGGACTGCGTGACGTGATCCTGAGGTCATTGGGTAAGTCGTAGCACCGGCAGACACAGCACGATGGAAACTTAAACCAATCGGAAAATATGCCTCGGCAGTCGTTGGAGGGGTCGTACGCCAGTAGTCTGTGCAGCCGGTATTGTTGTTCGCACCGACACCCTTGACGGCAAAACATTTGTTTGTTCTCAAACCTAATTATAAAAAAAACAAACAAAATCGTTTAGACTTAACAGACTTTAGAATGCCGGAGACCGTTTTGTGTGGACATTTAGGACTAGGTTGGTCGAACCTAAATACAGTGTGAGGAGTAACAGTGGCGAGTAATGGTGAGTAATGGTGAGAACGATTAAGGGTGTCTTTGTTCTACGCCTTCCGGTTAGGCGATAATACGTTCAGTTCTGTAGGAAATTTGCTATAAATTAGTTAAGACTTTTCAGGCTAAGACTTTTCGGTATACCATAGTGTTGATACCGGTTTTGGGTATTAAACCGCTACCACATCGGCAGAGTATACACTCGGTTGCTACTATAATTACCGACTTAATTAAATTACGGTATCTACCTACTAATTAATCGTAATTACTTTAAATCAGTTATTATATACTAAAATCATGAATTAAGGGAGTAGGTAAAATTAATTAATAGACTTTATACAATTATATGTATTAGAAGTGGAATAGTAATTAAACTTTTATTTAACATATAAATTTTCATAAAAAAATATATATGTTCTAGCCTAAAATACTTATATTATACTCATTATGAATAGAATTTGTAAGATTTGTAGATCGGTAATTAAATTCAAAATATTTACTGAAAATGTATTCAAAAAGAAAAAAGAAAAAAAACCAATACCATTCATTTATTTTATGTACCCAATTTCTCATACTTATAAACCCACAAACTGCAAACGATGCTTGTACATTATTACATACAATGTATACACTCGTATTATACTACCTTAAAATCTTGAGTTGAAGAAATCGAAATGAGGAACATTTTATACAAATAAAAACTAAATCATGAAATCTACTTTCAGAATTTGTAACAAACGGAGCACAATTCCTATTTTTTTTTTTTGTGAAGCTTAACATATTTTGTGTACGAGGGCTAGAAACTTATTTGTTATCTTTATACTCATAATTTAGATATAAACATTTATATTTTTACTTTTTTATAGTTTTTATATAAGTACTGACTAATTTTATAGTGACAAATAAAAAACTCGGAATTTTAGCTCTACGAAGAGAACATTTTATGCTTTCCAATAAAAAAAAATTATAAATCCGTTCAATATGCGTCAAAAAATGCCTTGTACATACAAATGTAAATTTTTATTAGTAAACATTTAATTATTGTTATTATTATTATTATTAAATACACAAATTAACTGTAAAATAATGTGATACGCATAAATGAATAGTAATTTGTCCTTAAATGAGTTGACAAAAATTTTAATTTCTTCCGGGAACTAGATAAGTTTTTTTCAAATATGGCCTATCTTTGCTACTTTACTTTTTTTTTTTACGATACATTTATTTTTATAATAGAAATGATAGTAAATACCGTGATAATACAGACATTAAATCGATTTAGGTACTATTATTATTTGATCTTTCGGTATACCACCAGCCTTAAAAAAAATATCAACGAACGGATTATATACTCACGTGCATCGTTCCCAATGGACGTACTGTTCGAATGGGTAAAGATTGAGCAGAGCTAGCACTTCCCCTCGGGTATTGTTCGCCCAGAACGGCGCGACCACTTCCTCCTTTACGGGACACGCGTTCCTGCAATGCAAATTGACTGTATAAGATTTAGCCCATTATTACTCAATCATCAAGTGGTTTCTAATATAGTGATAATACAATAATAAATCGGGAGAACAAATTTTGGGAGGCATTTATTTAATTTAATATGCGAAAGAGACCCCCCTCCCCACAAAAGTATTTTGCCTAATGTTTCAAAATGTCTAAATCATAAGCTTTGGATATTATACTTACACGCCTTTTGATTTCTGAGGGTTTTCCGTGGTGGTCGTGGGTTCTTTGAAGAAACTCGGCTGTTCCATCTGTTCGCCGCGCTCGGTCGACGCAGTTGGTGCGGCCGTGGTGACGTCATAAAACCCGTCTGAATCCGCCGTCGTGTCGGTAACGTCTTCGTCGCCTTCATATGTGGACGTCGTGGGCGGCAGGGCCGGCAGGTCGGTCGCGGTGACGTTCGGAAATTGAGCCGCGCCAATGCCAGTAGGAGCCACTGTGGTACTGGTTGTTGTGGTGGTGGTGCTGGTGGCAGCTGTCGTGGTAGTGGTAGAAGTCGACGACGACGGCGACGATAGAGGAGAAGAAGACGCGGAGGCGCCGAAGAACGAAGGAATTGACGGCACAGGAGACGGTTGCGATTCGTAACGATTTAGCGAAGATTCCTCCCTGCGCCTGTTCCAGGCTCCACCTTCCACATCATTGGTGTCTAATTCGGCACGCAATACCGAGATGTGCCGCTGTTCTCCGTACATGCGCTTCATCAGACCGTGATTCTCGAAGACGAACCGCCTAACGGCATGCCTGAAATTAAGGACCGCAATTGTCGGAGTTAGAACAGACTGGCTACTTCACTGTGACTGTTGTCAGTCACGTAGCCAGTGAAACGTTAAGTGTTTCTATTGACTTTTATTTAATATTAACAGAAACCAATGCCGCGGCTATTATTATTTTTCCCCTTTGATCTAAGTCTACTACTTTGTAAATAAACTCAAATTGAGAGATTGAAAGACTTTATGCTTAAACATACTTAATACACGTCAGAAATACATTATTTCATTTAAAACATATACCATAATCATTTAGAAATAATTTCCAACAGTCAAAGTTGCCACATCTAAAAGTTTAAAACAATAAGTATATTGATTTTATCGTTGTTAAAAAAATATGACATGATAACATTTTGTTGACACTAACTTAGACTACTAGATGAAGCAGTTAAATATTGTGGTATTTTTCAATTATCATAAAAGCATATTAAATTTTTAAATTAATTGTTTTGATACATTTTGACTTAATAAAACAACTCAATCTTTGTATTTAAAAATTATTTGATTTAGTAATAGTCTTAATAGTAGTCTATAATAATAGGAGACACAAATATATTGGTGGTTATGATAATCTATGACGGGGTTTGCCCCCGTAGACGGGTCAAACCTTTAGGTTTTGTTCTTAATCCAACATTAGCTGGGAGACCAACAATACGAGTCAAGACTAGGAAGTAAAAGAGAGGAGAAGGGGGAACTTATCTACCATCCATCCCATACTTAAAACAGCGTTATAGAATAAGCGAATGGGAAGTTCAGGGTTTATGGTTTGATGCCAGAGATCAAAAAACCAAAAATTCAAGAAGGAAAATTTAAAAAAACATGTGTTTAGAAAAACTGTAAGACACACTGAACATATTCATAGACATTTATATGCCTCATGATTTTTTTACTAATTCTTTTTTTTACTCCTTTTCAATATTTACTTATATTTTATTATTATTATTATTTTGTCTTTTTCCGTGTAAACAATCCAACATTTTATTTGTTTAACCCAATTGATTATAACTATGAATTTCTTTTTATAGTTTTTTCAATTTTTATTTTAAAATCAATTATCATATTATTATTTAAAATGCATATAACTGTAATGTCTGATTTAATTACTGTGTCATTAGGCAACCCGTATGTCAGGCATACGACTTTTGTTCTTTTTAATAAAAGTTGTTCTCTTTCTAAAAATTAAAAGAAATAGGTAACGCTAGGATATCAAGTGACAGTCAATAGTATTATCTCCTAAACTTTTAAGTCTGGTTAACTAAAAGGTGTATGGTTCAATTCTAACTTATAGTATTCATTCTTCTCACAAATCTACTTATTTGTAAAACTACTTGTTTTAAACCCCGATTTTTTTTCTAATAAAATGTACTTAGATTTTAACCAAAACACTTTGGTTAAATCGTTATGATAGCATCGGGCATTTTAGTTAAATTTTGATTATTTAAATAATAAGATAAATCTGTTGTACAAACTGTGTGTTTACTAATTTTTAACTTCCAGAAATGTTTTTAAAGTTTATACAATCTTCCAATATGATATTATGTGTAATATTTATTTTTTACATTGTTATTATCATATTTGCTATATTTTATGTATTTCAGGTAAATTTTCTAAGGAATGATAATCGCCTAGGTTTAATATTTTAGATACCTAACCTACCTAATCATCTATTATTTGTAAAACGTGATTTGAAACAAAATTATTTGGACGGAATTCATTAGTATAATTAAATTTGTTTTTCTTTTAGTATATAATATTTACACATTAACATAATAACAGGTATAACCCGACCCGTCTGGTGACGACAGGATAAACAAATTCGTTCGGCAAGTAAGTAAAAAAAACTATATTAAATCTTATTTAGTTAACGAACGACACGACTGAAGGTAGACGTCTATATGTCTCACGATGATCATAAAAAAAATGTTCACGAGATAATATTTAAATTACAAAGAATATCGTTTAGCCTTGACCTTACCGGGCGACGATACGACGGTAAGCTGTTCAGAATTCTTATGGAAAAAAAAAATAATAAAATTTTCTTTTGAAAAACAACATACTTTCACCGGTCGGGTGTTCCTCGTTTGGTTTGGATATCTCATCACATACCCCGCATGCGTTGCACCACAAAGCACACACCGAGTGCTGCTGTCTTAATATAGAACTTTCACTCGTTCATGTCACTTTAGACACACTTTCACCTACATTTATGAGTGTTACATAAATCATGACACACGCACAACAACAACAAAAACAACAACAATAGGAATTATAGGCGAATTTTAGTTTTATTTTTTTAGCGCTCACCACATTCCGCGAATGGCCTTCTGTTCTCAGGCGGGCTCGAAGGCGAACAATGCCTGACCGAAAGAGAGTAGGAAGATTTTGCTTTCTAATAAATGCCTACACTATTATACAGTGTTATCGGTCGATAGTCAATAGATCCGAATGAGAAAACGTTGGCTAAATCCTCTCTTTTATGTACTTATAATATACCTAATTAAAAGTGTATTTTTTTTTATTATTATAATATGAATTGTTTTTCACTATATAAACTTTATCCGTATGACTATACTATTGCCTGTATTATGTATTTGAAGGAAAATTTTTTTTTCTAACCGCCCCAGTTTACTCGTGAACAAAACCCTCTGTGTCTCCTTACCACGGATACGTCGATCCAGGCACCATACACCACGACTGGGAGTTGAGGTCGCACGGTAAGTCCGGGAACCTGGCTTTGGCATTTCGGTACGGTTTCGTGCACGTGTTGTAACCGTCATAACCGTATCCGTTGAGCTCCAGCGGCAGCTAGAAAAAACAAAACGAATGTTTTTTTAAAAATTATAACGATATACATACTATTATCATGTTTTACACGCCCTCCGGCCGGTGTCGTTATCTAGGAAATAAAAACACTAGTAACGGCCGTACTCGGATATTATATATTATTATTATGACCCGGTTAGTATGTTTATGTGTATGATGTATATTATATACAGGAAGGAGCGCGGCGGTATGTCGGGCAGTAGAAGAAAGGAGTCGTGAAAGTTAAGACGTTGGCAATGGAAACTGTGCCATGCAGTGCGGCGGCTGACTGTAATTTTTATTGTGCACACAATGTCAAGGTGTCTCAACATTGTACGGTCGCCGACCGTGAGCGTGCGTTTTAGCTGTATTACTTATTGGGATTTTTTTTTTTTTGTATTTCTTCACAAAACATATTGTTGTTATTATGCGCGTGTCATGTGCAAATCAAATAATACACACCGGCGAAAAAAGGTAAAGTCCGAAACGTTTTTCACAAAAAAAAAAAAAAAACGTTCTAGCCGCTATTATTATTGTAATCTGTGTATTTGTCTCCGAAAACACATTGTCCGCTCCTACACGAAATACATATTATAATATGTTTATTAACAGAATTGTTTTAAGCCATATTATGCCGTCACAAGTCATAGACCCCCAGACGGCCGGATCGTCTATTGTTTCTACAAGGACGCGGCCGACCGCCGTTTTAACCATTGAGAGACTACAAATAATTATTATTATAACGACCAAATATAAACGAGCACGGTCGCTAGATAAAAAGAAGTTTTGCCGTGCTTATTTCCCGTTACACCATCTTCGACGACCGAGGCGAGTGGGCAATTGCGCAAAGATAGAAAAAGTTCATTGCTTATGTTTTTTTATCATAATTTTTTTCTAACAAAAACACAATACCTAAACGCCCGCCAATTTTGCGGCATATTTGCCAATTCAACGACCCGTCGTGTTGCACGCAATAGCTGTTGGTTTTTTTTTCTTTGCCACCGACCATCTGGTCTGGCCACTTTTTGAGCGTGGGGTCATGATTTCGGTTAGGTTTATGGTGACGAGAAAATCAAATACACAAACACACAACGCGGTGTCGACCACTCGGCGGCATACATCGACAAATAAACTGTCGTTTACCACAACACAATACTCTACTATTATAAAGAACTTGTCCGATGGTCCGACGATCAAGATACCGAGTACGTTCCGTGACGATCGCCGGAGACCGATTAATAATAAAAATAATAATTATGAGTGATAAATTATGGTTTATGTAAATACAATGAAACCGACACACGAGATTCAGTCGATTATTAACAACGGCTGTGCGCAATGAGACGACCCAATCCAGTTTTGTGTACGGTACCACACACACGAGCGAGGTGAAGCTCCGACCTTCACCCCGTTGCACGCCGTTACACCTCTCGTCATGACCATACGCAGCAACCGCCGGTTTCCTACATATAAATAATACTATACTATTTCAATAATCCTCCGCCCTCGTCTTCAGCTGTATAGTTCACTGTTCAGCCTACAACCGCACAGTCAATAAGTATATGTACAAAACCTATACACGTTTTTTATCCGGCCGGTCGCGTCACGATAAATAGGACAACAAGCGAGAAAATTAAGAAAATTGTTTTGGTTACAAAAATAAACCGTACAACTCAAAAGCCAAGCAAATACGTTGTACGTCCGAACTTTTGAATCATCTGACAAAAACGTACTTACATTACGTGTACAAAGAGTAACACCTCGTCTGACTCAACAGGCAATAACCTAATATCGACTACGATCGCGTTAATAGCTGCTACAATTAATCGTGTATACTATAACAATATATAAATTAGGTACTTACTGCCCAGAGGAGTAGTATCTTTAAGTACATGAGTCGTCCACATGCAGTACACTGTAGGGGCGCGCGGGACCACGCACATGGGTTTCGGACTGACGTTGGCCGGGTGTCGCACGCGAGACTGACGACTGGCGGCCGGACGGCGAGCCTCCTCGGACCGGTGGCGGTGTCGGCGGCCGCGGCGACGTCCAACCGCAAAACTGGGTCAGCGGCTCGCGTTCGTCGTGTATACCGTTACGTTTAGCCTACTCGGCGGACCTCTACGTTGGCGGTGGCGGCGGCGGCTCCCTCATGAGAACACACTCACACATGCATTGTATACATATATATGAGTCTACCCATATAGGAGTCTACGCTGCACGACCGGTACGCGAGGTGCGCCCGTGCACGTAACGCGCCGCTCGAATGTTCAGCTCACTTTCACCGGGCCTATCGTCGCTTCCTCGTCGCATGTTTATAATAATAATATTATATTCAAACTTTATTGTGTTGATGTATACATAATTAGGTATGTCGTATAATATATATGTGTGTGTGTGTGTGTGTGTGTGTGCGACAGACGCGATAATATTATTATAAAGGATGAGTTTACAGACCCTGTGGTGTACGACAAAACGCGTTTCCCTTTTTATGTATATATTTTTTAGTTCACTTCAATTACCTACGTGCAGCCGCCGACGAAGTGATTCAAGTACACTATCTGAGAACACTGTTCTTCTCTTTTAGGTATACACCTGTACCGACGGCGGTCGATAAAACAACAGATTTTGCTTGTTAAAGAAACACAAATAATATAAATACGTATCCAAATATAATTTATTTATTATTAATTTGTTTGAGAAAACATGTGATTCGAAGACCATTCTAAAATTTTACTATTTATAAAACAAATATAACAACAAGAGAACAAGCTTAAGTCCGAAAAATAAAAAATCAACGAAATATATATGTTATAACGAAATATATTTTGTTTATAATAAAAAGTGAAATTTGAGTTGAGCGTTAAAGTCTTCATCTGGTAGGTGACAATTCAAACGAAATATCTGTATTGCATGAACCTTCCTAAACATTAAATGTACCTTGTAAGCTATATAAAATACTTGTTCGCAATAGATGTTTAATATCGGTCTAAGTAGAAAGTAGTAACAAATAAATATGCATACCATATACGTTAGTCATTACAATTTACACCTAAGAATGTTGTCAACCGTAAATGGATATTTTGTACTATTTTATTATACAGTATAGATATTTTTAGTATTAGTATGTCCAAACGAAACCTCTTTACAAACTCCTTGTACAATATTCATAAGTAAAAAACAAAAATATGTAAAATTAAAAAAGTTGTGATATCAACTTGGGGACTATGTAATATTATACATAATTTTATTGATAAAATAACTAAGCTGAGTATAATTACTTTGGTTCTACATAAATAAAGTTATTTATAATAAAATAAAATGATGTATGATATAACTTTTTTTTTATTATTATCTTAAGGCTTCGCCTTGTCGCTTCAACCAATCTTGTATTTTATCTGCTAGTCTTTTCATTTCACTATATGATATAACTAAGCCCCTAAATTGAGGCGCAGCGCTAGAAAAGCTTAATCCATTAATTGATTATTAAAAAAAAAAAAAGCTGATTATAATTTTTTAAATGGCAATTTAAAAATAAAAAAGTGCAGCCATTCAGTGGTTAATATTTTTTTTAGGTTTGGGTCAGTTTGGTTTTAAAAATATTCTATTATTCCATGTATTTTGTTTAAATTATGAGTCATAACTAAAATACGATTGTCTACACTCTGACCGTGTCATGACAACACATAAGGTAAAATTTTAGAATGTACGTAACAAACAATACTTGTGTCATCCAGATGGATTTTTATTGTACTCACTCATAACAAATGTGTTTCGTTGTTTTCTATTACAATAGAAAATCATACATCATTACAATGATTGTTAATTATCCCTTACTAATATTTTAATATTGTTGACATGACTATTATTTTAATCGCTTATCCTACGGGAGAACACTTAAGAGGACGCCACACCAAAATACTTTGTGTACTATTCGGACTTCCTATAGTACTCAGAAACTATAAATCGTAAAATAAATCTGAGGACACCAAAAGAAACCTTGGAATGTTTACTACGTGCGCATAGAGCCATATTTCCAACAAAAAAAATGTTTACTTTGTTGTAGACTTGTCCTAGGCCTTAATATACACAATTGATTGAAGGTGATAAATAGGTATTTATTTAAAAATTAAAAAAGTCAAACTGAAGACTATTATTATTTAAAGTTCATTACACAGTTAAGCTAAGCAATTTAGTACATAAAAAATGATGCAGGTTGGTCGTCGTAACAGGTATACTGATCACGAGCTAAGAACATCTCCCCACACCGTGCGTGGTGATGCTGATAGGACCTCTGACTAAAATGGATCTGCCAATTGGTGGTAAAGTGCTGCTATTTATATTGGCATGGATGTGGTAGGATATTCGCATGGGCAATCTAGATACAGGTCGTCCTTCGTTTGTGATTGCGTGATTGTCGCCAAGTCGATGACCTTATCCGGGTTGGATAATTGGCGGGTGGTTTGCGCTGCGCATACAGACTTGTCGCATACTTGACTCTCTAAAGAGTGATTACGTAAGTGGCTAGACTGGTGTCTTTATTCCAGGGTAACGAGTACGTCGAAGCCACGTGCCAATTATCCTTTTCGTATTAGCGAAATACGTTGATGCCTGGTTAATCAGGGTTAGCTCAGGGTGATCTGTCTGCGTATATAAACTGATTGGTGATTGGTTAACTATGGACCAGTAAATAACTTAGAAGATATTAGACTTTTCTTAATTATTTTTTTTTTATAATTTTATAGCTGTTATTAGTTGGGACGAATTTAATATATTTTTAACAAATTTAACCCTTTCCCTTATATGTTAAAACTGTATGAACTTAAGAATTTTAAATGGTAACGTATATATTTTATTAACTTTATAATTTTAAAAAAAAATTGCTGAACATTTTGACTGGTCGATAACCAGTTTTGGTCTTTGGATGATTAGTTTTCAAGTTATTCAATTTTAAAAGTTATGTCTGGAAGGAAAGGTCGGTTGAGTAATGCGCGCAGATGAAAACATCTCTACTCTCCACCCTTCCTCCCGTCCTAAATTTTAAACTTTAATAACTTTGAAAATAATGATCTAAAACTGGTTATCGACCAGACATAATACTCAGCAAATTATTCTTAACTCAAAAAGTTAATCAAATATTTACGTTACTATAAAAAAAATTCAAGTTTATAAGATTTTAACATACAAGGGACGGAGTTATAAATTTAAAAAATATATTAAATTTGTCCCAACTAATAACTATACAATTATTTAAAAAAAATAATTTAAAAAAGTCTAATATCTTTTAAGTTTTTGACTGGTCTATAGTTAACCAATCACCCAGTATATTATGTTGCAAATCTCTCAATTGTATGGAATTACATTTATACAAAGACTTGAATATTGTGTACAGTTTATGATCCGGTTGTACTTTTCAAGATATTATATTTATTAATTTATTACACTTTTATTATATTTTTTTTATAATACTATTAAATATTGCATATGTTGCGTAGTAAAAGCTGGTTTGGAAGCTTGTACAGGTTTCTATATGTTTGAAAACATACTTAATACATTCTATTTTAATGTATCTTTGACATTATACTTATTCTTATTGAAAATAATATTACAAGATTGATACTACAATTAATATAGATATTGTTATCGGCAACAACTTATAGTATTTTCAAAAATAATTGTTTCAAACATTCATAGAACCAATGTCAATAAAGTTATCGAACAAAATTCTCTATGGCCACGTAAAATAAATTCTAGTATTTCATATGGTACTATAAACGATTTTCTACGACAAATAGCCTAAACGTACTATTGGAAGTTCGAAGGGATGTTTTTGAGTTTTTATAATAATTTATTATGTCGAGAGCTGGCGCGCCTAGCGGCCAATTTATCACACTTCTATATACATTCTAAAAACATGTTTTGGACCTATCGACTGCCGTAGCGTGGCAGCAGCGATAACGGCGGCGGTGGCACCGCAATTAATACCTGAAATTAAAAACAGATAATCCATTCTTAACAATTGATTTTCAATAACACGGACCAAATATAATAGTTGTACAGTGATATCGTTATTTAATATTTGATATTTTGTAAAAGTAATAACTGTAATTATTATTCTTACATCATTTAAGTTAATATAATATTACAAAACACATTCATAACAATCAAAAGTTGCGTGGCTAATTTTAAAAGGTGCTGTCTAAATACTTTGTACGTCGTAAGAAGATTGCCAGGGCTGAATAACTTTACTTCAATTGTGTAATACAGATAACAAATCCTGGTAAGTTAATGTTTATGAACTGTATTAACCCTAATTTGCAATAAAAGTAATAGTGGTTACCAAAAATCAAATAGCTGTATATATTTTCCAGTTCTACCTTACACACCTACAGTGTTAGGGTAGAGAAAAAAATCGAAAAATACATATGGCTGACCGTCTCATTAGTGACGGCTAATAAGCACATAATATAATTGGATTAAGTCAAGATGAACCTAGCAAATCGATAACTTTTCTGAAAAAGCCTTCTACCAAATTCCTGCAGTACCGGCGTACCTGAACAAGGGCGCCCGCAGGTGAAAATTCAGGGGAGAGAGTTGTCCCCCCGTCCCTCCCTGTGGGCGCACTTGTACCTGTACTAACCCTAAATACCACCATCCCAACTTTAGAATTATTATAGTAATCAATAGTTCTAAAGACCATATATTGGTGGGTTAAGCGGGATTGTAATATTTATTTAAAAACTGACCGCTTGATTTGTTATTTGTAAAATAAATATAAAACTTAATTTTACTGCAAATCATTTTTTAATAATTAGTAATCAATAATGATGTACACCATATAACTGTACTTGTACACAAAAAAATGAAATAATTTCAGCCAACGCCCTGGAGCATGTGGAACGTACACTGATTATAATATTATGGTGGGTTTGTTGTTATACATACATCTCAGATAATAAAAATAAAATACATTTTTTTCCATAAAAAAATGTTGCCTATTCCCAACATTAACTTCATCATTGTAAATCATCGAATTTTTCTTTTTAAGAGTTCTACTACTTCTAAACTATATTGTAAGCCAAAAATATATCTATAGAAGTTTTACTATTACTGTTTGTCATTAAGTATTATTATTCCAATTACTGCTCCTCGGTAAGAGCAATAATTGTAATATGTGTTTTAAACCTACACAAACACATTTCAGTTAAAGATTACCTAAATAGATATGAGAGATGAGTGTTCTTGACAATTTTTACTAAGCTATCGATACTAAAGTCATAATTATTTTTATATTTCTTCAGTTTTACGGTTTCGGCTTTCGAAAAAATACTAGTAAGTACTTGTTAATCGACATGGAACAATGGAAAGGAACCGTAGCCTTAGTAACCGGGGCGAGTGCAGGAATCGGTCATGCTACAACTTTAGAGCTTCTGAAACATGGTGTTCATGTTGTGGCCTTAGCCAGACGAGGAGATAAACTTCGGGTAATAAGTTAAAAATATTTTTTGTTAAAATGCCTTAAAATACAATGAATTATCAAGCCAAAACTTAACAGTAGTCAATATCTTAGAGATTTGTCAATAATCAATTCATAAGTCTGGATTTCACACTATTGAACTAATATAATATTATACAACGTTTCATACGGAGTATCACTAACGAATTATCTAGTCCCTTCATATTATAAATACATTTAAATTAAACTAGAAATATTAAAGTTATCCGTTGAATATTGTAATCGTATTTTTAGGACATACCTGATCAGCTACCGAAAAATAGTAATGACACTTTTGGTAAACTATACCCAATGGAATGCGATATTACCGATGAAAACACAGTGAAAAACGTATTCAGTTGGATAGACACGAATCTTGGAGGTATCAGCATTATGATCAATAACGCCGGAATTCTTCGAAAAAGCACTCTCCTAGGTAAGTATTCTTATTTTCTAGATGATATATAAAAAAAAATTATCCGAGTTACTTCATGTCTTTATTTAGTTTTTATATCCACTTGGTTTTTCGGTTTACCTTTACTTTTAAATCCCTCACACTTACTCTCCCTTACCTATTTTGCTATTTAATTTAAGTTGTTATTTTTGAATATGCCTAAATTATTTACACAATAGTCTGTAAATTGACGAACACCTATTTGTAATTCTGTCTAACCTAGTTACTTAAAATAAGTACATGTATGATAAATTAATATTGTTTTATTTTATCAATGTTAGGGGGTAAAACGGAAGACTGGAAATCGATTTTGGACCTCAACGTTTTGGCTCTATCGGTATGTACAAGAGAAGCATATCAGTCGATGACAAAACATAATATCAACGGTTACATAATTCAAATAAACAGGTAATTAAACAAGTTAAAATTAGCGTTTATTAATGTACGACTAACAATTGATTCTAAATTGAATTTTCGTGACTCCAGTATAGTAGGCCATTCTATATCATCAATTTTCGGGAATAAAATGTACAACGCATCTAAAAAAGCAGTAACGGTTTTGTGTGACGGTTTAAGACACGAATTGCAACTGGTCGGATCGAAAATAAAAGTCACGGTAATGATAACCTTTTAGTTACACAACGTTTTACAAAATATAAAATATTGTATTGAGCTTTCGTTAATTGCAATAGTATATTGTGTTCTCAGAGTTTAAGTCCAGGTTTGGTTGACACAGAAATATTCGCCGCTGGTAATTGCCCTTTGGTAACCGAAGGAGTTTCAAATCCACCTCCCTCTTTGACAGCCAAAACCGTAGCAGATACGGTGATTTTAGCGCTTTCTACGCCCCCAGATGTCTTGGTATGTTTTTCTAAATACATCATCTAGCTAAGCTGTATGATTTATTAATTAAAATTATAGTAAAAACATATAGGCTACAAATAAGTGGGCATGGATATGTCATAATATAAAGTATAGGACCCTGGTACTATCTTTAATCTTTTATTTTAAGTCTCTCCCCTCCGCCGACGATGGGTGTGACATCCAGCGTGACGTTGCGGACAAATGTATATATTTTATTACACCTTAACTTTACTTTGTCGGCCTTTGCTCTCCGACAGCCTACTTCTTTTCAATGGCATGCAAGAACCGTTGTTAATCATTTTAATTTGTAATTTGTTTTATTTTAGTTTGCAGAGCTCACTGTTATAAGAGTCGGCGCCACTATTCAAAATCACATGACAGCTCTTCCTCCATTTACAGTTTGTTAAGACAATTATATACATTGTTTAATCCTACTACGTTTAGCTTTATTTCGTATTCAAATACTCATTCACACACACATGCGTGATGATAATTATTGCGATTGAGATAAAATATTATAGTTTTATGCATAATAAAATTAAAAAATTAATTAGAATGCATGTTAATTATTAATATAAGGGATAGATATTTTATAGTAATAGTAAAGTAATAAAGAAATATATATGTTATTTGAATTTATTTCACCCGAATCTTAATCGTTTTACACTACCTTATCTATATAATTACAATTAATAGGTAATTTTGATACACACATAATTTATTGTTCTATAAATAAATTATATATTACATTTGCTATAATGTAAATCTGTATAGGTACTGAGTTTTTTGCACGGAGTCCCATTATGTGGCTTCAGTATTCAGACGTTTCACACGAAAACACATTAAAAAATATATATAGAAAAAAATAGGATATTTTTTTTAAATGAAAATTATGGCTTTTGAAACTAGTTCTTTCACCAACAAGTTAGAAAAGAATCTCGAGTACAACGTGCAAACTCATTATTAACTGAACTCATCGATAACAATAACAATAATAGTAATAACGGGCAACGCAATATAATTTTGTAATACACATTACTCGTCTCGGGATTTGATGGTGTACCTATAGTGTTTACGTGTACACTTTTACTATCAATTGTATGAGCTGGGATTTAATGTATTGCTACCAGCTTTCATCATATACAACCGACAACATGTATTATTCCATCAGAATAACCAATCCTAACCAAACGTTTCTGACTCTATGGTCAGATTTCAGTATTATAATATTAATGTACTATCAAGAGGATGGTAGATATAATTATTATTGTATTAAATAAGAGGAGGAGGGATATTGAAAAAAAAAATAAATATCTATCATGACAGTTTAATTTATAATAGTTTAAAAATAAAATGTTTAATGCGTTTTGTTACAAAAAGTAATTTTGTGATGATTTTATTTTTATTTATTTAAAACTCCAAAGGGTTAAATATAGAAGTGTACATTTTTAAATGTATACATAAAGATAACAAATCATCCAAACATTCTATGTGTTATTACAGTGAAAATTTATTTGCAACAAATTATTTATATAGATTCTTTTTTTTTTATTTATTAAAGAGTATTTACAATCTATGCTGCAAGGCATAATAAGCAAATAGTTACATTGTTATATATACAGAGAGAGGGAAAAAAAATAAACAAATAGAAACGGTGATTTGATATGAGGAGGGAGGCTATCCAGTAATAGAACCCAACGTGATTTTTGTTCTAATTATTTTTAATTAGATTAATTTGAATTATTGTATTAACAGATCTCGACACCAATGTCTTCGGAGTCGGCGAGGTGGATTTCCGGGGAGTGAATTAGAAGCAAGTTGAGATATTAAAGGGTTAGAATGAGTGTGTAATTTGGAATGAAATTTTTTGTAGTGTTTTATGGCTAAGTGGTTTATTGGTTCTATTTTAAAGTCATTGTGAAGTGTGCAGTTTGATACATACCATGGGGCAGAAGAGATAATACGTAGAGTGATAGATTGGAAAGCTTGTAAGGTACGAAGTTGGGATGGTTTTGCACATCCCCAAATTTGGATTGCATATGCCCAAATAGGCCTTAATAGGGATTTGTATATAATAATTTTAGTGTGGAAAGGTAATTTTGATTTGAGGATTGGACGTAGTAAATGGAGTCTGCTGTTGAGAATTTTCCTTTTAGATTTAATGTGGGAGCCCCAAGTTAATCGTTTGTCGAGTGTGACACCAAGATATTTGACTTCCGAGGATATTGGAATAAATATTCCTTGGAATTGGGGAGGGGGTGGAACAGATTTTTTTAGTGTGAAGGGAACGTACACAGATTTATCTGGATTAATTTTAATTCTCCAATTAGATGACCAGGAATCAATTAGATTTAAGTGAGTTTGAAGGAAATTGGAAGTAACTTCTGGATCATTTCCTGGGGAGAGTATTGCAGTGTCGTCTGCATAAGTAGCCATAATAGTATTTGGTGTTTTTGGAATGTCAGCCGTAAAAACATTAAATAGATCAGGGGAGAGGTCACTGCCCTGGGGCACTCCTGCTTTAATTTGGTGGTATGGTGAAAAGGAATTACCATATCTGACTCTATAACTTCTATTTTCTAAATAAGAACGAATTATTAAGTAATATGGGGCAGGTAGAAACAATTTGAGTTTGAAGAGTAGGCCTTCATGCCATACACGGTCAAAGGCCTGGGCCACATCCAAAAATACCCCTGGACAATATTGTTTTTTTTCAAAAGAAGAACAAATTTGATCTGTTAGTCTGTGAATTTGGTGAACAGTCGAGTGATTGGATCTAAAGCCAAATTGGGAATTAGGAATTATGTTGTGGGCATGTAATTTTGGTCTTATCCTTATGAGTATAATTTTCTCAAACAATTTGGCGAGAGTTGGGAGTAAGCTGATAGGTCTATAGGAAGTAATCTCATTTTTTGATTTGTTGGGTTTGGGGACAACAATTATTGTGGATATTTTCTATATTAATGGAAAATAAGAAATTCGCAGCATGGAATTAAAAATATAAGTTATTAGAACAATTGTTTTTTTTGGCAAATTTTTGAGGATTTTGTTAGTTATGAGGTCATGTCCTGGTGATTTCCCTTCTTTTAATTTATTTATTAAAAATTTGATTTCACTTGGTGAGGTATGTTTTGCAGGTAATGACATTGGAAGAGGACTATTGACAAAAATATTAACCTTTTCTAAGTGTTCGTGGTTGGGAAATTCGTCAGTATGTGGTTTGAAAATGTTGGAAAAATGCTCTCCGAAAAGGTTGGCTTTTTCTTTGTCAGAGATGGCCAAGGATCCATTTGGGCCAGTTATAGGTGGAAGTTGTTGTTTTATGTTAAGTAAGCTTTTGGTAGTTTTCCTAAGTGAGCCATCTTTTGAGTTTAAGGACTGGTATTTTCTTTCGAAGTACTCAGTTTTGTGTTTTATTATTAATTTTTTAATAGTGTTCATTAAGTGATTAAATATTTGTTTGTCGGAAGGATATCGATATTTCTGCCATCTGGAGCGTGCACGTCTTTTATCGGAAATCAACGTTTTAATATATAAAGGCAAAGTATGATTATTTGATTGATGTTTACTGGTTGGATATGACGCATTGTGGACGGCAGATTGTACAGAAGTTACGAGGTCTTGGGCAGCGTTTTCTATATCTATTTTTGATTTAAGGGAGATATTTAGATTAGTAGTGTTTTGCATAATTTCAGAGAATTCTTTCCAATTTACTGGGCCTTGTGATAAATAAGGATGTATAAGATTAAGTTCTGGACTTTCATTTAATTTTAGAAGGACAGGAGTGTGGTCTGAGCTAAGGTCATTTAGGTTATTAATAGAGAATTTCATAGTTCTAGGTAGTGTTGAAAGAAAGAAATCTAATATATCAGGGTGTCTATTTTCGTGTTGGGGCCAGTAGGTAGGACCATTTGGCGATATGGATGTGTAATTGTTGTTGTTAATGATTTTTTGGAGTATTTTTCCTCTTGAGTTGTCGGATATGCAACCCCATTGGGAGTGTTTGGCATTAAAATCGCCCCCAGCCAAGAAGTTTGGCCCTAGGGATTTTAAAAAATCTTTTAGTTGTGTCGAAGTAATAGCAGGATGAGGGGGAAGGTAAACTGAAGATATTTTGATCGGTGTGTGATTTAATGTTATTTGGATATTAGTTGCCTGTATAGTAGGGGTTTGGTTAATAGAGAGTAACTGATGCTGGATTTTAGAGGAAATAATAATAGCAGATCCTGCATGAGCAGTATTGTCGGGGTGATCAGCTCTATAAACCTTAAAACCAGGGGAAAATAGTTTAGTGTTTGGTTTACAGTGGGTTTCAGAAATAAGTGCCAGATCGATTTGTTTTTCTGATAGTAAATTTAGCAGTTCAGAATCATGTTGTTTTAAACCGTTAGCATTCCAAAGCAATATCTTTAGTACGTTTATATTTGGTTGATTACTGACCATCTTTCATAAGTTTATTTATAACTGTTGTGAGTAGTGATATGAGAGGGTTAATTATTAATTTAAATTCAGAAATGAAGGAGGAAAGTTGAGTAGCTATATTAAACTCAGGTAGATTAATAGTTGTGTTTGGGGGTGTATTATTTGGAGCGTTGGAATGGAGATGTTGGTGGGTTAGGTTTGGAAAAGATGAGGTATTTTTAATATCAGGAGGATCCTGACGAGTTCTATAACCGGAGTCGTCCCCCCCTTTAACAACATTACTGTAATTTACATCTTTTATTAAATTATATTTTCTATTTGGAATTTTTTTACCATAGTGTAGTTTTTGAAGATCCTTGTGGATTTGGCATCCTCGGTAATTTGCGGTATGATTTCCTCCACAGAGAACACAAACTGGTGGCTGATCTTTGGTTTTCGTACAGGAAGAAGTTGGGTGGTAAGCGGCACAACGAACACATCTTGGAGGGTGTGCGCAGTATGATTTATAATGACCATATTCTTGACAATTTGTACATTGTATAACAGTGCGTCTTTTATATGGTTCTTCGATCCTTATTTTGGTATTTAGTAAGGAGTTAATATGAATGACGTCCTTGTTGATTTCAGCGGGTTCCAAATCAATGAAAAATATTGGGAGTTTATTTTTTGTAGTTTTGTTTAAAACATTGGAGACATTTCGGACTGTATATCCCCCAATTTCTTCAAGCGCTGAGCCTATTTCGGATGTTGGAGTGGAAGGGTGAAGATTACGAATGACTATTCGGAAGGGTTTGTCTTCTTGAGCTTGGTAGGTATGAAACTCAGCCTTATTTTCTTTTATAGATTCTTAACTGTTGTAAAGAATTTAAAAAAAAAAAAAAATCATAATCATAACATTGTTTGCGGAGGAGAAGAAGCGACATAAAACTATAAAAGACTATATTTTGCAGTATAATTATTTGTATTCAGTGGCATTGCGAATGGGATGCTTGATCTCGTATTTAAATTCAATAATTTTAATTTTGATAGATCAAGTAATTAGGGACAGTCTAAATTATCATTAATTAATTTATAATGATAGATGTCACAGCATTATAACACTGCCGTAGTTTAAGAGATTCTATACTTAATTTTCTTGCAACATCCACCTGATTTCATCTGAACCAGTTGAAATTATTGGCTTTTTCGTGAAAATTCAGAGGGAGGGCCGTTTATGTTATACCGCCTATGATTTTGTAATAGATTTTACAAATTCGGGTTATTGGTTATAATTTTTTTAACTTGCAGAGAAGCTAAGGGGAGAGTTGTTTTTTCCCTACCTTTCCTTGCGGGCGCCCTTGTTTAATTATTTTAGTTTCGTATAGAATATGCTTCTTACAGCAATTTATTTTAACTAGAATAGATTAAACTTTATAGTTGTGCCTTACGTTAACATGGATGCAACTCAATGTACATAATATTATCGGTTTGGTGTAAAATGGGAACGAGATGGGAATTTTTTTACTAAAAAGCTTAATAAAATGTTAACTATTTAGAATGGTCCAATTTCAATTCAGTAAATTATACAGTAAACACTCCATTTTATAAATAAGTAATTCTCTTTCTGATTGGCACACTCAGTATATGTAAATGTATTTTGTTTTACTTTATATAATTTGCATGGTACATATAATAATCGGGTGCAAGTATCGTTGTGTGCATATCATTTTATGAAATAGTCGATATTCATAAATTATGTTACATTTAAAAATTGTGTGCAAAAATATTATTAAATGCATACAATCTTATAAGATATTTTATATTAATATATTACAATTTTTACAGAATTAAAATCAATCCACCTTATGTAGGGTTAATTTTATCAGGTTTTTAGGTCTGAAACGTCCAAAAAATAGACCGCTTTCAATCCACTTAATATTTAAATCTATCTATAGCATGAGAATTTAGGTAGAATTAATATTTATGTAGTATCAATGTATAATTGTTCGTTCCGATATTCATTATCCTTAAGTTTTCAGGAACTATGCAATTATTGACCACGTTTTTCTCCTGGAACTAACCGAAATTTTTCTGGTATTTAATTCTTGTTAAACCACGCTTAGTTTAAACTCACTAAAATAATTGTTTTAAATAAAATCATCTAGTATTTGTGATTTATCACTTCCAGTTATAATAATTTCTGTAGACCTGTGACCTCCCCGTCCCCACTATGCCACGACCCCACTGAACTGGCTTTTTAAATTTTTTTTTTATAAATCTAAACAAACAATTTAAATTGTTTTACTATTTCATTTGTCGTATGTTGTATTGTTAAATTTGTTGTTTACTAAAAACATTTTGTATGTATACATGTAAACATAGATGGGAGCACTGGAAATAATTTATACCTACATATACAAAATAATTAATAAAAATAATTAACTCTACATGAGTTAATGAGAGTTATGTAGTTAATGTTATTAGAGTCATTACTCATAAGTTCATTTTCGAAAAAATATTATTAGTAGGGTGCAATGAACATTTTCTATTTGTCGATTTAGATAATAGCATATTGCCCCAAAAAGTTACCTTATGCTTTTAATAAGCAACCTTAAAATTATTTTTTATCCAATTTTATTGACGATATCGGATTTGGGCGCGCTTAAGAAAGTTTCATCAGACCTCTAGCAATGAGTGAAAATAGAACACCACACACAAAGAAATAGTACCTAATGTATGCAATTGATCGAACATTATAGATCTCATATGTTATTACTAGACGCAAGTTACGATTATAATAATTGTGTGATAGGTACCTTGTTAAGTGCAATAACATGTTCATTAATTATTTTTATCGGAAGTCATTTGTAAAACACCGCAATATTGAATAGGTACTAGTAAGAAATATATTTTAAACGCTCTAGTGGTTTTTAATTGGTGAGATTGTAGTGGACAGCCGTCGCCCGTCGGCCTAAAAGCAAATCGTTATCTAGGGTTATTATACTGTTCTAGAACTTTCGATTTCATCGATAAACCCGATGTTCCGGCCGTCCACACACAAACTCCGTATACCAAAACCAGTTCACCGCGTTTAGTTTGCATATTATTGTGTATTTTACTACTGTCTTTGTCATTATGATTATTGTGTTTTTTACTATAGTTATTTTTTTATCATTGTATATTTTTTACTACCATTATTATTATTAATTATTATTATTGAAAATAAAAAACTATCTTCGAGGAATTATTATTATTAATATCTCCCATAAGATAACACGCCTACCTACTTAAAAAATACAGATAACCGAAACTTGTAACCCGAGAGAATTGCCGTTTTCCACCTTCAGTAATAACAAAACTATTGACGAATTAAGTCTATTTTTTCTGATTTTCGGTTACCGTATTTGCTATGGATCGTTGGAAGGGAAGTTTAGCTGTGGTGACTGGAGCTAGTGCAGGCATCGGCAAAGCCACTACTATAGAACTACTTAAGTCAGGTGTTAACGTTGTAGCTTTAGCCAGACGAGGAAATATTCTTAAGGTAACAATCGTTGTTCATTATTAATACTAGCACAGCATGCCATTAACTGTATGTTTTTTACGTTTCCGGGCAACTGGATTGTCTAAGCTCACAATTATTATAATATCAAATATTATGACACTGGTTTCATTTTTACACGTTCATCATAATATTAATTATAAAAAAAACAGAAAATCCACTCATGCCCCTCTCACAAACTTAGCTATAGTGGGATCACCAAAATTCACCTCTCTCCCTCCCCCCACCCCCCATTCCAGACGTTAGAAATAAATATAAATCCGAGACCGTTTCATCGTTTAAAACTTTAGTTATTGGTTTTTAAAAACAAAAAACCGAACGTTTTCATAACCTACCTGAAGTTCGAACTTAATAATACCTAATCAGTAAACTACGAGTATAAGCAGTTTCAAAGTATCCACATTTCAAAAATAGATTCACTAATTAACAAATGGGGTGACCTATTTTTAAATTTCGTTACAAAGCTGTTGATTTTTAAGTATTATAAGGATTTGAAAGCATAATATAACAACTGCAATTATTGGATTTAAAAAAGTAACATATTTTCACATTTAGACATTATACGCAGACCGTTGGTATAAAAAAAAATCAAGAATATACTTTAAGACATTACATAACACAGAATATTTCCGTAATACACTACATTCACAGATAAAGTTAAATTATTAAGATTAATTGGAGACAAGGTTGAACTATAAATCAATACAAGATAAGGGAATTAATTAAATAGGCAAAACTACATTTTACCTTGTGACTGAATAAGATTTGATAAAAAAAATTAATATAAATAAAAGTATTCAACTACTTATTCAAAGCTCAGTGCTAAGTATCAAATAAATTAAGAACTAATTGCAAAATATGAAATGGTACCTAGTTGCGATTAGAGAGCTTTATATGTTAAATGTTCACATATTAGTAATACATAATGGATAACAACAGCTTTTCCAAGCTTGATTAAAAAAAGTCGTGTATCTGCTAAATAAAAAATGTACTGTCTAATCATAAAGCAATTAAACGTATAACACTTCAGGTGGGGCGTGGGCATTGAACAGTTTAGATAAAATTCTTAAACTTAAATAATGTAATTTATATTAAATGCCGAGAAATTGCTTTGCTTATTAAACATAATTATTTTAAATTTCCAATTATAATTGTACATAATACATTTATGGTGGCATGAAGTAATTGAGGGAGATAAGGTGATAAGTGTTATTGTGCAATATATATATATATATATCTGAGCGGAACCTATAAACGAAAATTAGACGTGCAACCACAAAAACCGTTATTTGTATAAAATTCGTATTAATATGTAATGTAGATATAGTTTATAATATAAATTTTTTTGGTTTGTCAACATAAGTATATCGGTAGAACTACTACATCTAAAGAATATTCCGTAAAAACCAACTTGATTACTAACTATTCAAGACGTGCCGACTGCCGCAATTTTAAGGTGAAAAATGATATGTAAATTTTTTGGATGTTTTCTTGATTTTAAAAGGAAAGGGTAAACTTTTTATATATTAGTGCCAAAGAGTACCTTCCATGTATCATTTTTATTTATAGACTTGCTACATGAAGACATCGTTCAGCGGTTTATGAGATATTGTGGGCACAGACACAAAAATATAATATAAAACATAAAAACAACACCTTCTTAGCTCCGTAATACAGAAATATAGAAATACATTTGAGTTGAAATGAAGTATTTGGTTTTTTAGGAGGGGGTTGCCCCCGGGCTCGTCTAGTTACGCCTATGAACCCAAATAAGAGAATCATTGATAATTGTTTCAAACATTTTAAGAAATAGGTAGTAACAGTGGTTCTGCTATGTGTGCATTTATTTATAGTCCATACCCGATGAATTGCCAAAAGAAAACAATGGGACTTTTGGTATATTGTACCCAATAGAATGCGACATCACGGACGAAAACGCGGTGAAAACCGTATTCAGTTGGATAGATGGGAATTTAGGAGGGATCAGCATTATGATCAATAACGCTGGCCTTTTACGAAGAAGCACTCTCTTAGGTAAGTACTCCCATTACCATTTGTAGCAACTACCAACATAAATGTGACTTTATTGTGTGAACGTTACATTGTGCAAAAAAAACACAATTGCCATTAGGTGGCACAACCGAAGACTGGAAATCAATTTTGGACCTCAACGTCGTAGCACTTTCTGTGTGTACCAGGGAAGCATACCAATCGATGGCAAAATATAACATTGCCGGACACATTATTCAAATTAACAGGTGATAACGCTGTGCCATATTTATCATGATGACCTCGTCTAACATACTATAAAAATAATATTAGATTTTTCGAAAAATCTTAAGTATTTCAGGACACGCCTTAACTCCCGGGTTTGGAAATAAAATGTACAATGCATCCAAATTCGCTGTAACGGCTTTGTGCGACGGACTAAGACACGAATTGCAGATGGTCGGGTCAAAAATAAAAGTCACGGTAAGACGGTCGGCGATCTTGCGGGCTGTGTAAAATACAAGAACAGATGTCCAAAGAGAACCAATTTCGAACAGACAGAATAGATCATAGATCTATATCTATTCTCTGTTATAGCGGGTTTTAAAACAACCCGAGATTTTCTTATGTTATAACTTATAGTCAATAAAACGCTCATCTCATTTATATATATTATGTCCTATCATCGTCGTCTGAATGGAACTACTTGGAACGTCCCTAGCAAAAACTTGATCGCTGCCCAGCTGATTTCAAGATTTTTGTTTCAGAGTTTAAGTCCGGGTTTAGTTAAAACAGAAATACATGCCGCAGCCAATTGGCCTTTAGGAGAATCAGTAAGCAACGTTCCACCGCCCTTGTCGCCAAAAAACATAGCAGATACAATTATTTTGGCTCTCTCCACACCGCCGGAAGTCTTGGTACAATTTCAATCACTAATACTCATACCATATAAATATAACTAATATACTTTATACAATTTTTAAATACGCCTTAAAAAAACAATACAATGGGGACAGAGCATTTTGGGGCTTAGGTGGACAAGTGTATAATATGAATTATTTGAACTTGTTTTATTTGTTTCCCATGGTGGTACAAATCAATTTTCATACTTTTATTATTTTTATCATCAAAACAGGATTTGAGCAAGAGCCCATTTTGTCATTCTAGGATTAAAAGGATACTTATCTTTTATTTGAATCAATTAATATAATTAAATGTTACTAAAAAAATATTATATCTGTATAACTTAAAACATTTTATTAAGACGATTTTGCTTAATAAAAAATTAGGTGGCTCAAAGCCAAAAATGTTTTGCTTTAGGCTCAACGAGAAATTCCATTTTATTATTATACTGAATTAGAACTCCCATTTCTTTCTTTTAGTTCAACGGCATACTCAATAGAACTTAAAACATTTAAATATGCGCGTTGACTAGACCTTAAGTTAGGTTTAACTAAATCCTTCATACAGTTTTGTTAACTATTATTTAAAAGTATCAAATTTTGTTAAGTTTTGTAATGTTAAATTATTGATTATAAATATTTATAACCAATGGTTAAATTTAAACAATTTTCTCCCATCTCTTCGCAAGAAAGTCTAAACAAACCTATACAAATATTTAACTATTTTCATTTTGACTATGTGTACGTATAAATATTACGGTGGTCAAAAATTGCTCCAATTCAACCATTTTCTTATTTTGGACACAACTTAACACTTAACTCGATAGATCTAAAAATAATTATAGTACATAGTATAAGTTAATGCCACTAGACTGTGTTAAATATCAAAAATATACTTTTGGTATTATAAATAGGTATTTTAGGGTTAAAGTAAATTAATATTTGTAATAATTAATAACTGACAAAACATTTTTTCAGATTGCAGAGCTCACAGTTTTCGGAGTAGGTAGTACTATTCAAATGCATACCTCGCCTCGTCCACCATTTACAATTTCTTAATTGATTACAATACTTTTTTATAACGTTTCATTACATATATTATACAATATACGTTTACAATATTTATCATAATATCATTTAACATATTATTATATTATAACATATAAATTATCTATGTTATATTCTGTAGTGAATTAAACACAACTCTTACGTCTGTAGTAATATTACTTAGATCCTTGAATGTAATAGTCACATACACATTAATTTATCAATTTCTTTAATGATTTAATGTTGTTAAGCTGGAAGGAATAGCATTCTATTACGCCGCATGTAATTCACAACAAACAAGTACTTATTTCTGAGAGGAATATTTGCCTAGATATTTTGAGATTACACAAAATGCGATTAAAAGCTTTAATTTTGTAGTATTTTGAGTTTACATAAAAAATATTGATCAATAAAAAAAAATATATGAACATCAACATTCATTTGTAAGTAAATTTAAAGCTCGTCAGTAGTATTTAATATAATATCAAACAGTTATATTTTTTTTCCAAAGAATAACACGTTTAAAGCATTAATTGATTTACAGGCAATCAAAAGCTTAAAAAAATACATCACAAAATAACCCTTTAAAAATAAAACCCTTCAACCCAGGGTATTGCTTATGTAATTATACAGAATTCCCAGTGGTCAACCCCAAATTCAAATATTATAATATTTTATAACGTATTACTATTTAGTAATTATAATAATTAAAACTATATTTTCTTGGACGGAACATTAAAATTTTGGAAGACACAATACTCTAAAGTGGCGTCGGTGATGGTACCCACAATGTTTTGCTTTGTTCTAAATCAACAGCCGCTTTAATTTGAGTGCACATATATGCTACATTTACTCCAGCTGGTATGATGGCTATAAAATTGCAGTCAACATTAAAGCAACAAATAAAATTAAGAAGAGATCACATCAAATATACCTGATATGTAGTGTCGATATTCAGACTCTAATTTCAGTGCATGTTCATACATTTCTTTGGCAGCTTTAGCAGAAATTTTATCGTGAGACGAACGCGAGTCTTTAGCCTCTTTTACTTGTTTTGTAGATTTGAATTTGATAAGTAGGACAATCGGATATATGTGATGGCGATGAAGCCTTTCAACACTGGTCAAACCAATGTCAATAATGCAATGGCAATTCTGAATAAACATAATCGTATATGATTAATGTATGGTTAATTGGTATATGAAAAATGTATATGTATATTAATTGTTTTAATTTTAATGTTTTTGAGTAAAATTACCTTGCCACATGCTTCTTTGAGTCCAGCTACCGAAACACATTCATAGATGGATCCTTTTTTGCGATAATCTATAAAAATACTATCGGCAACTCCTTTTTCCATAGAAGCCTGAGAACAATGTTTTGCCTCAGGAATGTATCTCATAAACAAATCTGGGAAATCTCCAATTAACTTATCGGTAACACAGTCTGCCAAGGGCCCAACAACCATGACTGGACGAATACTTGGCTCAGCTAAAATAAAATCACAAAATGTTAATACTATACATCATATTTTTTTTATTGTCAATAATAACACGTACAGTTCAATCTAATGACTCTTTGGTAAGAGGCAATAACAAGAGAGTCATCGTGTAGTGTACCGGAATCACTGCTGTACCAGCCTAAATTGATGTTTGAAAAGCTAGCTAATTCTTTAGAATTGCTGCGTTGATGCTTTTTACGCCTAAAGAAACTTCGTCTTGTTGCTCGTCGTGCATCACACTCGAGTTCACCACCACTTCGTCTGATAACAAGTTCTTCTTCGACCCTAACAAAGAATGAATAAAAACTAAAAATTTAACACATCCTATTTTCTACTTAGATAATGGTATTTATTAGAATTATTTGTATTTACTTGTATTTGCTAGGTATGATGCCGACTTGTTGTTTGTAACCATTATGATCGACAAGCCAAGCACGCCAATTACCAGGTACTCCATTATACATTGTATTATCAACATAAAGCACATCGTCTTTACGAAACTGTAATTGAGATGAATTTGTTGATGAATCTCCAAGTTCAGCCGTACGATCGAACAGGGCTCGGATAAAGAAACTGTCTCCAGGCTTATCTTTAATTTCATTGTATCCTAATGATAGTAAAAAAAAAATATATGATTGTTATATTTTGGTTAAAGCGTTAGTTGATAACATGAAATTGGGCTTATGCAAGCTATTAAGGTTCTTTGTACACTGTATTTAATAAATAATTGTAAGTCCATTGCCAGAGAGGGGTGTAGCAGCTCTTTTTCACTGAACAGTTGGTTGCCTAGCAAACTAAGCCATCTGTGACCAAGTGTCTAACGGACCATAGTAAGTGATAATAATAATGCCACCTAACCCAATCAGTCACTCGTCCACTTTACTACATAAAATAATGTTATCTGTGTGTATGTACTTACGATCAATTAGATACTGAGCGAGGACAGTTACTTTATCAGCAGGTTTAGCCAATTCATAAGCCGCTTCTTCGGCCGTAGCTTCTCTTAAATCAGTTCCATTATATTCAAGAATACGGTCACCAGTTCTACGTAACAAATATCAAGATATAAATAAAATTACTTCAGTAATAATAAATTAAATATGAAGAACAACTCTTGAGTTAAACAACTTACCTTAAACCCGCATTGAACGCTAATGAATTTACAGTTACACTGTGAACAAAAATTCCAACAGCATTGCCTCCAACCAAACTTATTCCTAAGTTACTACACTTTCTAGTTTCCATAATCAAGTAACGCGGTTCATACAATCGCATACCTCTATTTTCAGAGTTTCTATCGCTTTTGCGACGCGTTAAAGTCGTCATTCCATGAGCCAATACAGAAGCACCCGTTGATTTCCTATTAACAGTAGGAGAGTTACAGGGTGTTGGCGTTTCTGATCGACTACTCGTTGAACTTTCAGCTCCTTCTAGTTCTTGATACTCTACAAATAAAATTTGATTTTAATTTTAAATAAATTGTTAACGCATTTTCTTTATAACTGTTCATACTGTCTGGACTATATTGAACCAGCATAGTAATGGAGTTTCCACATTGTCGTAAAACATTTGCCGCTAACTGATAAGTAGCACTTCTCATATTGATCCCGCATACTTCTAACAGCTGATCACCGACCTGGAGACCAAGTTTTGAAGCTACACTATGTTCACTCACAGTAGAGACAAACACTCCTCCGCTATCACTCTCCGCTATTTGAATACCTAGTGGTTCAACTGATTTTTCTATACTTATCCATCTTAACTCTCCAGGTAGTGGGCCACTACCAACACCTCTTAGCAATGGTTTCTTCAAATACCTTAAGAATAAACCATAATTATAAATGAGTAATAATAATGGTAATTAATAATTAATAAAACTAGTTTAGGATACCATTGATTATAAAAATTATAGATAGTTCCTGACTAGTTTTTCTGATAAACGTAAATTTGGCGCCTTTGTAGAGTGACCATTAAGTAGTAAGATAAGAAATATAGTAGATAGATAATATGCAATAGGTGAAAATAGCTAAACTAATGTGCCTAATGGTCCTCTTACAATTAATGAAATTAACTTTTTCGTTTTAAGGATAACAACACGACGGGCGCTAACGTCCATTACTAAAAATACTGTAAAGCGCTTTACAACCGAAAAACCAGCCAGTCAGCCTGCCTTATCTTTAATATTTATAATCAATCGGGGAATCCTCTCAGGCGCCTCAAAAGATGGTACCCCGACTTAAAACGTTAATTTGATTTTATATTTATTAAGATACCCTTAATGTGGGGTCTCCTCCTCGCGTTAATCGTGTACATATTTTTGTAAATATTATAAAAAATACTTATTGTAAATTTTTTTTACAGATGTCTCAATAAAAGCATTTCTAAATAAAAAATTTAAAAATCAATGACAATACATACTTTGAGGCCCAACCGTATTCTGGTAAAGATTGTCGCTTATTTGCTGGCATTGGTATTTGTCCAGAGTTTAAAACTTCTACTCTAAACGTAGGCATCGGGCTGTCTCTTTCACTGCTTACAGACCTATCAATACTTCCTGTTGAAATACCAACAGCACCACCACTACTTTTACTTGTTACACTTGGATTAGAAGGTATTCTGAAATTATAATTGAAATATTTTAATAGGAATAAATAAATTTTAATTTAATATATTAAAGCTAAGTTTTATTAAGTATTATTTATAATTGTATTATTATACAATAATATAAATTAAATAACTATACCAAAACTTACCTAAATCTAGGATTTTCTCTCTTTCTAGGAAATGTACCTACTTCATAACCATGATAAGACTCGGGCATGTCTTCACCTCGATAACCAATATTACTCATTATACGATGTGGTGATCTAGTCGTATGTCTGTTATAATGCATGTCAACTGAAGGAGAATGACTGTGATGAAACTGAGAAATGAGAACAAAAATTAATAATACAAATTTAATAATACTCAAAACTGAACAAATTAAATATTTACTTGAGACACATGACTATAGGGCGGTTCAAAACAATAAAGCATCGACTCTCCACTATTGGACGGTGATGGTTGAGTATACCTAGTATATTGTGGTGTGAAAAAATGGTGAGCATTGGTTGACGGTGGACCGTACATACTGTGTGAAAGCGGTCTAACTGCAGGGCTATCACCAGCATTACTTTCTGTATCACTATTAGCATATTTACCACTTTTCTTCTTGGCATAATATTCCATTACATCTTTACCTATTTTTCCAGACCTATTTTAATGATGATTACAGAAAAATCAATATATTATAATATTTATAATATGACACAATGAAAAAACTACTCTAACCTGACAGAAAAATCTATAGACGATGTGTCTGTTTTTGAATTATTTTGTGGAGACCAAGAAGGAGGGTTGTTCAAGAGAACCGATAATGGCAATCGTTCTTTATTTTTACGAGGATGAAGTATAGTACCAGTACCATGCTCGATTACTGGACCACTTCTAGCCTTAGGCCAAGTTCCCCCATTCTTATCTAATTCTTTTGGTTTTCTATGACGACTAGAAAGTTTGGTAGTATTAGGTGCTGGATGAGGTCGGAAAGCATCAATAACAGAATCTAATTCAGCAATAGCATCTTCTTGGTCACGTTCTGAAATTGAGTTGTTAACAGGCGATGGATTTCTGTGAGGTTTTTCAGGTACATCCAACATCACTCTTCTAGACTGAACATATTGTGGTTCTTGGTAAGGTTCTTGATATCTAGTATAGCTAGATTTATCAGTTTGTGTGGTGCTGTTTGTGTATTTTTTGTATATATCACGATTCGGTCCCGAGCCGCAGTTACCAGCACAATAGGTGGATTTCATAGTAGTGATAGTTAAAACATCACCTGGTTCATGTAATAGTAACATGGCTTCTCTTGAATTTTTAATGTTTTCCACAGTCTTATTATTAATCTAAACACAAAATAGTAACACAAATCATTCCTTTTATCTTACTGTATAAATGAATATGCTTACACTCAACACTCTATCGCCTACATCTAAATTTCCATCTTTGGCTGCTAGAGATCCTGGAGTTATTTTGTTAATATAAACACCCGTTTCTAATGAAATTCCGTGGTCATAGTTATTCACTTGAAGTTGGGTAGTGAAAAGACTTCTAGAAGGTGAAGCAGGTTTTCTTCGACGAATAACTAAAGTAGCACTACTCAGAGATCTCATCGTTTCTAGAACTAGTCGTTTACTAATCGATGTACAATCAAGGCTATTAACTCTTAGGATACAATCATTTACTCTAAAAAAAAAAAGATAATTATAAAATAAACAAAAAGTTTTGTCCCTTAATATTTTACCTTAATTTTCTTGATGCAATACTTCCTTTACTAACAGATGATATGTAAATTGCATTGTCATTAGGATATAAAGGATCATCTCTACCTCCTAACAAATCGATACCCAAATCATCATTTGACCCTAAAGATCCCTGAAATTCAAAATTTGTATCACTCATGTAAACAATGCTGTTATAATAAAATACTTTTGTAAGGGCCAAGTCGTAGCTTTATGGATAAAAAAATAATATGTTGTGGAGTTATCAAATTTCGATATGTATTTTTTTTACTTTAAAAGAAGATACCTTCTATAGTATGCATAGATCTTAGATTTAGTAATTAACTACCAAAAATTAAAAAATTGTATGGTTGAAAATCTGAGTAACATGCACTGTTAAAAGTCTCTTTCAAACAAAAAAACAAAAAATGATTAACGGCTAAAATATAAAACATGGAACATGCTTTAGCCTGCTAGCTCCTGAATAGTGATTATTTCTGATCTACAATCTCCTTGCGATTTATGATGATAGTATAGTCTGAACTATATGTTCTGGCCAAACGTTTGCATGACGACGACGACTCGTTATTATTTCAATGGCATCTTATATGTTATTATACGTTTTAAGTAGGCACACTATTTTAGGATCGCAATTTAACCCATTAGCGCCTAGTGTTGCCAAATGCCACATCCAATTTTTTTCAAATTTTTATGTACACAATTTTTTTTTTTAATTAAAAAAATAATAAGAAACAAGCACCTAAGACACCAACTATTTAAAACAAATTACCAAAAAGAAATTACGGCGTTAATAGGTTAATGTCGTTTTCGAGCTGGGGGGACAAGGCTAAAGCGTGTTCCATGCTATTATCAAAATCCAACTATCCTACGAGACATTTTATTCTTATGTCATGTTTTATCATATCAAAAATGGCTATGACATGTATTAAAAATTGCATGCTAGAACAAAACAAATTAACCGAAAAAATAATTTGAAATGGTAGATATTTAAAAATCTTGTATTTGTTCAATATTGCCTATAATTTGTGCCTTGATAAATGGCCACGACCTAATCCCATAAAAAGCATGTATGTTCACAACAGTACTTACTAAATCAATGTTTAGAATTTCTGTATCCCAGTCTTGAAGATCAGTATCAATTGCAGAGTCTTGACTGTAACGACCAGTTGCTTGTAGTTGCAATATACGTGCTTCCTTTTCTAGCTGTGCTTCCATTTTTTCCCTATTAAGATAAAGTTGTGTTGTTATTAGTTTATTATAAAAAGTAGTATTCAATTTTTTTTACTTGAGATCGTTGAGCTCTTTAGCAGTGTCACTTTTTTGTTTCATTATATCATCACAGTCTCTCATTGCACGGGCCAACTTGCTAACTGCATCGTCACGCTGTTTTCTTAAACTATCACAAAGAGTACGTATACTTTCACGCTCCAGTACAATTTTATCGCGTTCACTGAATGCCCAATCGCGTCGTCTTTTTGAGACTTCTGCTTCTTGTAATGATTCATCCAACTCTGCGTGATATTTATCAGCCAACTTTCTTAAGCGTTCAATTTCTTGATTGGCCTGATCTAGATTATCCATGCGTTCTTTTTGACAAGAATTGTATAAATCTAAAGCGGCTACCTGTTCGCGTGAATCATTTCTATTTTCTCGTTCCCTACTAAAACCATAATCCAAATGACTCTTGAATTCTCTTTGAGACTCATTCTTTGCAGTTATTTCCCCAAATCTTTCTTGATAATCATTGCACTCTTTAAGTGCTTTATCACGATCATGCAGTGCAGATGATATTTCACGTTTTAATGACTCAATATGCAATTGAAGGGTTTTCTTATCATCTCGACAAGATTTAATTTCGTTCTCTAAAGCTTTGTTTTTATTGTAAGCTTGTGACAAATCTTCTGAAAGTTTTTCAAGTTCATTATGTACACTGTCACGTTCACTCATAATAAGCCTATATTCTTTAACAGCAGCATCATGAGCTTTATTTAATTCTTTTAGTTCTTTACTGCTTTTAACACTATAGGCAACAGCCGCTTTCATTTCTTTAACTGCTTCTTCATGCTGTTGTTGCACTTTCTGGATAGCTTCTTGGAGGTCATTCCGTTCTCGTAGTGTTAAATCCCACTGTCGTATAGCAGCTGTACATTGCTGTTTAAGGCCATCTCTTTCTCGAAGTGCTATATCCCGCTCCTTAAATAGCTCATTGCATTGTTTTTTTAACTGATTGATCTCATCTTTCATCATGTCCATTTTATCTACAGCTGCAGAATGTGTAGTGCGTAAATCTTCATATCCCTTTCTAAGCGATTCATAATTTTCCAATCTTGAGTCATAAGACATAAAATGATCATTAAGAGAGTCACCACTTGCTGTATCATCTTCTGGAAGATCCTATCAAAATAAAAAAAACATTTTTTCTTATTCTTAGTATAATTTTAGTTATTTTACGTATATATTTCAAAAATGTTCAATAAAATATACTATGTATTACTTTTTTAAATTCAGTGTTCACACATTAAGTAAATATTAATTAGTGTAATAAATGAATAAGTACCCATATGTAACACTAAGATTATATAACAGTTAAAAATCATTTTATATTATAAAGACAACTTAGGTCACAAACTAATGCCTAAAGTCGCTGAAGCATCAAAAAAGAAAAAAAAACAAGCAATTTTATCATGTTAACTTTTTTCTGAATGTTATAGTTTTTAAGTCAGCAGACAATATAAAACCAAGTGATTTATTAATATAAGACTGTATGAATTAAAGATCACATTAAATATAAACATTCATAAATCTTAAAAAAAATTAAGCAATACTTGTAGTTATAAATTAAAAAATAATTAAATGTTTAAATAAACTTTTTACCACAAAAAAAAATATATATATATATATTGTATGTATATATTTTAGCATCAAAGTTACCATCATCAGCACATACAACAAGCTACCGAAATATGCTTTAGTATTATATTTATGGTTAAGGGTTTATTTAAATATTTAATTATTTTATAACATTTATATAGTTTGGTTTAAATGAATATTATCCTGATAAAAATATTTTATTAACTTGTAACTAATAATGAAGTTTTAAACAGAACATTAAACTATTTATAGGTAACTAGGTATTGAAACTAATTTAACTTCAAAATTAATAAACAAAAGTTAAATACCTGCTGTGATCGATCTAAAATTTGTTTTTCAACAGCTAATTTAGCTCGTAAAGAAGATGATTCTTGAGCAGCTTGTTCAATTTGATTTATCATAACCTGATTTTGACCTCGATAATATTCCAATTCTTTTCTTGTTTGATCATACCTTCGCACAGTCTCACCATGTTGCCTAAATATATTTTACGATCCTTATAAGCTAATTTATTCATTTATTTTTAAATTATTGAAATTTAATTTTAATAATACCGTCGTAGCATTATTAATTCATGCATTGCTTTGTCACATTGTTGTTTTAATCCATCATAATCTCGTTCTCGATTACTATTGGTATCTCTATTTCTATCATTGCTACGATCCGAATAACTCCTTGTTAACATATCTATAACAAATTATTAAATTTAATTGAGTACATCAGTAAAATGTATTAATTACTAAAACTAGTTGAGGTTAAGATGGTGTTATCCGAATCATAAAGTAACCATTAAATTATATGTTTAGACTTTATCTGTATAAATAAAAATTATTATTGTTTAACATTTTAACAAGTAGAATAGGTATTCTATTATGTAATTATAAAACTTAATTACCTGTGTTTTTGGAGTTTTCTATATTACTATTTGACGACATCTTAATGTTTGTAGCAACTCTAAGACTTCCAATCCTGACATTATTTTTTTTTGCACATAGCCACAATAATTGTCTTGTTATACTTTCTTTCGGTTTGCGTTAAATGTATTGTGACAGACATAACGGGAATTTTGGGTTCAATTACACTACAAATAACCAACACTATCGATATTATTTATAAAACGTAGATAATACGATTTAACTACAAATTAAAATTTTAGAGAAATGTAATGACAACAAAATAAGAAACAGAATCAAAAATAACAACTCAATAGAATCAATAATTAAAAAACGAATGAAATCAGAAACAATAATTTTCTTCTTTACAAAGATATAGTAAATCGTGGAAAAAGATAAATATTGGCTAATTAATATCTATGAAAAACATATGACAGACTTTGGTTAACCCATCTGGTCATCTCTAAACCATGGTTATGTTTACTAAATTAAAATATTTTACCGCGCACATGTACTACAAAAAAAAAAATATAAAATCCATTGTGGTTTATAGTTTATACTCTAGTATGTCTCTATGTTCTATACCATTGGTTTTAAAATAATCTTATAATAAATAATTGAAAATAAATATCTATAGATACCTTAACATGTTATCTTAATTAATAGTGAAGAATGAACATTTTTTAAATTGGAACAGGTTGACCGTTGATCTAAAATAAATATAAAATACTTACAGTACTTATTGTTTGTTTATTATTTTGTAGCCTTTTAATATTAGCAATCATCTTCATACCATTCCTTAAATTATTTTCATCTTTACAATTAAAATATATTTTACTACTGTCATATTTTTGAAAAAATCTTAATAAGTAAATGAATTGTTAAGATTAAGACTATTATTTTGATCATTTTCGCATCTATATCTATTAGATAGGCAACGTTCAAATCCATTGCAGGGTCGTGGATCAGTGACAATTTCTCTGAAGCGATGGACCCTGCAATGGGATCGAAAAACCAACAACTATATGTTGTTGTTATAATGACAACATGGATAGATCAAAAAATGATCAAACCATATCTTTACACAGCTAGACAGGGGTCAGCACAATCAATACTTGCCACCATCCACCACTGGTTGCTCGTCATCCCTTTGTCTCTATTTTGTTGGCACAAAAGTTTCTCTTCAAAATATTATTCATAATATTATAATGATGGCACAGTTGTATTAAGAGCATTTTGTTACAAAATGTGCAGGTACGATTTTTGAAAATTCATAATTTCAGGTTCCAAGTATTAAGTAAAAATAAAATATGAAACATTCAGTTGTATAAGAGTATAGAAATTGAAGATAATATTTAGGTGAAATAACTTATTCTACATTTGAACATGAGAGCAATTTGTTTAAAAATAAAGAAATACACCGTTAAAGTCTTAAGAGGTAAATTTCTTGAGGCCTAGCATGAGGTTTGAACTAAGCAATTGTAAAAATGTAATCTAAGTAAATTTGTATATTTAACTTTTCAACTTGGTCCAAAAAAACTGTTAAACTAATAATTATCCAACCTCTTTATTCACATTAAATCAGGGAACTTATTTTTTCATTAATAGTCTAGATCCTAATTTTGTATGAATAATATTGTATTCCAAATATAAGCAAACTACTATTAAACTTTATTGAATATAATACTTAACAAGTTCTCTAACAGTTCTATGTTAAATCTATTATGCCCGTTAATTTTATTGCTGCACGAATACTATCACATAATTGTTTAAACCTTTGTTAGTGTGTTGGTAATAAACATCACATAATCTCTTAACATGTGGGATTTAACACCTACCAACACACTAATAAAGGACTAAAATTGCATAAACTATACTTGGGGCTTCCAATTACTTCTGGGTTCTAGAAATATTGCCGTTCCCATCTCTAATATTATATTTTTTTGAAGGAAAATAGTAGATTAGGTTTAATAATTGTAAATAATATTAAATCATAATATATTGTCATTAAGATACACTTTATTATCTAAATTAAACAGTTAAAAAATAGCGAATAAATTATTAATACTATGTTTTTAATTAAAGTTAATTAAAGATGGTACATATTACATAATTAATATTTAATAAATAGTAATGTAACATACTAATTTTATAATTGTACATCATGTTTTAGTAGTTGGCATTGTTTAATAATTTAACAAATTATTTTATTTTAAATAAATTAAAAAAATGATGGTTACATAAAAAAAAATTAATCTTATAATTGATATATTTTGTGTTAAATGTACAGACGTTTATGCTTCAATTATATTTCCATATAACTATTAGTACAAATAGTATAATAGAAATATAATCGTTCAATGAAATATTTTCTGCTTTAATAGCCATTTGTACTCAAAAGAGTTTAGTCCAGTTATTATAATATAATAAAGGTAGAAATCCAAAATATCATACAAATAAAATATTTAATACCTGTACAATACTAGATTAGCTGGATCCTTAAAAATAGCACAATACATTATCAACATTTTGGAATTTCAAAAATGAATTAAAATCAAAACAAAAAAATCAAGTTCCATTAAATATTGTTTAGAACATGTAACAAAAATAACCAAATCCTCCAATGATTAAAAATTTTAAATATTTCAATTAGTTTTTTAGAGTACCTATTTGGTCAAATATAAAATAAAACTACAAAAAGAACAAAATTCATGTTTTACTATTTCTTGACATTAGTCTAAAAAATGTAATAACTTAATTTAATCAAATTATTATATGATCACTGTTATAAAAAATGGTATAATAAAATTGTATTTTATTTATAAGAGATTATTGATTTATGGTATTTTTAGTGAAACTTCTCTAACTAGTTGCTACAGAAATATAATAATTTATAGATGCAACAAAAATTTAGAAAGGGTAAATTTTGGAATTGGACTATTGATTATTTGTATTTAAACATTATATAAACTATTACGATAATAAAACATTTAAAATGTTTGGCCAGCCTCTTTGTAGGTGGTGAATATTTTCTCTATAGAATTAATGTAGGCAGCAGTACGAAGATCAAGACCTAAATTATACTTTACAGCAGTTTTCATGATAGCTCTAGCTGAACGTTCCATGGTGTAATCTAATCCAGAATGTACAATATCTTTTTCAGATGCACCTGATATACGTTTCTGGAAAGATTCAGATGGTGTAACTGGTATTCTTCCACCCACGCGTCCAAAACGACGTTCCAATGATTCTTGCACAGATTCTATAACACATAACATATTCAAGCAAGTTAAAATTTGTTTTAACTTATTTTTAACTTTAAACAAAATTGTTATTTTATCTCTTAATCAGTCTTCAATATAATAAAAACTATTATCCTAAATTATGTTTTTAGCTGTCAATATTTTTACCCAACAAATGGTAGTTAGATTCTCGTTCATATTTAAATGTCAAACGACCATAAGAGACATGGTTTAAGTTTTTCAACCATTCAAAGAACGACACAGTAACACCGCCAGCGTTAATATACAAGTCTGGTACAATTAAAATATTACGGTCGATTAATATCTTGTCTGCAGCAGGTGTAGTTGGACCATTAGCTGCTTCACCAATAATCTAAAGAACAAGAATGGGTTAATGCATAGTTAAAAAACAATAAAAACAAGTTATAAAATATATACATACTTTAGCTTGAATTTTATGTGCATTTGCTGATGTAATAACTTTTTCGGTGGCAGCAGGAACAAGTATATCACAAGGTTCGTACATAAGATTCTCACCTGTGTAAGGCTGGGCACTTGGGAAACCCATAATTGTACCATTATCTATTTTCCAATCTTCTAATGCCTAAATATGATAATAAAATAAATATTTAACTGTGTTTTATTACATTGATTGTTTATTTAAATATGTTTAAATACTTTTGGATCAATTCCATCTGGATTATATATAGCTCCGTCATGTTCAATAACGCCAATACAAGTTGCACCAGCTCTATGTAAGTATCGCATTGAATGCAAACCAACATTACCAAAACCCTTGAATTTTTATGAAAAAAAAAATTTTTTTTTTTCAGTCAACACACACAGAACATATATTATAAATTTTCCTATAAAACATACTTGAACAATAAAAGTTTTTCCTCCCCACCCAGGAGTTGTACCAATTAAACTCATGTAGTTAGCTTCCATTATAAAATTCTCTAGACCATGGAAGACACCTCGGCCAGTTGCTGACACTCGACCATGAATACCACCTTGGTTAATGGGTTTGCCCGTAACACAAGCATGTGCATTAATGTCCAAATGCCCTAAAAAAATTTTTTATTTTTTTTAAATTGTAAACATTTCAACGATTATTTAAAATATTTAATTTCAAGTTTTCAACCAATTATGTTAAATTATAATTTTTTGTAATATAATGTTACCTATAGTTTTAGCATAGGTATCTGCTATCCATGACATCTCTCGTTCACCAGTACCCATGTCTGGAGCAGGAACATCAACCCCCGGTCCTAATAACATTATTTGAAATTTCATGTTTAATATTTATTACTTATCATTTTAATAATAAAAAAAGGTATTTAATTAAAAAGGTATTCAAATAAAAATTCATTGTTAAAAATCCTTAAATCTCAAAGCTATATATATATATATAAATACTGTATCTCTGTGATACTGTATATTATATGTATATAATATACTGTATCTCCAAAGTAAGATGAAAATTATCAGTTGCTACTTTTTATCTAAACATTGAAACAAATCGAAAGGAACTTGGATCAAAAATAGTCATTATGCGTTGCCCTAAGAGTGGGCTGGGCTTAATATATATGCACTACTTAAGTACTGAATTATGTAAATATGAAAAGTATACATTTGTAAACCTATGATATTAAAAGTGATTAAAAAATATCCTAAGGGAAGAGAAATGGAGATTGTAATTAATTTATCACTTGGTACATTTTTATATTTTCACCTAAAATATTCTATTCGCACTATATTTATTATAAGCCTTTAGCCTATTACTAATTAAAGTAATAGTGTAGAATAATTTAAACAAAATTTGGTTTATTAGATAAAACTACACTTTCAATACTTTTAAAGGCTTTAAGCTTAGGTTAGGTTAGGATTATATTATAATTTTATAAATATGAAGTATAATAAATAACAGAATATTGATAAGGCATATTACGTATTATTTTTTTTCCAATTTACAGCATGTGAACAATGCCATTAACAGTACACTTTAAAGGAGGTCAATTGAAATAATTTATGTTTCTAGAATATGATTATCTACACAAATCCATTACCAAGTAATTATTGTTGTTAAATTAGTAAATCTTAAATCTAATTAAAACCAAAACAATGGTTAATATAATTTAACTAGTTTGAATAACTATATTATAAATTAAACTTTTGATGAATAAGTATTAAGTAACAATAATCTACAATAAATCTTTTAACTGTTAAGAACCCTTGATTGGTCGAACTTTTAAAGGGGCCTATTAGGGACTCTTTGAAAGGGGTTAAATAACTTTGGGCGACCAAATAAGAGTTTACTTTCAAAAGCTAATATTGAATTTATATTTATTCCATATGATAGTATTAACCAGTGGATATAATTTATAAAATTGTATTTAAAAACAAAAAGCCAAAGAAAATATATATATCATTTTAATTATTTAGATCAGTGTTACTTTAATCATTCTGTATATAAAACCTCTTCTCTTTGTTAAGGACGTGTTATAATACACAGACATATGAGATTAATATACATGAGATAAAAATTATGCAATCATTTTAAAATATTAATTTAAAATTATTATTGGAATTAAACATTTTTATGTATTATAACTAGTATAACATTATACATCAACTATATGATTCTAATTCATTTCCTCTGTAAAAAAAAAAAAAAAAAAAAACAAGTAATAAAATATTTATTAACCCTCATTGTGCCAATTGAGCTTAATTCTTTTTTTAATTTAATATCATTTCCTACATAGTCTCTCACGCTGTTTTTATAACAAGACATTTTTTTTTTAGAAGGCCAATTAAATTAGTCAAAATAACCAATATTAACAGTCTAAAATAGTTATAACAAAAAACCATGTTATATACATTACTAATATGTAATATACATTACTTATGGAACATGAAATTGAATACTAACCAATAAATCCTTTTTTTGCTAATTCTAATGTGAATCTTCTTGTAATCTGTTCCAGTTCGTTTTCAGAGTAATTCTTTGGATTTATTTTAATGCCAGCTTTAGCTCCACCAAATGGAACATCAACACAAGCACACTTAAATGTCATTAAAGCTGCTAATGCTTTAACTTCATCACGAGATACATCCAGGGAAAATCGTATTCCTAAAATTAAATTCAAAACAAAATAAACTTTTTTTTATTTTAACCTTGGGTTAAAATAAATTTTAGTTTTAAATAAAAGGTAATTTTTTTTTGTATCTACATTCTACTTATTATTCATGCATATTATAAATAATTTTTTTTTACAGTTATCTAACTACATTATATAATTATAAACACTATGTTTAGAAACAACTACTAAACTGATTAAAACTCGATTACACTTTTAAGACCCACAAATATAAACACCCTTAAATGTTTCGCAAAGGAGTCTCCCCAAATGCTTAAATATAAAATTCAACATTAGAAAATAAATATAGAAAGGTGTGTTTTAACTTTTTTTTTTTTTATAGTAAAAAGTGCAAAAAAATAGAACTTAAAAAATATATTATATTAGAAATTAAAAATAATTTCAAGGATGTCAATAGTAACAAGGGTTATTTTTTTAAAAATTATGTTTTTTTTTCTAAATTATTTTACACATTTAAACAAAATTTAATTTTAAAAAAAAGTTTGTTTTTAATGTTTTATTTGACTGGATCGGAATACTTATTTTTTCTTAGAAAACAGTTAAGTTAAAAAGTAAAATGAGATTTTATCAAGAACTGCTCAGAACTCTGTTTAAACAACTTGAATGTTAAAATATTAAAATAATATCACTAAGTTCTTATTTAAACACAAAAAAGTGTTGAATGTATTATACATATATCAAAACTGTAATAACTTATGAGTATTAAAATAAATCTAAGATTAAATTATAAATCTGTTGAATTTTTTGAACAATTTTTTTTTCAGAGGCTATTTTTAAAAAAAAAATTTCTCTTATTTAAAAACATTTAAATACAAACTTATTTTTGAAAACTTGATATACCTTGGACATATCAAAGATGCAGGAAAATAAATGGGTATCAGGGTTGGCAATATTTCATGACAACATAATTGTTTATCAGTATTAATTGTTTAAAGCTAATTATAGTTCACACTATTAATTTATGTTTATTCTACCACTTGACCTTCTATTAACTCTAATTACTCCTATTAGCCCTTTTAGTATATTATAGATGTAATGGAAAAAAAGTAATAAGTGATTTAGTTTATATCTTATCAACAAGTAAATATTGTTAGCAAAGTAATTAAAAAATAATCAGCTACTCCAGTAATAGCTAACCACTTTAATTTTTAATAGATACAGAAACGTAATCAATATGCATGTCATCAATAAGTACTTATATATTAATGATTTATTTAAAATAATTTACTTAAGAGCATGTTCACATTAATTTAGCAATGCATTTTGTTAATTATAAAAAAAAAGTACTTGTCAGTTAATGATACTTCTACTATACAACATATATATAGAATATTAGGACTACAATAAAACCATTATATAACATAATACATTTTTACAAACAATAATGTATTAAAAATTATTTGATAATTAATTGAAGTAATTAAATTGATAAAACTATTTAATATAAAATATAATTTTGTTTTGTATTTATTTAAATAGTCAATAATTAATTTAGAGCAGATAACGGACTAAAACTGTTATAGTTGATAATAGCTTCAATAACATATTAATTTTTTTTGTTTGTAAACACGAATTTGGCAAGTACTAAAGGATACCGCTATAATTCTTGTAACATCATTTAATTTTCTCCATTTCCACTCAATATTACCGAGTATGAGCACCTGTTTAAAGTCCACAATATTATATGAATGATTCACTAGCTAATTGACCTATTTAATAACCTAATCTACTATTAGAAAATTCCTAGGTAGAAAATACCAAAATCAAACTACATAAGCAAATATATATATATATATATATATATCACACACACACACACACACACACGAGTATATATTACAGCTTAAGATGATAAAATAATAATAATTTATAATATTATATTCTTTAACTGAAAATTTAAAAAAATACTGAGATTATGTTATATTTTTGTTGTTATTTAATGATTGATTTTCAGATTTTGGTTTGAATAAACTTTTAGAGACCTGATATCACTAATAAAACAAATTTGGTGACTGAGACTCGATAGTGGAGCCTTGACGCCATGAGCTAAAATATGTATTTATAGTCATACAGCTATAGTTAGGCTCAAAATGGATAATACTTATATAATGTAAATATATACTGTAACATATGTAACTATGATTGATTTCATGAAACTTTTTTTTTAGAACCTAGATAATAATTCATTGTTAAAAACAAAACATTGGACAACTTACCTCCTTTGCAAGGTGTCCTATGAGTACTGTGTTGTGCACGATATCCTGTGATCATTTCATAATCTCCACTATCTCTACGTACTGGAAATGATGTTTCCAAAATATGGTCACACGGTTGCATACCAAGCAGAATTCCCTTAACTTTTTTCCTTTTGTCTTCCACAGTCATCTTGGCTTTTATATCCTCCACGAGTTTGTCTTCAGCAACTTGACATGCTCGATGGAAAAAATATTCAACCATGTCGAAAAACCTAGGGTTTTCAGCAGTAGGTACTTCCTTTAAGTGGTCAGGCATTTCGTGGAGTCCTCGGACTACCGATATTGATGTTGACTTCAATACACTCTCCGATACATTACGTCCCAGACGACTTAAGTTGTACATGATGACAAATCAACAAAGTACGGTTTAAAATTGTTAAACTTAAAGAAAAATCTAGACCTAAAAATGAATATAGCATCAATCTTAAACAGTTTTTTTAAAAACGCTAGGTATTTTATGTACAGACAGATTAATACTAACGCAGTGATGCCTTTCGAGTGTAACGCCGTTGTGATTTCAAGTACGAAATGAAGATTTTAAATATATTTTATTTGACATATATTATCGGCTTGGCAGTTCCGCAAAAAAGAAACAATACCTAAATTACACTACATACAAATAGTGCTGTAAATTGTTGTACGACTTGGGAGGGGAATTCGATAATATGAAAATAGCGCGCGTGCGTATTGAACAATCAACATAATATAATATCTACCGGGGCCCGGGCACCGGCGGATGACCCATAATGGTAGGTTATGTACATCAGCTGCTATCCTATACTTAGTTTTAATATCACGATTCATGATTAATGATTTAAAATGGTAACATACCGCCTAGGTCGTCTAGATTTTAGTTCCCTTCAGGGCTCAGAGCTCTTATTTTCCGATAGCAAAAAAAAGCTGATGCTGGAAGCATAGCATGGAACACGATTAATATTTCAAACCGTAAGATAGAGTAAGGGACTCTTTTAGTAAGACTCTCTTGGATAGATAGAGTAATTATTTTTCATAAGTCATTAGTAATTACTAATTACTGAGAACTAAGGTCTTAGATAAAGATGTAATAGTCATAAGTCATTAGCAGTGGAGTGGGGTGGGGGCATAGAGCTAGTTGACCGAGGATCTACCGGTTACCCTCTATAAATATTAATAAACTATAAATAACAAATTATCTTACTCCACGATTTATTGTCTCGGTGAAAAAAAGTATAACGTTAATTTTGACCTCGGTAGCTTCGTTTCTTATTACCTATTTGTATTAAATGTATTATTCTTTTCATTTTTCAATCACAAACCTCTACTTATGATATGATAAGTGATAACTACAACAATAAAATATATATTCACCCGTTAAAGTGATTTTGGCGGGAAATTTATCATAGCAAGAAATAATATAGAATTTATTATCAATATTAAGCTTAATATTGATAATTTTGATACTGAGTTAACAATTAGCAAAAAAACATGTAGATTGGATTTCATGTTCAAAATGTAATTTATTTATTAGTTATTAAATTATTACTATTTATACTGTCTACAAAATCGTAAAATAATAACAGGAGTTACATACTTAACGATGGATGACATTATAAACCAACTAGAACAAGTAGTAAGTTTATAATCAAAAATCATAACTGTACTTCTAATAACGGAGTGTATAAACTATAAATTATAATTTATATTTCAGGTATCCAATATGGAAAAAAGAATTGATACTCTAAGTTGGAAAATAAAAAAATTTGAAAGTGTGTGCTTTGCAGAAACCGAAAGTTCACATACAGTACATTAATTTTTTATTATCTTAAAACTTGAAACATTTTAACTACTTTGTACATTTTATTTAACTATTTATAAAATGGAGTAAATGTGTATTTTTTCTTTAGTATAAGATAACGACATTAATGAGCAAAGTTCTCCAAACGTGTCATAAATATGATGAAATTCTATTGTTATTAGAAGAACACAGAAATGACCAGAATACGTTCACTGATACATTACAAATGCAAGTCAATTTAGCAAAAAGCAGAGTAGAAACATTAATTGCGTTAGTCACGAAAGGAAAAACAATTGATATATAACTATAGTTACTTAGTAAGTATATTTACTTAATTTATTAGAATTTTGAAATAGCTTTTTATTATAAAGTATTCTTTTATTATTATATTATATAGTTATAGTTTTGATATAAAGCTGAGTATAATTTTACTGTTTTTTTTGTATATATCTTTAACTAAGTTCCAAATAAAGTTATAGGCAAAAAAATTACATTTTACTCTCCAACTAAAAAAAAAAAATTCTTAAGTTATATGTTTTCTAAAACTGGATAATAATTTTACCAAAATATTTAACTTGTTGTAGAAAAAACTCTTCAATAAATAATTTTTTTTTTAGTTAGCTAGTGAAATATGAATTTTATTCAGACCCATTCTAAAAAGAAAATATTATTGTATAAGAAAATTTAAAAAATATTATTTAACAGTTTTCTGTACAAAAGTATGTTTTTTTTTTTTACTAGTTACATAATTGTCCAGAGTCGATAATGAATTTTATTGTGTATAATAGAAGCTACATATTATGTTATCCTTCAAAATTAGTGTTTTATCCATTAATACAAGCACATATTTGTTGATTACCTACTAGGTCAGAATTATCTATGATTTAATAAAATAAAAAATATTTTATACTTCTTAACATTTCTACTTTGTTTTATTAACTATAGTTTATAGTTATAAAATGTATAGTATTATAATAGTTTACTGCAAACTTTGATTAACTCATTACACACCCAATAATATTGGTCAAATTAGAACCTTCTACATGTCATTTTTAGATCCATACCGGTACTTAACTATCTAAAAAATGTCTGTTAATAAGGTCATACATACAGATCATAAACACTGGGTGATTCTTTTAACGCCCTATACTAGTTTACTCTTAAAATAATTGCAACTTTGTAGTGTTTCTCTTTGGAAACATTTTTATTCATGTCATACTACAATATGAGACAATTTTCGCATTTTTTAGTATTTGCTGAGCTCTATCAACTTATAAAACTTAAATGACAACGTATATATTTAATTAGCTTTATAAATTAACAATAATTAACTGAAAAATTTGACTGGTCAATAACAGTTTTGAATAATTATTTAAGTATAAAATTTTGGACAGGATGTGGTACGCGGTTGAGAAATGCGCCCAGATAAAAATAACTCTACTCACAAACCTTCCTCCCCACATTAACTTCAAAAATTTTAAAACTATTCAAAACTGGTTATCGACCAGTCAAAATTCTCAGCAAACTATTCTTAATTTAAAAAACTAATAAAATGTATACGTTACCTTCAAGTTTCCAAAGTTAATAAAGCTCTAGAAAATACTAAAAAAGATAATAATATGAATATCATCTCTTTAGTAATATAGCAAAAACAGAAATGTTTTCAAAAAAAAACCTACAAAATTGCAATTATTATAAGATTTAACTAGTGTAGGGTGTTAAAAGAAGCACTCGGTACATGTAATAGACAAAAATTTTAAAATTACTTTTTTTTATTACTTTTTAAATTACTTATTACTTTTTTAAATTACTTTTACACTACAAAATTAACAAAAGTGGCACACATGTAATGATAAAGGTGGTATTTTGCCAATAAATTTTGGTTTTAGTGTACTAAGTAACTAAGAACAAGTGTTCAAATAACTTTTGTTAGAAAAATAAAATGTCAAGTGAATCGGAACAAAATACTAAGTATACTGTAGTTATACATCTATTAACATTTAACATGTATATTATACACGTAGTGTATGGTTAAAACCTTAAATGGTTATTACTATTAGATAGTGGGTTAAATACATACGGGTTATTTTCCCTCGTGTTTAATAACAATTAACACTCAGTTCATGGTTTATTATAAGATTATGATTATTAATAAATTCTAAACACAATTTAATTTTAAAAATAAATTTTCTTATTAATAAATTAAACTAAGATTGTAACACTAACAAAAATAAAAAAAATAAAAATATTCTAATAAACTTCTGCAATGACATGTTTGTCTTTTTCAGTAACAAAAGGCACAGTATCTTTTTTAGAATGTCTACGAATATTTTCTTCCCTAAAAAAAATATTACACAATTTAGAAAAAATATAATCTAATATAATTATTTTCACATACTTTCTTCTGATTTTTTTTCTGGATTCCAATTGTTGTTCACGTTCATGATAAATATGTTTTGGTATTTGTCTATGTCTTGCTATTCTCTTTATTTGAGGATGAGCAGCAAATTTCTCTTTCAATGTTGCATTATAAGCTTTCGCTCTCTCCTCACGTGGTCTTAACTAAATAAATATTATAATATAACAATATAATTAATTAAAAAATATCACATAACTAATTGTATTAGGCTGAATACGGACTATTCCCAATTTTTCTGATGCATTAGCTTTCCATATTCTTATATTCATTTCATCAGATGCACTTAAAACATATTTGTTGTCCAATGACCAGACAACGCTAGTTAAATGTTGCATACGCTTAGTATGGTAGATTTCTCTGGAATGTCCCTAAAATTTGTTTAAAAATTAAAATAATTGTTTTATTTATTGTTTAAGAAAAAAAACCATTACACTAGTGCTTTCATAAATTCTAACGGATTTATCATAACTCCCAGTTACAAATTCAAGTCCTGTTGGCGCATAATCTATACATGTTACAGCAGATACATGATCCATATGCACATTAACTGGCCGTTTTAAATTTCTTGTATCGTATGAATAACAACTGTAATTATAATAAAATTGAATATTGAATAAAAATTAAAAATTTAATAATAAATATTTGCAATTACTTATAATCTTCATTGGCAACAGTAAAATTGAATGCTTCCATAGGATTCCAAGCTAATTGATTCGACTTTAGCTTCATTACTACTTTTCTCATAGGTTTTACTTCTCTTGTATCATAAAGAATAATACTACGATCACTTGCACATGAAGCTATACAAAATATCCACACAAACATTACTATTATAATTAAAATAATAGAATAAAGTTAAGTACAAAGTATCATACAAAAATTGTAAAAACTATAACAAAACAAGGCCAATTTTTTTTATAAGACTTCATTTATTTGTTATGACTCTTAAATATTTGAATATAAAATGTAGCTTCGTGTAAGGTGTAACTAACTAAATTTAAAAATTATGTAATTTAGTCATTCTTCTAATAATTACCTAAAACGTGGGTATCAACTTGATTAAAAGCAATATGGTGCAAGCTGTCTACACCCCATTTTAAAACTGAGGTAGGTTGACTGCGTGTTACATCCCATAACTGTACAGAATCACCGCATGTCGCAAAAACTTTGTCATCTAACCATTTGTGACTTATACCATAAAGAACAGACTAAAATTTAAATCAAGTTTCTTGGATTATTCATTATGATTATTTTAAATAATACAAATTAGGGGTATTTGATTAATAATAATAACAATCAATAATCAACATACATCAAATTTAAATATTAATACAAATTGATATTGTCCCTTTTTTTCAGGTCATTTTTGTTTTAAAATTAAAATATTGCAATTGATTCAACATACAAAGTTGAAATTAAAATTGATAAATCACAATATAAAAAGTAATATACATTTTTCTCGTTTGAGTTAATTGACGAAGGAAGATCACTGTGGTAAAATCTAAATTGATAATACATTATTAGTATTTGTGTTTACGTTAATTTTAGAAAAAGTCTACAAGCCCCTGGAATCAGTTTTGTCGCAGTTTTTTTATAAAATAATATACAAAATTAAAAATTAGGGACATGGTGTGGCAGAGTAGCTACTACTGATGATATTTGGCACCTGAAGTCAAGCTGTTTTCAATGCTGATTGATTCCTTATGAAACATTTTCAATTAGTGGAAAAATAGCTATATATATACTATTGATTAATTATCGTGATTAAGTGTTTGAGACATTTCAATAATGTCAATAATATTCAAGTTATTACTCAACACACTAGAAGGTATTTATTAAGATATAATTAATATAAACCTGTGATATAAAAGTGTGAGCTGGTGTCTCAAATTCTTCTGTATTCCATATTTTTATTGTAGAGTCGTCTCCTACACTTAGTAAACTAGTACCATCAATATTGAAACATAATCCACGAACAAATCTTTCATGCCCGTTAACAATATTAACACATTTTTTTCTAGCTAAATTCCATAGGCGCACTTCTCCATCATAAGAACCACTTGCAATTGTTGATAAAGATTTAGGGTGTTTAGCCATGCAAAAGATTCCATCACGATGACCATCCAAGTTACCAATAAATGGTTTAGCAAATACTTTTTCTAATTTAACTGCATTAAGAGCACGAACATACTCCCGTGATGATTGAAAAGGATGAAGGTTTGGGTCATAATTTCGAGGCACTGAAAATAAAAAAATAATTACTACAATACTAGCAGTTTTAAAAGTAACACATCCACAATTAATAATAAAAACTAAAAATGTTAGTTACAATTTTTGTCAACGGTTAAAAAACAGGTACAATGGATTTGTCAATATTTGCATTATTATTTAGTATGAAATTTAATACCTTTTTGAATGTCTCGTTTCGTTTCTCGCAAATAGTTATCAGGGTTTCGTGTTAAAACCTTAACTTTCATATTTCAAATATTTAATACAAGAAGCTAATTCCAAAATAAACGTTAACAGAACGTAAATTTATTTCAAATAATTATAAATAATAAAATACCAATAACTACTGATGTTTTAGGCAAGAATGTTCTATATTCAAGTCATAAAAAGATCTTAGTACTTAGTCAATAATCAGTTAAAATTACGGTTAAATCGTGATTAAAAGTAATAAGTATTAACTATTATTTTTAATAATATAATTTATATTTGTATTATGTTTTATAATTGTAATATAATATTTTATAATGTCATTATCAATAATCAAATAATATCAACATTCAAGTCACAAGTCTCACAACTTATTTTCAATATACAGTAGCTACTATAGCTGTTATAACTAAGCACGTGCACAAACAAGTCCGAACTCTTGATACAAAATACGGTGCTCTGGGATATTTTGTTGTGTCGGTGGGATACACTGTCCAGTGTCCATCCGGTCACGTTATCTAATGACTAATTCTGATAAAGAATGATTTCATTATAAAAGTATATATAATAGTAATAATAATATTATACTGTATAGTATATACACTATACAGTAAACTGAGCTGAGAGTTGATACCGTCCTCTAAAGCATTTTGTGTACTAGGCAAATTTACATTTTCTACAAATCGTCATACAATCTGATACATTTTTTTTTTGTATACATTTTTTAATTGTAGTTAAGTTAATAATAAAAACATTTTTATCGAATGCCAAACTTATTATTTTAGTTATTTTGTTAGGCGTGCTATAAAGTTTAAAATATGATCCTGTTAGAAACCAACAATCGTGTTGTAGAGGAGTCTATAACTGTTCGGATAAAAAATGCCTTGGCCGGGTAAATTACGTTTGATAAATCGTTTTCACTTTCTAATAAATGTTCATATTTAGGAATAAACCAGAAAACACAAATATATTCATATCGGACTATGCGGGCGTGCTATTTCACATTTCAAATTTAGAAGGCCAAAAGAATATGTTACGAGTAAGTTTTTTATTAATTTAAAGTGTAATATTAGTCTAGCAATAACCGAAATGTATTTTAGGTGAGTATAGCATTAAAGTTTTACGCTGAACTCCAAGAACATGGTGCTACAGAGCTATTGAACCGTGTGTATGGTTCTTATGTTACTGAACCAGAGTCTGGTTTTAACTTTTCTTTGCTCGTCGACTTGGACAAAATCCCTGACAACTGGGAAGAATTAATTAAAAAAATTGGTCAACTGAAGCGAAACTGTTTTGCATCAGTATTTGAGAAGTATTTTGATTTTCAAGAAAAAGGGGAAGAAGGGCATAAAAGAGCTGTGATTAATTATCGAGAAGACGAAACTATGTAAGTAGTAATGACTAATAACTTACACATGAAAATTGACATGTATATTATTATTTTTGTCCTAGGTATGTAGAAGCAAAGTCAGATCGTGTAACTGTTGTTTTCAGTACAGTATTTAGAGATAGTGATGACATAGTTTTGGGCAAAGTTTTTATGCAAGAACTTCGAGAAGGTAGAAGAGCGAGCCAAACTTCTCCTCAAGTCTTATTTACACATAAGGAACCACCACTTGAGTTACAAGACACAAATGCTCGTATTGGTGATGAAGTGGGATATATAACATTTGGTAAACTTTAAAAATTCATTGTAATTAATGAACAATTTAGTAATATTTGTTTTCTTTTTACATATAGTTTTGTTTCCAAGACATACTAATCGAGCTGCACGTGAAAATACAATAAATTTGATACACATGTTTCGGGATTATCTGCATTATCACATCAAGTGTACGAAAGCTTATATACATTCTTGCATGCGAGCAAAGACTACCGATTTCATTAAAGTGCTAAACAGAGCTCGACCAGAAGCTAAAAAATCAAATGAAAAGAAAACTATTACGTGAGTAAAATATTTTGTGATTCTAACTTTTTTTTCTGTTTTCTTAAATCATTTAAATTGGAGAGATTTTGTGAAATTATTGTTAAATAAATATACTTTTAAAAAAATGTGTTTACATTAATTAAATTAAATTTGTTTTGTTTCAGTGGCCGATCATTTGTTCGAAGGGACTGATAGATTATAAATATGTTGCATTTTTCTTAAATTGTTTAACTAAAACACAATATAATAAATACCTATATTAAATTATTTTTAAACAAGCATTAATGGATTTTATTGTTAGTCCAGTATACATGTATATTGTTAGTTAATATAACTAACCATTGTTTTTATATATAAATAAAAAAAACAATTAATTGAATTTTTTTAATTTTACGATTTATTTAATTATAATAATAATAGTACTGCATTTATATAAATTTACTATACATTAATAAAATATTTATTTATTTCATGTTGAATATTATAACCACTATCTAAACATCATTTGCAAAAGGATTTTTATTATCTAATACATAATCATCACTAAATGGATTTTTCTCATCATCATATTCAATATTATCGTCATCCTCATCAAATGGATTTTTTGGTTCTAATATTGTATTTGAAGAAACTAGAATCGGACTCGATCTTGAAGTTGCTTCCGTTATTGTATTAACTAATTTAGGATTTAATTTTTCGGGTACAAAAATTGATCTACTTGATTCATTTGATTTTATTAGTTGATTTTCGACAGCAAAAGGCTCATCAAATAGACACCGTGCAAAATACTCTGATATGAGAGAAAAACTATCATTAGCTCTTTCCAACTGACTATGAAATGTCTCATTGTGATCTTTGATCATACTCTAAAAAAGAAAAGTCCTGGTTAAGCTTAAACATAACATTTTACGACATTTTCTAACCTGTGTTCGTATTATATCCATAATTTGTTTATTGTTAGTAGTGCAAGCTGGGCATTCGTCATCATTTTCTGAAAATGCTTGGAAGCAACTAGAAGAAAAAAGAAGAAATTGTTAGCTAATTTTGTGTATATATATATATAAATGTGTGTGTGTGTAATAATAAAAATAAAAATAATATTAATAGTTCAAATACTTACTGTTGGTGGTAAGAATGTTGGCACATAAAATGTACACTAGGAAGTTCAAGTTGATTATTGCAGGCACTGCAGCGCAAACCTTGAAAAACTACAGCGCTAAAAACAGTAAAATGTATTATACAACTTAAAAACCTTTTCATAATATGATATTACCTATTTTTTAATTTTTCTATTGTATTTTTGATAACTTCAGTATCTTGTTGATATTTATTTACCATTTCTTTATCTTTTTCTAATGTTTTTTTTTCTGCCCCAAATAAACTAGTAAGATAAGCTCGAACATTACCAATTTTAATATTTTTAGACTTAGCTAAAGACGATAGAATAAAATGTGCCGATAGGAGAGACTTAGTTTCTAACAAAAAAAAAATTTCATGAATTCTAGTTAAAAGTGTTTAAAAATATAAATAAAATAAATTTGTAACACAATTAAAATTGTTTACCAATTTCTTTTAATAATTCTTCTAACATAGAAGGTGGAAAATTGTCATCTTCTGTGGCTGTAGTGAATGCTATTATCCATAGTTTTGGTTCAATATGTCCATATTTTCTACAACATGCTATTGCACCATTGTAATCATTCAAAGATAAATAATAGCGAACTAATTTTGAATACCTAAATTAAAATTAAATAGGTTTAATCAACAACTATTATTTTACATGCAAAATTATATGACTCAACTGTTTATTATGTTCATAAATATATACTACAGCTGGTTTAAACTCGAATGACAATACTAAAATTAACATTTGATAATAATCATCGCACTTCATAACATCAGCAGATTCTAGAGTATTTATAATTTTCTTTTCAATTTCATTACGTTTATCAGAGTTTTTCTCATTTTTCCATACAACTAAACTGTGTTCAATGTAAGTGTTCAGTAATGAAGAAGACCATTTACTTAAAAACTACAAAATAAAAACCAAAAATTATTATGATTCTTTATAAAATAATATAAAATAAAATAATTATATTATACATTTATGAACTAATTTTATGAAAAAATTATAAAGCTTTTTAGTTAACTTACATTTAAAAAATGGTCTAAAAATTCAACTAAACATAGAGAATCGTCCAATAATAAATAAATGAAATCTTCAGGATGAGCTGAGTTCTCTGAATTACCTGCCTTCAAATGTCAATTTATGTTAATTATTAATTTTAAAAGATATATATATATATATACTTTAATTAATTATTATATCAACTTACATTTATGTTGGAATAACAAGCGGAACACAGTTTTTTCAAGAAGTTGACTGTGTCCATAGGAACATTTTGCATAAATACATTACTATAATGTTTAATAACTTGAATGGACTATAACGTAAATCATACATTAAAAACAATATTGTTAATAAACAATGCAAAAATATAATTTGTACTTCTTGAATAGTGAGTTTTTCAACATATTCCAAAGCTGCAGCATATTCATGGCGATCATCTAAAAGTATTTTTATATACAGTGAATGTCTACCATGCTTTTCAGCTAATGCAAGTGCATTTTCTGGAGAAGATTGCCTACAAACTTTTATAGCTACATCTACATCAAAATCAATATTATCGTTTTTTGTCTGAAAAATAATTATTTATAATTAAATTTATAATTCATCAATCCAAAAATTAATAATACATATGAAATGACAAATAATCACCAATATGAATTCTTGTAGTTTGTCAAGATTATTCAGTTTTGAGTAACAATTAAACAATAGTGTAGTATGGTCTTTGGTAGCATTTCCAGATTTATGTAAAGCATGCAAATAGGTAGTTAAACTATCAATGTATTGAGAATCTAAAAACTAAAAATAAACATTATGGATATTAGATTAACAATTTTTATTAAACACTTACCTTTTTTATAACATAAGATGGTTCAAGTTTTCCAATTGTTTTAACATACTGTTCTACAGCACCACTATGGTCGCCTTTAGCATACAAATGATCACCATACTGACGAAATATATCAATTAATGCCTGAGAGTCATATTGCTGACTTTTTGCCATACGCACAGCTACGTCATACAGATTTTTTTTGAATAGTACAGACAATTTTGATTGTAAATCTTTTTCAACCAATTGAGAAAGGCTTCCTTCAGCTGTTAAAATATACAATGATCCCCACTCGGGCAGAACTGATACTATTTCACGCAAAGTTGTATTAAATACGATGAATTTGTTTTGAATATCTAATACAGTGATAGACACCAACTCAACTGCATCCCTACATAAAAATAAAATCAACAACTAATCAAAATTTACATCAAAACTTATACTATTATTGCCAATGATTAATCAGTGAAAAATTATAGGAATAAATAATTACAAATGCCTTGTAGTAGTAGACACTGTAATTGTGTTAAGAGATTTTCCTTTCTCCTTAGAAACTATAATTAGGTAACCACGAAACCATTGAATAATGATTTTTTGGCCGCCTACAACATAGCATGGACCACGGCTGTCAACGGTATAACAATATATTGCCTGAAAAACTCAAATAAATAAATAAAATACAGAAATACAATACAGAAAATACAGAAAGTATATAATATTTTTTACTGTATTTTAACTTACATCCTCTTTAGCAATCATAAAATGACTATCAGGGCCATTCACTAGTACTGAGCATTTATGATCACAACCAACCGCATCTAAAACTGTCTAAATTCATAGAGCATTAGTAGTATGTTTTTATTTAAAAATATAAATTCATAAACATACCATAGGGTGAAAATCTTTGGAAGTAACATTGAATTGCTGCACAGATGTGGCAGTAGAAACAAAGAGAAACCATTGATCTTTAGATACACATTTAAAAGCCATTCCTGTTATTTCTTGACCTAATTCTTTTAACATCTTTGGTTTCGAACTTCGGTCTCTAGATAAATCTCCTCTATATAATGCTATAGACCCGTCCAAAAACCCCACAGCCATCAACAAACGATTGTCAGTCACACATAATGTAGTAGGTTTTTCAGTTTTTGGTAATTTTGTAGTGCGCACGCATGTTGGATTAGTTTGGCGATCGCGCCTTTCCAAGTCCCATACTTTAAGTATAGCATTTGTATTCGATTCATCCTCCTAAATAAAAATAAATAGCATGAAATATAAATTGTATAAATACAAATTATAGATATATATTTACTTACACCTATTGTAACTAACAAATTGCTATACTGAAGTTGTGTAGAAAGAAGTACAGTTGATTGATAAGCTCGAAATGCAGTTACAATAAATGTTCGAGTAACCAAATACACAAGTCCATCCACATCACAAATCACTAAATGGCCATGTCCACTACTTGTAGCCACTATTTTAGAGTTCTAAAAAAAAAATACATTCTTCATCAGACTATACATAAAAATATACTTATGTTTTATATAACATTTACTTTCTTTTTTAATTTATTTTAAAATACATTTTTACTATAATTTTCTTAGTCCTATTATAAAGTCTGTCTACTACATAAAATAGATAAACTTAAAGCAAGTGCTTTAAATTTATTATTTTTTTTATGACACTATCATAATGTCCAATATCATTTTATAACTAATTCGCAATAGTTAATAAAAACATAGATTTAAAAGCAAAGTATTCCAAGTAAATACATACCCAGTTGCCCTTGAACAAGTTAACTATCATTAAACAATTATTTTTGTCTAATATTGCCTTTTCTACCCCCTTACATTACCTTAAGCCTTGGGGAGTGCCGAGTGCAAGTTTTAACTAATAAAATGAATAAAGAAAAAATAAATTTTTAGGTGAAGGACTGGAGAAAATATCTATAGCCACCTCATTAAAAAATAACGTATAAATAATGTACTTAAAAGTTTATTTAGAATACATTGTTTGATAGTAAATATCAAAATATTCAAAATTTTCTAAGAACTATTTTGAGGACAAATAATATTTATAGGATTTCAAATCTAATTGAAGGTGGGCAATACTTTTTAGTTCTCAATTTAAGGATAGATAAAATATTTTGGTTCAAAAATAAAATGTTAATGTTTTTATAACCTTCAAGCACTAGCGTGATTGAAAGTTACATCATTGCTCACATGGCGGCATTTGCACCACTCTGCAAAATGGTATTTTGGCAACTTCAATTTTTTTTTTTTTGTAACTAGAAAATATTCATTGGTCCAGCTAGACTGAACTCACGCATTTAGATACAGAACGTTTTTTTCTACTAAGGTGGTGCAAATGCCACTAATGTGAGCACTTGAACTAGTTTTTACAATAAAAAATATAAATTCACATACACTAATTGCTTGAGATATCCGCTTAGAATCTGCATTATGGTTAATATCAAAGAAATTGAATCTACGCCACTAGAACAAATAAAATTAATAAAATTATGTACAGTATGTAAAAATACAAAGAGTTATTAGACAAATAATAATGAAAAATAGTTTAATTAATATTAAATGTTAATTTATAACTTAATTTCTGTTTAGTTTCGATGCAATGCTGAATTGTTTTTACAATGAAGTGATATTATTTTTTTTTTGTGCCTGAACTTATGTTTTTTAAAACATGGAATCAATTTCTTTGTATAGCAAATCTAGCTATCAGAAATCATATCTGAAATTGGCCAAAAAATTTTAAAAATCATCTCTTTCCCTTAAAAATTGAAAAAAAAAACCCTAAAAAATTAAAAATTTTTCTGCTTAAAAGAATGGTGCTCTATTATACATTTTTTTAAAAATAGTCAAATTAGTTTCAAATTTGTATGGAATATTCTTCACACGTAGTACTACCGATAAACACTGACAAATCAAAAAAATATTATAAACCCTTTACCCTAGAAGGTATGGAAATATTTTCTTTATTTCACTTTTATAGGTGAAGTTTTAGGGTTTAGAATGCTTTTATTAATTGTTGTATTGCTGCCATCTACAGACTCACATAAGTGTTTATTTGTAAGTGATTTTATCACTTTCCCCTACATTAATTCCTAATTTAATGACCTCCCTGTCACCACTATGCATTGACCTACCCATACTGCCTTTTTTTTAATTGTCAACATTTTAATAAGTTTTCAAGGTAAAATTTTTTGAATAAAAAATTATATTATTTTATGATAATCAAATAGAAAAAAAATCATCGGAAAATACTAGAGTTAAGCTAGGGGTTTGAAATTTTTTGTTTTTTTATTTATATACACACAAACTATTATGTTTCTAAGGAAAAAAAGACAATTTTAAATTTAATTTACAACCAAAAATAATTACCACGCCTATAAAATAGCTTAATGTGTAAAGATATTATGTTAATACACTTACTTCTAAAAAGGACATGTTCTATTATAATACGTATTTATATAATAATATTCCAATAGATTAAATGGAAATAAATTTCCAAATTTAGTGAATGCCAGAAATATTAACCATAATTTATAATTTGTATTTTGTACTACAATTAATAATATTGCAGTTATTTATTTATTTTGTAATGTTACATAATAATCAAATATATAATTATGATAATATTACCGTGATAATAATAATAATTGATAACATCGTTGTATCATCCACAGATATATATTACAACAACGGGCACTTTGATAAGAAAAGTCGGCCATTTACCTGACTGGGTGTAATTCAAGAGCATATGAGGCATGAGCTATGAGCGTACTTATCTTTTATGTTTATCGTTAAAAAGTTTTAAAAAGTTTTAGACTCTCATAGGGGTTTCGAACCGGCGACCTTGCGAGGAGGCATTGCAACCGCCGCTAAATTCCACTCGGCCACTCCGTCCCCGAAACGTCTTCTACGATTTCACAACATTATAGGTAGAGTAAGGCCACAGATATATATTACACCTAGAAGAAGTACTTTCTTGTACAAGGTTCGGTTTAAACTAAAATGGAAGTGATATATATATTAGCGTGGATCAAAAAAAATGTTTTTTGAAAAATATTTTTCTTTTTCTTTTCTCGACATTATGTTCCTTGGGGTAAAATAATATTTCCCTATTTTTTCAGATTTTTAAAATTATTTTTAGAGTTTGCAAGCATCAGTTTTCCAATAAAAAATTTTTTTTTTTAAATATAAATATCAATTTTAAACAAATGTTGCTTGTGTACTAAATCATCATTAGAAAAAGGGGAATAAACCAATATTTTTTTTTTACAAAAAAAACTACTATCCAACTAATTTAGGCCTTAGAATGTAAAATTTGCGAAAACATTGATATATATATACCCTTAATCGTACCCTAAAATGTTATTTTTAGGGGAATAATATATTTTTAACTTTTTTCTCATTTAGTGTCCAAGAACTTACAATTTACATAACACATTATTCTAACAATAGATCAAAAAAAAAATTATTTAAAAAAAACTTTTTTTTTGAACTTACACATCGGAATTCTTTGCAAATAAAAGAGGAATAAGTTAAAAATATTTTATACCCCTAAAAATAATATTTTAGGGTACTATTAAGGGTATATATATATATATATATATATATATCAATGATGTCACAAATTTTACATTCTAAGGCCTAAATTAGTTGGATAGTAGTTTTTTTGTAAAATAAAAAAAATATATTGGTTTATTCCTCTTTTTCTAATTATGATTTTTTTATTAGGGCAGTTCCCAACAAAACATCTGTGTACCATTTTTGCCTACCGATATCCAAATAACAAATTCCAATTTTCAATTTTATCAACTAGAAATATGTAAACAAGGGGCTCTTTGATAAGAAAAGTCGGCCATTTTCCCGACATCCATGTTCGATGCTGTCGTTATAGAAAGTCGGCTATCTAGTTGCAATATATAACTATGGTATCATTATTGATAATAGGGAACAGTTCTTTGATAGTTTTTATACTCTTTGGACACGAAGACACCGCAGTTATCTGTCGGATCGTAATCAAGTAACCAGTAACCGCAAGCCTAGTTCACTTTTGAATTTTGAAAAAAATGATCTTCGAATTATTGACAATCATATTCTTCAATTTTTTCGCGCTCTTGAAAATTATTTACCGTCAAAGTTGAATTGCGACTCCGTTTTTACAAATTATTAACAGAAGCAATACGTGAGTATTTATATTTAACATTGTGGACTGGTTTGCCTATAGTGGTGCCGTACGTTTAGGGCGCTCATTTCTTATTTTGTTTTTGTTATCGAGTGCATACGTATCGGGCGAACACGATTGGTCGGTAGTAAAAATGTTTTAAAAATCAAATATGGTGTTACAACGCTTCAAAAACGCGCAATTTTCTTTGAAGCTATCCCGTCAAATATGGTCTTTATGCTTGAAAATGGTTTTAGGGTGTCGCCGAGCTGGATGTGCACAAACGTCACCTACAAACTAAACTGCTCCCGCTCGGGGCGTGCCCAACTTCGGTAAAGACAGTCAACAAATTTCCACCGTCATCATCTAGTCGCCAGAGAAGGATTCCCACTTAAGCTAATCCGACGATAGGATGTCGAACACAGGTGTGAACTTAAATACTTTGATTGTATTCAGATTTTTTGAATTTTTCAGATTGATACCCCAGTATTCCTAGTATTGAGTCCTTACAATTATTGATAATGGAGATTGCTTTAACCCTCAGAATTTAAATTACTATCCAAAACAACCCCAAACAGCTAATTGCCTAATAAATAAAACTAACAATAAATTATTGAGTTTTGAAAGCATCCTACATCATTGCATTGAACATTACTTAGATACTATTTTATAATTTAATATAGATTTTTGAAGGGATTTGGACTATTATTTTAAAACCTTAATATATATCCTATCTAACATTACCCATGTTAGAACGCTTAAGAAACAAAATGATACTTACATTTTTTTCAATCTTTGTGACATAGACGATTAAGCATTCATTTTGGTCTCTAGTTAGTTTCATAATCCTACATCATTTTTTTATAATTTTATCTTTGCAAGTTTCAAAGGTATTCGGAGGAAAGAAGCTATAGAAAATGGATGACATGAAAATATTAAGAAAAGGCTAAATTGGTACTAGAATATCTTGCTCTGTTTTAACTATGTTACATCTCTTTTCTTTATATTTGTATAGAAATATTATATCTCATGGTCCTTAAAACATTGTTCTTTACTGAAATATTATTTGTATACAATATTGAGTGTAATGTATCAGTTGTTTAGAAGCTTGTTTATAATTTGTTCTCATAATATGAGACAACTGTAAGAATTGCTTTGATCTCAATGTAACAAATTTTAAACTGATGATGTAAGTTTAAATAATTTATAGTAGAAAAAGACATAAAAATGAGAAATGAGTCTTAACACAACTACATTAATTTAATGATTAATCATAACTTTATCAGAGACTTGAATAGAAGTGTGAATTTTCATTTGCTTTATTTAAAGAATAGGGACTTTTTAATAATACATGGTTAATCCGGGCTGGATCCAACCTATAAAAACAGAGGGGGCATTTATATATTTTTTGGAATACATAGGAGATATAGGAGGAAGCTAATAATATATAGCTAATCTCACTCTATTGCCATTTCACCACTAGATTCACTCCCCTATGTTTAATAATATGTCTTCAGTTTAATATAATCCTCGCGTCAAATATCTTCATTTCTTTTTAGAATAAACAAAATTAATTATAAAAACATCTCCAGTAATACTAAACTTATGTTTTTCTTCATTCATAAATTTGTATAATATCATATTATTTATATATCTTCTTAACAGTAAACTTCATACCTATTAGCTGTGTAATTTAATTTTTATTAAACTTATCAAGATTAAAAATATGTATTTAATTTTATATTTTGTTCCTTGTAGATTTTGATAGTCAAGACTTGGGTGGCTCAAGTGTGCTAGATAGTGACTACTTGACCATGTTAAGTTCATCAGACAAGCTAATGTCTGGAGAATTTGAAGCTCTTGAACGACTCCAAGCAGAATTAGATTTGTTTGATGATCCTAATCGGCCTGAAGAAATAGTTGAACAAATGGCTGTAGAAAATCATTTAGATTTAATAGAAGAAGAAGTTTGTAGCGATACAGGCGATACTGTAAGTGACACTGAATCTACATCAAAAACCAAAGAGTCTGAATCAGAAATTATAACGTCAACTCAGCCACAGGTCATTGAGTGTCAGACTGTTGATGAACATAAGTCAGAATCTTCTAAGCTCTTGCAGGAAAATATAATTGTTACACTTAAGCAACCTGAAGTTGTAACTGTTCAAAGTGCTACTAAAAGAAGTGCGCCAACCTTACCCACAGATCAGCAGTCAAAAAAACCAGTAATATTAATTTAAATATAACCAATTATAACTATGCCTAAATACCTAATATTATAGTTTTTTTTTATTTAGTTACTTACTAAGGTTATGGTTAACACAGTACCAAGTTTGAGTACTGGAAAAGGAGCACAACAAATCTTATTGAATGTTCCAATTGGTCAACGTCCACAACTGGGTACAACTAGAACTATAACACTGACCCAAGCTCGTCAAATGGGTTTACTAACACCAGGATGTCGTTTACAGCCAGTTACTTCTAATTCAAACACATTGCAAAATAAGGTAATTTAGTTAACAACAAAAAGTCTTATTCAATATAATTTTGATTCCCAATTATAGAACATGGTCATAAATAAAATTTCGGGTACGTTAAAGAAAGGAACATCCACCATGAAATCTTCTGGGCCTACAAAAATATTACCAGCTCCAACTCTAATCACTGCTAAAAGTCCAGTACTGCAACAGCAAAAGATATTTATACGACAAGTGAGTTAAAGAAAGAAATCAGTTTGTTGAAATAATAAAAATTGTATTTATTATCTTAAGGGAGCTGTTTTTAAACAAGGAACTATAGTATCTACGAGTAATGGTAGTAATCAAGTTTTTCGATTACCCTCTGTCGTTGGTCAATCTTCACCTGTATCAACTATACAACACATTCGATTACCAACAGTTAATGCTACTACTGTTGGTGGTATACAACATGTCAGAGTGCCTAGCAACTCTGGAATACAGCAAGTGCTACCAAATAAACAAGTAATTACTTTATATGGTAATAAATGTATTAACGCTCATGAATAACATTTTAAAAATATGTAGGTGCAATACATTAGGCTTGTCCCAACTAGTGCCAGCAATTTGGCCTCTTCAACTGTATCGGTAGTGACAACTACTACTGTCTCTGCACCACCTAAACAACCACAGATTGTTACTGTATCTTCATCAACACATAAACCAAATATCAAAACAACACCTATTACAACTAAAACAACTGTAGCAAGCAATCAAGGGACTGTGGCCAACCACATAAAAGTATTTTCTGCTTCACCACATGTATGTAGATGTTTGGGTTTTATTTAAGTAAACATTTTAAAGAAAAACTTTATTTTTTTAAATTAAGACTGTTACATCTACTCAACAAAGACCTATATTGCCAGCAAATAAACCAAATTGTAGTTTACCATCAGAATCAAAAAAGTCAAATAATTTGGTTCTTTCTTCAACGAGCTCAATGAACACAAAACAGGTATAGAATTATAATACATACATATTATTATTTACAGTTATTATAATTTTTTATTTTTACATATTTCAGCCTTCGCCAAAACTAGTAATTAAAGAAGAAAATATTGAAGAAATAATTGTCACAAGAAAAGATGAAAACAAAGAATTAAATTTAACTCCATCATTACCAAAGATTGGAAGACCATCATCTTCTACACCATCCAACTTATCAGATCCTAAGCCCAAATTTGCCAATGATTTAAACAAAACTAAAAAACCTTGTAATTGCACCAGATCACAGTGTCTTAAATTGTAAATTAGAAACACTAAATTATACATAATATGTATTGCATTTTTAATATTATTCTTCATATTCTAGGTATTGTGATTGTTTTGCGAATGGTGAATTTTGTTATCAGTGTAACTGCAATTCATGTTTTAATAATATGGAACATGAAGAAGATCGACAACAAGCAATCCGTGCAGTATTGGATAGAAATCCAAATGCATTTCGACCAAAAATCAAAAGTTTTGTAGGTCAAGCTGAAAGGCAACATACTAAGGGATGTAACTGCAAGAGATCTGGATGTCTAAAAAATTATTGTGAATGTTTTGAAGCGCGTATAGCTTGCTCACAAAACTGTAAATGCGTTGGATGTCGTAACATGGATGACGATTCAAATAGTCCGCCATTTGGAGATTCTGGATCATTAAGTGTGGAACATTTAAAAACTAGAACAAAATCAGCCAATTTTGTTACATCCTTTGGAAGTATGCAGGCTGTCAATACTATTCCAAGGTAAAATTTTAATATTAAATATACATAAAATTAGTTAAATTTTCTGTTCGTTCATTAAACAATTGTATAGGTTTGATTTAATACACCAACATCATTTAAAATTTTCAGTCAGCCATTCAAATTTTTTACAAATGATGTGGTTCAAGCTACTTGCCGTTGCCTTTTAGCTAGAGGCATGGAAGCTAAAAAATTAAACACTGGAGCTGAAGAATGTCAGCGTATAATTATTGAAGAATTTGGACAGTGCCTTGTTAAAATTATGGATCTTGCATCTGAGAAATCTTTTTTATAGTAATTTAAATCATTATTTTTAGAAGTTTTATAAGTATAAATATAATTGACATAATTTTTATTTTTGTTTGTATATAATTTGTTCACTTTATCTTTCATCATGCTATATTTTGTTTTGTGTAAATTTGAGTGTACATTATTTTTATTGTGTGTGTGTGTGTGTGTAAGATTAATTATGTTTTTATTTTCAAATTTTATTGACTCGTGTGCGTTTTATTTAATTTTAAACATATATATTTCATGATTTAATTTATTACGAAATGTAATATAAAAATATACAATATTTAAAGACTAGTTCACGGGTTTTTTGTCTCTAGCTAATAATTTCCTAGCCTTGTCTTTTACATTCCCATCTCTGAACATTTCAATTTCTGGTTTAACGCGGAATGATTCTAGGAATTCCTTAGTCTTCTTAGCTTTACGTTGAATCTTATTGTTGGCATATTTATCTTTTTTGCCTTCTCTTGCTAATTGCCTTGTCTGCATGAGAAAAAAAAATCAAATTAGTTAGAGCATATGATTATAATTGCTTTAACTTATTAACTGCCATGGGTAGTACAGGCAATCCCAGTTCATTTATTTATCTTAAGCCATGGTGATGCCGGCACTACCCATAGCAGTTAATGTGTTAAACAAAAACAATACTTTGGCTGGTGTAACATATAATGGATTTTCCCAAAGAGTTTCACCACAGAAACTGCCTTTGAAGATACGGATTGGTTGTAGTACAAAGCGTGGTCCTGAAAGAAAAAATTATTATAATATTAACTGAAAAATTTTACTTTATCTGTGAAATTTATGATAGTGACTAACTAGTACTATTATATTATAAAAGACTAAAATTCATTATTTATCAAAAGGGCATCAGTAGATAGTTATATTTTACAAAACAATAAAAGAAATGCTAACTACTAGACTTAACATATCAGCTATTCAATTTTTGTGAATTTCTTATGAATTAATACTGTACCTATGTTATTCATTTTTTTAAAAAAATTTTGTAACTTAATGATAGCCTACAGTTACTCTTGTACAGTCTTGTAGTGAATATAGAAACTATGAGCTATGTAGATTGGCTAAATACATTATTATTGAAGAAATAATTAACAAAGAAAGAATTACCTCATCCTTATTAGTCATATGTGCAGAAAATTATTAAAGGGAAACAACAAGCGATATTTAATAAAAATAATTATTCAACAACCGATTTCTATATCAACTTGTTGGGGAACTGGAGGTAATACTTTACGTATACATTTATTTTTCTGTTTAAATTCTGGAAATTTTTTAAATAAAAATGAGCTAATAAAAAAATGTTCAGTACTATTTGATTCTGTTTTTTTTTTCATTACGTCAGATTTTTTTCTGACAAAAATATTGTTCAATACCTTGCATATATTTTGACGCCTAAAATCTAACTAACAAAAATAAACTAGATATCGTTACATACTCATTGATCAATAATTTATCCCAATTTAATGTTATCCCAAAACAACAGGTTTTCAGTTTCAACATTGAAAAGTTGAAATAAATATAATTTAATAATTATTTTTAAATTTACTGACAATAAATTCTAAATACCCATTGTTTAATAATATTTACCAAATGAAAATAAATTAGATAAAATAATATTCTTACCAATTTCGGCTATAGCACCATTATCATCTAAAATTTGATAATTCCTAAACCAAATTCTGTTATCCAAAACCGAAAAGTTCAGAACATTATCGACAAATGGTTGACTTTTAGGATGTTGGTTAGGTACCCCAAATATTTGGATAAATAATTCCCTTAATAATGAATACTGTGGGTGTTCGTCAAAAGATTTTTCAAATGATAAAATTGGTCGAGATCCTTTTAGACAATTTCCAGTCAATTTCAACTCTGCACTTGTGTAAACTAAATAATAAAAAGTAATTGTAAATAATGTGTCAAATAGAGCATATAGACTTTTAATAACTTACTACTTTCTACATGAAACTTTGCACTAGGTCCTTCTGGTATATTCGCAAACCACATATACAAATCTCTCTGAAGTCTTCCATCAAATAAAATGCATTTATTGCAATGTGCCATTTTACACATCTAAAAGCGTATTGAACAAGTTTAAGGATATAAAATGGTTAAATTTATATAAAACATATAATTAACCTACCTCATTGACTACAAATAAGTTTTCTTTTTTCTCCATTTTAAAAGCAGACTTTGAATGCGGTAACATTTTGATAAAATCTTTCATTAAATGACGGTGTTGAAAACTTATACCACGGGTAGCAAATACTAATACTCGTTCCCTATTGATCCATTTTGTCTAAAAATAATAAATCAAATAAATATTAAAATATAAAACATAACTATTATTAAAAAAATTTGTATTATTATGTTTATAAACAGAAATCTATTAAATCCCTAAGATACTTTGTAATGAAATAAAAACTTTTTCAGAGATAGTGGATCATATGATAGTGCCAAATATGGAGTATTCTTCGTTCCAACAGAGAACATACCGATTTTGCGCATCACTACTGACAATCACCGTTCGAGCTACAAATCTAACCGAAGCACGTCATAGTGGGAGGTGCTTGGCGGGAAATGCAAGCCGCCAAACGTAAACAAATCACCGCCCAGTAGGTATGTTCTCTTTTGGAACGCAGAATAGTATGCATTATAATAAATTTGATAAAATATTACTATGTAGCAGAATGAAGCAACTGGATGTGATTAATTACACATTTTTGAGGCATGACTGCTCTAAAATAACGTCGTCCAAGCACTGATTTTTTTAAAAAATTTTAATAATAACACAATTTTATTTTAATATAATTTATGCTGCACACTGTAAACATGATTTTTTAATTATATTTTATTAGCAGGTTGGAGAAATGGTTTTTGTGACAGAGTTGGACATTATTTAGATAATTTTTTATCTGAAAAATTATTTAAATAATTTTTTTATTCAAATACCCATTGACTACTATTTTTATTCAAAGAATTTATTCAAATGACTGTCGAATCTTTTTTTTTTAAACAAAACATCTTAGATTTGGTCGATTAAGAGGTTATCCAATAAAATAAGTTATTATTCGTTATTCGAAGAAGAAAAAATGCCCTGCTCTGCTTGTAGGTAATATTTTGACTAATATATACAATTTAAATATAGATATTTTATGTTTTCAAACAATCTTTTAATCTTATTAGGTAGGTCAAAGAATAGCTTTTATACACTAACCTACGCATCTCAAAATAGTTGCACTTTTGTTAGGGTTTTATCGACAGAATTATACAATCCAACCAATATGCAGAAAAAAAACTAGGAAATTATAATTTATTTTTTGTATGTATCTTAAGGCGTAGTTTTAACGTTGTATCTGCAAATTTTAATAAATATACAAACCTTAACTCTATGAATATACGTATAGTTTAAAAAATAAAATTATAGTTTAAAAAAATGTTTAATTGAATAATATTTTTAAAAAATAAATTACTTTTTTGATGACTGGCTCGTCTGATCTTCGAACTAGAGGCAAGACTACTTTAGGCTCCTCTTCTTGAATCTCCTCAGTTTTTTGTTTCCTTTTTAAACTTTTCTTTGCCATTTTCTAAATAATAATAATAGGTAGAATAAATAATTGTAACAATAAAATATTTAAAAAGTAATAACAATTATAACATACATAGTTAGTCAAAAAATTAAAGAGAAATGTCAATTATATTATGTTTGAATTGTTAATAGTAAACAATAAGTTACAACCCTCTTGTAGGTATATTCGACAGTCAACACTAACAAACAAGTTACAATTTAATATTTATAGTCAACACGTGCTTGATATCGAATATAATATTATTATGGACACCCGACACAGGCGTTCGGCGGAAAATGTGTTTACTGATAAAGGCAACGTAAAAAATGATAACCAGGTGCCAACATAACGAAAATGAATAAGAGTACTGGAAACAGCACAGGCGTCTAGCGGCAAGAAAATTGTTTCTGAATTCTGATACGGTACGGCCATAATCCATAGTTTTGCTCTATGCCCTATGGAATATAGACATATAGTCCATCCATACTCCATACGATTTGTATTATTACACCCTGACTATGAAGTCCATAGTCAGGGTGTAGGGTAGTAACTAATAAACTCTTGCTCGTACTTTATTCGGCTTCATCACACAAATATTCTAGGTTGCAGGTTACAGATTTACATTATGTAGCACATGCTACAAACTAATATATATATATATTTATGCAAATTTAACTTATTTCATTTAACTGATAAGAAGTATGCTATCGTCGTAATTATAATTTATATTGCTGCAAGACGCCTTTGTAACCTACAGTAATAGCCAATGTCTCGCATTCGCTACTAATAATAATATAATGATGATGATTACTTATTAATATTAATACTATATTCTCCTTCTAGCTCCTGACAAATCCAGTACGTCGATACATAATTATTCTTAGACATTGTTTGGCAAGTTGTATATTTAAAAAATGTACGTAATGTGGATTATTTCATGACAGAATCAACAACAAATATTTTTTAATTTGGTCCTTTATGCATTAGGCATACATTTATTAAGTTGTATTCCATAAACAAATAATATTCATTATTGCTGTTAATTTTTTATTTACAGCCGATTAATATAGGTATCCAACGTAAAATTTTACAAAAAAATATTAAAAGAACCAACCTAATAAATACCTCAGAGTGTAGGTGTGTAACCAATTAAAATGGACCCCACAACAATAACTAAGCCTTTATAGTAGACGTTTAAGATGGGCAAATAACATAAAACCTGTACCTAAAAAACAAATTGAAATAGATAAAACATTTGTAAGTTACATAATATAATAATAGGCCCTTCATTAAATAATTTGGACCCTTTTCAAACGACTTTATGAGTTCTTTCTAGAAGCCACAGGATATGCAGCACAGCCATACTGGCAGGTTATAATAGTTAACTACTTTAAAATTAGTAAATTGAACTTAGGATAATAATATTGCTAACCGGTAAACCAATATTTTAAATATTTTTTTAAAACGATGTAAAGGTGTTTTGACGTGAAATTTAATGTTGTAACTGAAATATTTTTTGTTTTGATAGTAAATAGCTATAAATTTGATACTTAGAGGGGCGGATCATGTTTTAGATGACAAGTAAAATTTTAATATAGTTACATAATAACTTAATAAGACAAAACAAATTATCTGCTGATAATCCTTTCAAAATCTGTTGAATATAAATCCAATATATAATTATACGATGTCCAATATATATATATATATATATATCTTACATACTAATTGATTTTGAAATAAAATGTTCACAGACCAATAATTTAGCATGATTTCTATAAAAAAAAAAAAAAAAATAAGGATTAAAATTAAAAAGGAACAGCTGCCATGAATAATGTAACGATACTCTGAACAGTATACAGACTATAGCTGCCACTTGCCAGGAATATTAAATATTAGGTAATATTATTAAGTTTATATTAATCAATAGTATTATGAATGCTTTAAGCTCTCATGGATTGAAAATTATCCACATAATATTAAATATTGTAATAATTAATGGCATAACAATTTTTAGTTTTGGGTAAATTATTTATGATGATTCAAAAAACTACTTGTATTTTAATTCTTTAGGTAAAAATATGAATACTATGAGTTTCGAAAATTCAGCTACCTAAGTGGATTGTGGGCTGCGGACAACCAGTGAAAAAGCGGTCTTGTCTGTTATTAGTTATTACCGACTTAACAAGTTTTTACACAGGGTTCGAAGTTCAAACAAATTGGTAACGCATTTTGGAATTATTTCTACTATGTCCGATGCAAAACGACGTACCTACTGAAAGCCTTATCACTTATCCGGGACACGTCATACATCAGCAGTACATTTTATTATCTGTACATTACACAACTAAGTCAAAGGCGAAGTCTCCGGAAATCCAAGATTAATACTTGGCGTGCAGTCCGCACGATTTGTATACATGCAGTTATTTAAATAATGAATACGATATCAACGATTGATCAAACGCGGTAGTTCTCTAGATGTTAACTTCCGCCATCGGCTGAGAATCGCTAGAACGCGTGAATCTGAATAATAAATAATAATTTTTGTGGTTGTTGTATCGACTTTTTACATCAGTATCGGATGAATTTGCGATGATGTTGTACAATACCATCAGACCACTGATCACAAGATGGTTGGTAATTCCATTGGTTACCATTCTCGCGCGTATCCTTTATCAGTCATAAATGTCCACAGTCCACGAACCACGCTAGTCGCTATCAGCTGCTGTACAAAATACCGCGAGCGGCGAGTCCCATTTTATATTATAATTGCAGCTTTAAAATACGCATAGCTGATCGCTATGCGTATATGACGTTAATGTAATACAGGCCTATGTGGGACAGTACAGTTATTGACGTGGATGAAACAGACGACAATAATAATAAATTATAAATGGTGTACGTCGTTAAATTGTTTTTTGTGGCGTTTCGCCGTTTGCGTTTGCCACGGCGGTCGTCGAGGCCGAGGAGGAAGCGATATAATATGTAGATAGAGGGGGTGGCAAGCTAGAGAGGGGAAAAAGGTTAACAATCTGCCAACCCGCGGCGTTTATGCTTGTGCGTGTACACGCCGTGCCGCTGCTGCTGGTCAATATGTGCAAACGTTCTGTGCCTTTGCGGCAAGTGGTTCCCAAAAACTACGGCTGAAGGACGCGCTCGACAAACCCGACTTGCGACAAAAACGCTCCAAAACACAATACGATATTATGTCAAATAAGTCTTGTCGGTAGACAATACTAACATGTTAATACATGCAAGACATATGGAATGTTGGGTGTAGGCTTACAGTATAAACGTTAGTAATCTTTGGTCACTTTTTCGTGTCGGTGAAGACGCCGGAAACTGATAGTCTTTGCATCAGAACACATAGATGGGTGGCAGTCGTCCGCGGGTGTTGGAAATTAGAATGGCATCGGGGGGCGCTCGCGCTTAAGTCCAGACCGCGGCCGTTTGGTGGTAATGACTACTGACTTGACGGCGTCAACGTTGGCAGCAGTGGCCGCGCCGATAGCATTACAGAATACGGCCGTACGAGTATTATACCATTGGCGATCATGCGTATTTTCGTTCACTGAAGAACATCACCGTCTTCGTCTTCACCCGCCGCCGCCAGCCGCATCGCCCGCCGAATGTCGCTGGTCGAATTGGTCTTTAGCAGCGACAGTGCCGCCGCCCGTTCGCGTACCCCGTTATCGCTGTCGCTCGGTGACGATTTTTGTCACTTATATTACGATTCAGTTTCGTAGTGGTGTGCCTTAGCACGGGTTTTCCGTTATAGGAAATCTTGCTGCACAACTGGAATGTCTTATTGAATTTCAGGTAAAGATACCTCAAATTATTGTAATTTTTTCTTGTCATTAATCGGGGTATCTAAGGTACCTAACTTCTGCACTTGAGTACCTCAGTTGCCTACTTCACCAGCTTACCAAACAGTTGCTTTAAAACAACACTCCAATAGTTATTTTACCGTAGGCACACACTCCGATACTCAACACTTATCACACAGAATGTCTGAAGTTTGATAATGTATTCTTCTTGATTTTGTGGGTTTATTTTTTTTTTGTCTTATTTCAAATAACACTTTATAACTTACTAATTACACAATAGGTTTTTCTCATAAAACATCTTTTTCGTAATCTAATGATTGTTAAGGTCTCCGGACTCCGTTGATTGTCGTTTGGGTAATCCTGTTGATAATATACAATTTGTTTGAAATTACAACACTTGTATTTTAGAATAAGTATACCGTAGGATCTGTAAATATAGATTTCAATAACTAATTAAAATCCTCTGCGTAATGCATTTAAAAGAGTGCCAAATCGTTAATTTAAATTTAGTTCATATTTTTGTTTTATTGCGGTTTTTTCTCACCCATAGTTTAAACATAGACGGTTTTAAGAAAAATTGAATTTTATGTATATATAAGATTGATTATTATTCAGAACTGATTAAAACGTTTACGAAATGGGGCCTAAGAATAGTCTTGTATTGCAATTTGCAATTATTGAAAAAGTATATTTTATTAGGATACACACAAATAATATACTTTTGAATCTCTGCCTACTAAATTAATATCTGATAATATTTAGTATAATTGTTATGTTATCTAAGTTGCTCCATTTTATGTCAGTACAACTCTGTGGAAAATTTCAATGAACAAACAATTAAATACGCCTAAATAACAAGTCTTTTAATTATGATAGGTTTGTACCAGTATTTAACTAATTATTTTCTTGATTTTCAGAGAACATTTACTCTGATAAATGTTAGATATGAATCAGTTAAAAGATGGAAAAAACGGTCGACCTGACATTCAAGAAATCTTGGCTAGAATGAAAACTCGTTTTATCAATGAAGCAGATTCTGATAATGAAGAATACGGAGACGAAGATGAATTTGGAACGACAAATGTTGTTAATAATGACATTAAAGATATAGAAGTTGAAAAAAGTCCAGATGATGAAATTGCTGAACTTATGCTCAAGCTAAATGGCCAGGTAGATGAAGAACTGGTAGCTAGTATAAGATCTCGGAAAAAAATGTACGAAACTCAGCCTGAGGCAGACAGTACATCATCAACAACACCCGATATAAAAGTAGAACCAGAACAACCTGAACTCAAACCAAGAATAATTCTTACTTTGAGAACAAATGAAAATAAGCCGGATTCATACGTAAGCTCAAGTAATCTTACAGATTATAGCGTGGAGAGTTCTGTGAAAAAACCAAAATCAAACAATGCTACTGTTGAAACTGTTGTACCACTTAAAAGATCTTCAAGAAGGTCTACTGATAGCAGTCAATCTGTTTTAAAATCGGCTATTGCTCGAAAAGAAAAAACATTTAATATTGATACAAATTCCAAAAAAAAGTTACCTACAAAAATTAAAAAAGAACCAGCCGATGTGGTTGAAGATCCTACTCCTATTAAAATAGAACCAATCGAAGATAATTTAGCTATTGAAGATTCAAAAGTCAAAGAAAATTTCCCAGACCAAAGAAAAAGAAAGAAAAAGTTGTTTAGGGGAGGGAGGTATAATATATTTAAAAAAAAATCTCAAAAAGATCGTCAAAGGACTATTAAAAAAGCTCTGGGTAATACCATGAACTCTGATACAGCTTCTTTTGATACATCTGAAACATACTCTGATAGACATTCTATATCAGGTATACACATAAACATTCCACTATTACTAAAATACTTCTTATGATTATTTTTTAACAAGTTAATGGTCTTTTTTAGTTTGTAGCGATTTCGGTACAGTATCCAATGATAGAATTTATCAGGATGATGTGGATAGTAGTACACTCTCAAATGTTGACATAGAAGGTAAAACTAACATTTTAAATTTTTTGAATATATTGTAATATCATTTTAAGCAGATTTAGTCATACACATGTCTGCATATGGGTATATTTTTATTTAAAAAGTTGTTTATTATGTTGCAGATAATAAAACAAATGTCTTTAATCAAATTGCACGAGATCATAATAAGTTTTGTTTATGTGATAAACATGTACAAGTTGTAGTGATTGATGAAGGTAAAATGTTATGTGAAGCTGAAGACTGCGTTGATGGTAGACTAATAGCTTGTACAAGTTTAGCTTGCCATCTCGACGAATTAGGACACATGCCCATGTTAAGAGCTCATGTTGCATTGCCTTTTGTAACTTTATGTATACATCACATGAAACGATTTATTTTACATCATAGTTGTCCACGTTGTGGAAGGTTTTGTTCAGAGGTAAGTCTTAGGCAGAGTTATAAAATGCTAAAATCCCAAAAATTAACGTTTGAAATAATTATATACATCAATAACAAAGTATTCTAATCTAATCTCATTATTTCCCATTCCAATTTTATCCAGGGTATATTTATGGTGTGTAACAATGGGCACTTTTTTCATATCGGTTGTTACCTTAAAGACCAAGGATGTCTCCATTGCGGATCCTCTGAAGTACACGAATTAGAACTACGCAAGTTTGTTGTTAACAAATTGAAAAACAAGCACAGACGCACTACACCAAACTGTATATCTGTTCAAGTTGGGCGACAAAAATTGACTACAGAAAATTGTCCTCCGGAAATAAACTCTTATGAATTAACTAAATATTTACAAGGACTTCAGGAAGAAATGTATGATTCTAGCCGAATCATGTGAGTATAATATTAAGTCAACATTTTTATTTAATAGCTTATAATGATAATACAAGTTGGCGTATAAGATATTATATGAATACAAATTTAGTTAAATTTAACAATGAATACAACTATTAAAGTCTTTTCTTTTACTCAAAATAAATATAATATTATAAAAAGATATAACATGATTTTTATATTGTCAATTGTACTTCTTGATTAGGTATCCAATTCAAAGACTTTATCAAGCATGTGAATTTAATGATATAGAAAAAGTATTATCAATATTGGGTAAATATAATTTCTTACAATTATTCAAAAACTAGTTAAAATTTGTATAAAACATATTTTGACGTGTCGTACAAAAAGTAGCACCATTCAAGTTCTAGCGAAAACTAACACCATTCGAGGCTTTTTACAAAAAGTAGCACCACTCGCGAATTTCTTACGAAAACTAGCATTGTTGGCACCAATGGCACCAATAGCACGAATGGTGCTAGTCTTCGTAAGAACTCACAAACGTTGCTACTTTTCGTTTGAGGCGTCGATTTTATGACTAGAAATCTAAAAACATTTGTTTTTCATCATTTTAGGCGCAGGTGGTAATTCTTCTTATCAGTTTAAAGATCATAATAATCGAACTGCATTACATGTTGCAAGCATGTACGGTAATCCAATGCTTGTATATATATTATTACAAGCTGGCAATGATCCAAATCATACTGATGATAAAATGAAGACCCCCGTAAGACTAGCTGCTAAGTTCGGTCACATAAATGTTCTTCAATTACTTCTGAAACATAAGGGTGCTCCTGAAATTAAAGTATAGTATACAATGTATGAAACAAAACTAGTCTACCGGACAACCTTTTTTTTAGAAAACAATATTTTTTATTTTAAAATACATGTATTTTCCAACTTTGTAATCTTAGATTTCTGATCTGTAAACCATATAGTGTGTATAAAAAAGTCATTGTGGCCCAACACAAAAAAATAACTAAAAGAAAAATTTGTTATTTTTGACTTTTGTCCAGTGTATAAGCAGTTTGTGAGTAAACTCAAATTTTTTGGTTTAGGCTACAGTAAAAATTTATGCCCGATTGTCAAATATTAGTTGCATAATCGTTTTGAACAAATTTTGAAGAAAAGAAAGTAGTTGTTCAGTAAATTAGATTTAAAGTTTATATTTAAACTATTATCATCATTATTAATCTATTTAATATGCATTTCATTTTTAAGGATTTTCAAGGCATGACATCCCTGCATTTAGCAGCTAAACACGGTCGATTGGAATGTTGCCGTTTGATAGTAGAGAAACATTCATCCATGATAAATTGGATAGACAATGGTGGATGGACTCCTCTCGTGTGGGCGTGTGAAAATAGCCACACTGATGTTGTCAAGTAATAATTTCATATGTTTTTATTATACTTACTCTTTAAGTTTTAGTTTCGATGCGAAACTGAGAAGGATTAAAATTACAATCAGGTTTTAGTATAAATACATATGTATATGTTTTTCAACAGATTCTTTTTAAGTTATCATCCCAATACGAGAATAGCTGATGATGAAAACAACGTGGCTTTACATTGGGCAGCTATTTCTGGATGTTTGGGTGTAGTGCAAGCCTTGGTTGAATATGATTCTGAAGTCAACATGGTCAACGATGCTGGTGATACTGCACTGTATGTGTAAAAATAATCGCTTTTTGCATATTAGCCTAACGTGTTTATATTTAATTCATTATTATTTTATAGTCATATAGCGACTCGAAAAAACGCCACAGACATAGTTTTGTTTCTTTTGGAGCAAGGAGCCATGGCCTATCATAGAAATAAAAGCAAGAAAAGACCTATAGATTACTGCCTACCAAATACCAAATGTTATAATTTATTAAAAAGCGTTCCACCAGAACAGCGTAAATCGATATCTGTTAAACCTCTTGCTAGTTCTAAGCGAACCGATTCAACTATGGAGACATTGCTTCAAAGCGCCAATGCGTATGTGAAAAAGACTCCTGTTATTGTATCAGAGTAAGTTAAATGTTTCTCTATTAAAATACTATTGACTATTGTTACGTTTTCTAATGAAAATTTGTTTTGCACATTTTAGAGATATAACGCATGGGTGCGAGGAAATCCCAATTAAATGTGTAAATGAAATTGATGACGAAGTACCAGTTGATTTCACTTATATTAAAGAAAATTGTTACGATGTTGGGAATTATGTCGATTCAGCTATGTCTCATATAGCTGTAAGTCACTGAATTTATTTATTAATATGAATTAAACATAATAGTATATGTAATAAATTGTACATATATTTTTAATAGAGCTGTATTTGTGAGGGAGCTTGTAATACAAACGCATGTAAATGCGTACAGGCTAATGGCGATTGTTTGTACGATGAAAACGGACGCCTAAATTCTGAATTTGATTATTTTAGTAAGTACACCTTTGAAAAATAAATAACAAGGTACTTATATTGTATGTTATCTACCACAAATTGATAAACAACATCAATGTAAATCATATATTGTGTCCAAATTCAGATAATGTATGTAACTCGTGATTGTTGGCTTAGCTTATACTACTAAATATGAAAACTGATTTGAGGACTGAATTTTTTTAATCTTTTTTCTGTGAATTGGTGATTTTGATGTTGACAAAGATGAATTCCTTTTAGAGGTTGTAGATATTATATGGGAACCATTGCAGTAAGATTATCGTAGTTGTACCCATATTTTGGTTTAACAATTTTATTTGACTTTAATTTTTTTTTTAATTGTCTAAAGGCATTTTTATTTAAACAATTAAAAAAAAATCTTAATTAATTTAAATCAACAGGAGTATTAATACATACATTTTTGAGCATACTATTCTAACGACGCGGCAGTACTAATAAACGAGTTCAATAATTGAATAATGTTGACCGATAGTGTGCGATTACAACAGCACCGTGTAAGATACCTTTGTATTGAAGGTCTACACACAACTGGCGTGTACAATTAAAAATCACAATTTTAATAAAGACATCACAATAAGAAATTTAAAATTAGCATAGATACAATTTTGACGGTTAATAGCATACAAGATGAATATCATTAAACAAAAATAATTTATGTTGGTTGTATACTATTGATATGTTCACTCAATAGATCCAAGTGTTATTTTGTACGAATGCAATTTACGTTGCAAATGCCATAAACAACGTTGTGGCAACAGAGTAATTCAAAAAGGGATCAAAGTGAAACTAGAGTTGTACAGACATAAAGGAATGGGATGGGGAGTTAGAGCACGACAACTAATACCCCGAGGAACTTTTGTGTGCGAGTAAGTAACATACAGTCATTAAGCCTTGAACGTAGTTAAGTACTAATTGTTCTATTTTAACTTCAAGGTATGTTGGGGAAATAATAACGGACCGTAAAGCTAACCGATTAAAAGAAGATTCTTATTTGTTTAACTTGGAAAATCCCGTAAGTACAATAGTCATTAAGCTATCACGTCATGACATAATGCATTATTGTTTGTTCTAGGGCGCTACTGAATTATACTGTATAGATGCCTTAAATTATAGCAACGTGGCTCGATTTATTAATCATTCTTGCGATCCCAATCTGATGTCAGTACGATCTTTTATCAACCACCACGATAAACGATTTCCCAGGATAGCATTTTTTGCCGTTCAAGACATCCCAGAGTCTGAACCGTTGAGGTAAATTCTCTAAATTTTGTCCATCATTACAATTTTGTAAACATATTGATGTTATTTATATTGTTGTAGTTATGATTATGGAACTGCGTTTTGGAAAGTCAAGTCAAAACTTTTTACATGCAAGTGTGGCAAATCCAACTGTTGTTTCTCGGAAGAGGCAATAAAAAACTTACAAATAGATTCAGACACCGAAGATATGGAATATGACGAAAGCAATGATTATGATTTAAGTGAAATGTCTGGCGATGACTCGTTAAGTCAAAATATGACTGGTTTAGTAGAATTTAATGACAGACAATTATCAGAACATAGTGGTTTGTTTGTAAGTTCATCTAGTAGTGGGCATTGGTCCAATATTACCAAAAACAGTGTTAACGATCCCAACGATCTTGCTGAAACACATAAAAATGGATTAATACAGCTAACTAAACAGAGTTTTGCTAAAATAGTAAAAAAAGAAGAAGATGCTCTAAAAACAACATCAAATAGGTTTTTGGAAGTAACCGATGGCCTGCAAAACAAATTCCTCGAATCGCAATTCAATCAAAATAAGTTACTGAACAGCAAAACGAGTACAGCTTTAGGTAAGAAAGTATTAATCACTAAGCTAAGACCTGCCATAAGAGACCCACGTATTAAGGATAATAATACAGAGTCTCAGATGTCGAGTAATGTCTTGACAACATGTGTGGTGAGGCCTCACACCTCAATAAAAGACCCTCCTGGTAGTATTAAAATTGTTCCAAAACAAATAATGCTCAATTCGAAGAGTATTGATTTTGGATATCAAAATGTGTTCAAAATATCATCCGTCATGTTGGGTAATAACAGCAGCAATAGCAGTAACAGTAGTAGCCGAAAAATTGTAGAAGAAACAAAACTCTGCGAAAAATATGTTGAAAACATTAAATCCAATGATGGTATTGGCCAGGAGTCCGAAACAGAATTGATTGCCATCAAACAAGATGAAGATGATTCTAATATGTCTGCTGTAATCGAGTATCCAGATGTAAACACTGGTATGGCTTTCGATTATGATGATGGTTACAATCCAGAACATTTTGATCATATTGAACAGGGCGAATGGACAACATCTGAGGCTTCTTCAGACGAACTTGTATAGTCCTTCGCAACAATATCACTAATTAATTTATCTTATTATTATTTATTTATTCTTGGGTAGGACTAATTTTGTAATTGTCCTCTGATCATTGAATGTTCAAAACCTTTTGCACAAAATTTATTACTTATTACTGGCAGTTTAATAATGTTTATTTTTGATCATTAAAGGGGTGTATTAATTTCTGACTGTACGTAAATGTTTTTTTTTTTTTAGAATAATGTACTGATTCAGTCAGCATGTAAAAATAATTAAACGTTATTAATTTGTTAATTACAATATTCTATATTCTATATTTGGCTATAAATAAGTAGCATTAAAATGTACAAATATTTCTATATGACTGAAAAACAATTTATGAAGTTGCTTATTTATGCAATATGGAAGAACTGCAACTCTAGTCATTTGTCTTCCTATTTCTAGTAAAAATTATTTGTAAAAAAAAAAATACAAATAAGTTATAATTTAACTTTAATTTGTATGTCTTTAGAATAACTGTTTTATAATAACTTGCCCTTAAATATTATAGTGTAAAATTAGTGTATATTATTATTTATTTTTTAATCAATTAGTGCGTTTTAAGGAAAAACTTATAGGTAAATCTATTCGTTTTCAAATTGTTGTTTTTTTTTATCATTGATTTGTTTGTTAAGAATTTTGTCTAATATACATTAATTACTTTCAAAAGTCTTTTATTTATGAAGTCAAATTTTTTCTTTTTTTCCAAAATGTCTGTGGACAATAGCAGAAGTCGAATTTTAAGAGCAATTCTGATATCTAACCTGAAATCCGATTTTTATAACTGCCACACTTCCTCTCCCCCTCCAAAAAATGGAGAAAATCTTAGAAGTCGTTAAAGATTGTGTAAAATTAGACCAAAAATAGATATCAATCGGAATAAGAAAACTACGAATTTAAAAAGTTTTAAAGACATAATGTGCATTTGATGAATTTCTGCATGTTACCTACCCGTATAAGAAATTAAGTTATAATACTTCCCTACTATTTAGTAAATTTCTAGGGGGAAGGGGGAAAAAAGATACCTATATCTTTTGAATATATTTTGGTACAATTTATTACAAAAAAAATGGTGCCTATTGGTTCATCACTCAAATGAAAATTGTTTCCAGAAGGAAAAAACTTCACTACACTACTAACCTAACCTAACCTACCCCTCAAAATCTGGAGAACTTAAAAAAATAGCAGAATTGCCAAGTTTCAGCACATTGGCTATAGAGTCAAGTTATAGAACTTGGCAAAAACTAGTAAATTTGATATGCAAGGTTTATGGACATAAGCGTTAAGCTCTAATTTTACTGAACCAACTCCGCCACAAAGGGGAAGTTTTTCGTTTTTTTAATATTTTTTTAAGCCACGTATTTAGTGCCAACATTGCTAAAATAATGCTTTATTAGATACATACGCAATTTTATTAAATGTATGTCAATAACATAGACAAATGTCGTGTCAGTAAGGAAAAATAAAAGGAAATTGGATGATTTATTTACAGTACTTTGACCGGATAAGAATTAATTCTGCTCAGTTGTACAGTCCGATTGTTATGTTGCATAGTTTTTTATACATCTGTTTTGGTCAAAGTTTGGAAACCATCAAAGCAAAATATTTATCTACCTCGATGTTGGCTGTTAGCAAATAAACATTATTCCCATCGAACAGAAATGACGGCGGACATTTCAAGTGTATTGACCTTATTCCTCGAAGTCTGATCTAAACATTCGAGTGTTTACATTAACAATATATTTCACGTTTATCAAAATACATAGTAATAATTTACATACTTCAAACATAAATAACAATTCTGAGAGCTTACCAAAGCTCCAATTGGGATGGCATGTTTTTATTCAGTTTTGAAAATGCTTCGCTTGTGAGCACGGCCAGTTATAAGTGCCGGATCAAACCCTTCTGAGTTGTAACGAATGTACCATAGAGTAGAATCCGGATATCTGTAAAATCGGAACTTGAATGTCATCCTTAATTTTTACACATAACGTTACTTCACAATTTGGATAACTTTTTATAAAATGGACGCCTAAATTTATTATTATACGGTGCTTGTTCCTCAGTCTTTAGATAATACACAAAATTAATCAAAAATATTTAAAATTTGGGTGATTTTATATTATTGTCTATAACTTCCGGGACTTTACGTGAGGTTTTAATTAATAATTCGTTTTTTAATTTACCTACCTATGTGATAAGCTACTGTAAGATAAAATTGTATTTACAGAAATGTGTATTTAATTAAAAAGTGAAAAATGTATATTTTTTTCAGCTATACAATGTCTCATCCAGTTTTATACAAATGCCTTTTTTTATTTTGAATTGTACCAAGGGAGCTGTTAAGTACTGTACTTACAATACGTTTGGGTATTTCAGTACCGTAAAAAATAACAAGCTCGATAAGATGCGATTTCCTAAGGCAGATCGCAAAATCAAATTGTTTTTTTTTTTATGTAAGGACTTCTTTTTATTTTTTAGAAAATGTTTTGCCGTTTCCGTCTTGACGTATTTAGCTTTGATGCAAAGCCAAGAACATTTTTTTTTGCCTGTGTAAACATGATGTTTTTATTTGCTGGATGGATTTATTCAAGTAGCACTGATTAAAAATGTTTTCTGGATTTTTAGTCGTAAAAGAAAGTGGTAATCAAATACATAAGTTTAAAGTGGGAATCGAAGAAATTAAAGGAAATATTAAACTAAAATAAAAACTACATTAGTTAAAAATAAGTTATTTCTATAAAAATAGATGCCTAGGATAAAATAAAAATTAATCATTAGAATATTTACTATTTGTATAGCCTACGACATAATTATCACTACTTTTTGGCCAACTACATTGTAACAATATTAATACAATTTTAGACGATTTAATGCACATATCTATTTTCAACTTAATTTTTAATCAAAAATGTTTTCAAAATCTGTTGCCAGAAAACGTTTTTTGGAGTATGGTCCATTGGAGTATAGTTTTTTTCGACCAAAAATATTCCCCATATTTCTAGTCTCTGCTGAAAAATATCATTTTTGCATATTTTGGGAAATTAGTTTTTTTAAAAAAAAATAATGTTATCAATGATATAAGTACATTTAATAATGTAATTTAACCGAAATAATTTTTTTAGATAAAATATTAAAAAATACCGTAAAAAGACGTACTCAACAGTTTACAATGGCGTTTCAACTTTTAATAACTAAGTTATCAATAATCAAGTCTTCCTGATAATTTTTAAGTCATAAAACTTAGCCTAGGATTTAAGCGCTAAAGATTTACCTCCTCATGTCGGCGATGGGGCTTAAATAAATTAAGTTTTGTTACTGTGATTTATTAGACTTTATTTTGATGCGTCATTGATGTATTAACCTGATCTTAGGATTCATCATTTTGTTTTTATCCAAGTTAAATAATAATATTAAATAAACAAATAAATCCTACTAGACGGTCAAATTCCTATTTCATACCCATGGTATGCGAAACATAACACACTTCAAAAAATATATATTTTTTTAATAGGTGGTATCTGATTATACATTATAATTTATACATCTGATTGTACGTCTGATAGGCACACAGCACATATGTAAATAAATGCTATAACTACTCAAATATAATATATTCAAGACTAGTTATTTGCATTTTTATTGTTATAGTGAGTGAGTTATATAATGTATAAATTATAGGTACTTATTTATTACTTGCGAATAGGTCGATCTCTAACTTATTACTGTAGAGGCTTCTAACATGCTAATTTTATTTATCTTGTAAACAAATTAGGAATGCATAATAACAAAACTCATAAATACAGGTTAATATGATTAATAACGGAAAATTCCAATAATATAGTCCACCATTAAAAAATACTTTTTGTCCAACTTTTAATCATGTAGGTAAGTATACATTTATCACATAAACAAGCTGTATATCAATTATACGATTTTTAGAAGTTAAATTTTTTTCTAGATTTTAACTAAAATTATGTCATAAAAAAAACACGGGGTGATTTATTATGTGTTATAGTAATTTACAGAACCTAATGAATCACTCTGCGTATATTTTAATAATCCCGGCTAATTAACCATGTCTCAGAGATTATAATTAAAAATCTGTATATTTTTTGTGACATGTGAGACATGGTCGCATAAGCCCGTGGTGTGCCTACGGAGTAACGCTGATGTAGAACCATTAATCTTTTTTAATGATTATGAAGGTGCGCAATATTTTGTGTTAACAAGAAAATTAAACGAACTTGGTTGACATGAAATGTTAGACGAGGAAAGATGGGTCGAGCAGAAAGTAGGTATTACATAATACATTTTATAATTATTACAATTATTATTTTCATAGCCAATTTCGGTTAAGTAAACCGATACAATTATTATTGAACCGACCAAATGTGTGACGACCTTACATTAAAGTATGTGACTGAAAAAAGGGGGTATATGCTAAGAATACATCTAAATTGAAAATAAGTCCGTAGACACAAAGTGGAAATGAATTAAAACTATCGTCTATCTGCAATTATTAAAAGAACAGAATGTAGTGTAGTACAAGAAGGCTTGTTTAATGTATATTCTTTTGTAAGAATGACATTTTAGGACAACATATCTTGTATGCTCTATTTAATATGTTAAAAATGTTTGTTTTATGTGCTTAAATACGCCCATACCAATTATTAATTACATTTTAGGATGATTTCAAGAATATTACTGACCTTAATTAATTCATACTGTGAAAATATGTTATGCCGTGATATAAGATAGCGTGCTTGTCACTCAAGTAAATTTTTAATTATAATTTAGATGATGAATTTAAATATCGATTAACTCTCACAGCAAATACGTCACCCTAAATATATTTTTTTCAAAACTTTTTTTTTATTACGAGCATTATATATTTTAATTTATTTGATTAATGTCATTCTATAACGGCCGAGCGAGGGATTGGAAGTGGAAGGGGGTGCTTGGTAGTGAGTTTGTTGTATATTGCGTTGTATTTCATTTAAAAAGGTTACTTAATTGCACAGTTAGCGAGCGACATTAATCCGGCAGTCCCCAAGAATTTGATAATGTTGGTTTTGTTCAGGCCATTGTACTTTTGATATAATGCGAATTTGCTATTCCAGAGTATCTACAAATTAAAATATTTTATTTTTAGCCACCTCATTACTTGGGATTGTATGTGTGTTGTATTTTAACGTCTTTAAATTTCAACCAGTCTCTACTGTTGGGAAAATATGTCAAGTAGGTACAACCTTTGGAGAAAAGAAATATGCAAAGCATTTATTTTACAATGGTTGAAAGCACTCGGTTGTATTTTGTTGTGATACATATTTCTTTTTAGTGATTACAATACATCCGTCCCTGGGTTCTGGAAAATTGATTGAAGTTTTTTAACTAAAATTATTCAACAAAATTCATTTTTTTGTGCCTTTTCATTTATACTTTTTACAAATGTTACAGAAGTTGAAAATGTAGGTATTTAATTTATTTTATGCTTATT